CACTCTTCTTCGACTGTATAGTATTCTTCTTTGATTTTCCAGCACTACCCTACGGACATGACTTTGAGCGACGAACCAGCGGGCGCATGGTACGATGATTTGACGAAAGAGATGGCTTCTGTATGTGCAACAAAAAGCGATGATTTCCATAGACGGCATCGCTGGCTCCAGTGGGCTTTGGTTTCGCCTACGATTAGATCTCATTACCTTTTTTTTCGATACACCCGGCTCCACTGGGAGCATTATTAATCTGTACAATACTTCACTATTCCTCAAATTGCGAAAGCCAGTTCTTCGTCTTTACATCGTACTCAGCAAAGTTTTGACAGCAAGAGGAGGGAAAACATAAGCGGATGTACTATATGCATTGTAGCTAGCAATGATACCCCAGAGTAATACTTCGTCAAGCAAACTTCTATCTCAACATCTATGATCCCTATCGTGAAACCTTGTTCCTCTGTGACAGATCTCCAACGGTCGCCATGACGTGCATATCCAGCTGCCACCTGTTCGACATACTCTACACCCAGTAACGGCGACGCCGGTCTCAACCAAAATGTCACCCTCTACCATCCACCTACTGCAAGCATCGTACGTCTCCTTACACTACAGCATGAACAACACAAGCTGATACCACACCATGGTCTCACACTCTAGATTCAGCCTCTCGACCCAAGTGTAACCTCATCGGCTCTGCATACCACAAACAAAAGCACAAACGTCTGCACAGGCAGCAACTAGTTCTCACACCTGTCAGCACTTTAATCCCCTGCCAGCTACCACGACCACTACATCTACCAAGCAAACATCCGACTTCCCGCGGAGACGACACACAAACGCGGGCTGAAAAGCACATAAGCGGCAGAATGGGAGCGCCGCGAGATCTGGACCCAGCAGATGCCGGTGCCGCCCGTCGGCCACGCTAGCGGGGTGCAGTAACACAGCCCTCAGCCTCTCCTTTTTTTGCTTTCCGAATTACGCATCTCCTATCAAACCTTGAGGAAGAATTTTCGGGGCATTCTAGAAGCATTGTTTTCCTTACATGTTGTACAAGGTTTCAGATTTCAAAGCAAAAGAACAGTGGGAAATCGGACCGAGGCTCGGGCATAGCGATGAATGTGTCGATATGCAATGTATTATGTGCATGTGCCTAGAAAGAACACCTGGTGTGGTGTAAGGATGCAAGCAGTAAATGCATCTATGATTCCATGGTTGCGTGATATCCATTGCCGGTCACTGTCGAAAGAAGAAAAATGTGGACAGCGCGAGTATCACATTGGTATCATAGCCCGCGACCAACAATTTACACCCCCGAACCAAATTCATCAGCTTGCATATACAGACCACATGGTTTGATATGAATGGCGTGGTTCAGTTCTGCTCGGTACACTTTCACCGAATAGACGTGACCCAACGCATGTGGGCTCCACCGAAAAACGTCGGATCTGGGCCTGTCTGCCACGAACGACGAGGTGCAGTGCGGTGCGTCGGGGCCCCTGGCTTGTGGGTGCGTGTCACAGGCTCTTTGTGCTGCGCTGGCCTATCGGGATTGTGCTGAGAGTGATGTGGGACGCTCGTTACGTGGGTTTGGCGTGCTGGGGGAGCCGGCCGATGCGGTTGGTCTGCAGGACGTCATGTAGGGCTGAGAAGAGCGCTGGGGATCGCGCGAAGCGGTTTGGTGGTATCGATAGCAACGGTTTTGATGACAGGAACGACTTCACACATTTCGCTGGTGCTGCAGTAGAGTTCACTTGGCTTGTTTCAGAAAACCAAGTTCGCGTTGTTGTTGGCGCTGGCTGGACCTGACAAGACACGGCTGTTGACGTCGTTTGTGGGTGTTAGAGTTTTGGGGAAATCCGGTTCGGGACCTGTCGACGTCACAGTGTCAGATAGCGAGGAACATCTTGACAGAAATGGTTCATGCGTCCAAGAAGTGTGCCGCGGAAGGTTTTACTCGCCCTGGAAGAAGGTGTCATTGTTCTTACGCTAGAAGATCGTCATGTCCATGGGTGTGTGTTAAGCGGTGACCCTTTCAAGGTTTGTCGGCTCCACGCGCATGACGCCCGTTATCCACTGTTCGACTTTGACTACATTCCGAACTTCCGCGGCGTGTGCTGCATGTTGTTTTGGGTAAATGTCTCGTTGCGAACTCAAGCGCAAGGTTTATATGATGTGAAGTCATCAGAAGGGAATTGTCACATCAGTGTTTACTGATCATGATGCGCTGCTTGTTCATGGTTGTGAAACAATTGGCTCGAGTTGTTACTATGGATACGCGCGTGCATGATTCTTCTGCGGTGCAGATATATTGTGCGCATGTAGTTTAATGAAAGATGTTCGGAGATCTGAGGTGTAGAATGATGGATTGCGATGGTGCATCTTCTCAGCTGTGGCTGATATGAGCGCTGTTCGGCAGTACAGACGTCTTTGATACTGACGGAAATATTGACGATTCAGGCCATCCAAATAAAATACAGCATGCGGTCAATTTCTGTCAGGCAAATTGCTATGTTGCGATTTCAATATGATTATTTCTGTAGCCTTACGCAGTTCTGTCTCTCTTTCCGACATTGGTTTCTACACACGATATACAATATGGTTGTCTCAGGACTATGCATCGTCAACATAGCCAGAGGCTGAAGACTTATTGTGAGCGACAATACCTTGCCGGGCGACCGTTTGTGATTTAGACATCGGAATCTCGTTTCCAGTAACATAAGTATCTTTATTTTCTATAAATGGTATCATACCCAGCTATGTCGAAATTACATGATAGTCGTCACCATCATAGTCGCATTAGGTAGTATACCTCCGCCTTTTCTATATATGAGGCAACAGATCCCACCATTCCACACTACGGAAGCTACTCGCAGGAAGTGCCCTAAGACCAGCACATCCTTCTACAATGATGAAGGTTCGTGCAATACCATATGCCCCAATGTGGGTCACAGTAAGCAAGTACTGGAAGAAAGGATGTATATGAGGGAGGTACTCTGTAACAGTATCCACTTGCGGGATGCCTGACCACCTACAAAGATTAGGTAGTTGCCAGATCATCAAGATCCAGAGGTTACCGAAAGAAAATCCAACCCCAAGAAGTATTAGACATGCACCTCGTGAAAGGCTTCGTTCTAAGGATGTAGGAAAGTGGAAGTTCCATGAGATGAAATGTATCAGGATGAAGGTGAGTGCCGCAGTCGTGGAAATCATCCATTCCGTCACGCTCACCTTGCCCGGGTTCATACGCGCAGTGTTTTTGAAGCGCGTGATGGGTACATGCTCGGAGTCAGTTCCAATCCGTAACAAGTGCTCGAAAGCCCATATGATAGGATCGAGGATCTGGAAAGGATCTGGATGCGGGTTGATGAAGTCGAGCGGCGTAAGTTTCCACGGTCTTTTCGCTATGTCAGGGTCTGCTAATGCTAGCACATCACTCAGTTGAAGTGATCCTTCCAGATATAAAGTGACTGTCGTATCAACGTCCAATGGCTTGTAAAACCAGAAGTAGAATGTCGGGATCGTACATAGCACGATAGCAACCACGTCGAGCTCGAGCATCGAGACGTGGAGCTGCTGAACGGCGCGTCCGATGCATTGAAGAGCAAACCAGAGTATTTGGATGGACATAAGGATACGAACGAAAGCATCTGCTTTGTTCTTATCTTGTATGGTGTCGCGGTGTATGCTAGGGTAATCGACAAATCCATGCTCCACAAGGTAGTGAACCTGATGGGCGTTGACGGGAAAACGTGGATAGTCCGGAGAATCAAGCACAAAGCCACCCATGTCGGCGAAGAAGGCATGGGTCATGGACCAGTCGGAATATCCGAGTTTATGGAAAGCGACTACAGAGTGTCGCGCGGAGAGATATTGGACCTGCGCGAACGACGCAAGGATCTCTGGAAAGAAAATGGTAAAGGCAACCCATGATAATTTCGTTGACAAATACGATCGGAAGCTGTGCTTGTCGGGTACGTTGAGGAATAACACCGACCAACTGCATAAGAACACAGTGACAACGCAGCTCCAAATTATATCGATCGTCCCGCGTGCGTTTGGCGAAGCGACCCAACCGTTGATAAGGTGCGTTTCCATTTGTTTTGGCGTGGGATAATTCCGGTGATCAATGCAGCGTAGCTATAAGGCGTGATTGTGCGCATAATCTTCTTCTTTATGGTACCTAGATACATCGACCTTATCGAGATCAGGCTGAAAACAATACGCCCTGTTTTCGTCGACGGCAGTTCACGTTCAGGGGTTGCTTACTGTTACACAAATTCAGTGAACTGCAGTAATGTTGCATCATCAGCATTCAGAACAGGTCGAGTGAGCCCATTCGGGATTGCGCTTGTCAGGCCCCATGTAAGGAGAAGATGCTTCGATTGGTTTGGCTGCATTGATAGTACTGCATATGCAAGGCTGGATTGCGCAAGGCTGCGTGGCTGCGTGGGGGCTGGAACGGCGGGAACTTGCAGCGGACGACGAGCGGGAACAAGAGCTAAGGAAAGGCCGCTCTACGCGTGCCTTGGAGGCTAGATCGCTAGCAGTAGTTGTCGTTAGTATTCGCAATGTGCTGGGGTTGCAACAGATGATACGTATGCTAATACCTCACCGCTGAGGATATGCCGGTGCTGAATCTAGTGACAATATGAACACATCGGAATGGTGTATATTGGTACTGAATAATTTGCCGAGCGTGATTAATCTGTCGGTGCTTAATGGGTTGCCAGTATGGTAAACATGTCAGTGGTGGAAAGTGATGGGGCTGATACATGTGACGGGCGTAGAGCTTTGACAGGCGTGGATGTTTGACGGGGCTGAACAGTCTGTCGGGATTGAATAGTTTGCTGGTATGATAAACATACCGGGCGTGAATGTGTCGGTGCTGGATCGCTCTAGGGCTTGTCGGCATGGTAAACATGCCGGTGCTGAAACCTTTGCCGGGCGTGAAGTTTGTCGGACATGAATCTAGTATCGATAGCGAGCATTTTGTCGGTATGGAAAGAACAGTCGGGTGTCAATATTTTGCCGGTATGGTAAACCTGTCAGTGCTGAATCAATTTCCCCAGCACTCCCGAATCTAAAGGTTTGAATCAAGCATCCGCTCAGATACACGACCAGGACACAGGACGCAATCGCACATATCTGGAGATACACTCAGCGTAATGCCATGCTTCATTCGAATTCAAAAACGCTGACCCCGCCAATCCGTTATTGCAACGCCATATCCTACAGCTCAAGTACAAGAGCGTTTCACCGAACCAGGTAAAGTATGCCTTTTCTTCCCTATCTCCTGTCATATCTTCGCGCGCCCGCCGGAAACAAAACATGTTGTGTATGACCAACGACGATTCTAGGTAAGCTTCTGCTTAATGAAGAAAGCTCGCAAATGCGATAGTTGCCAGACACATGTGACGCCTAGAATAACGAGTTGGATGAGTGTCCAGCGGACGACGCGGGAGTTGGTGTGTTCGGACTGGTCGCGGAATTCGGCTTCGCGTTCCTAGAAAAGGTGTTAGCCGGTGTCTTCCTACTGTCTCCCTCCTGCAATGGGTGGACGCCAAACATACTCTCTGGAAGACCTGTTCCCTCCTTACGTCCTGCAACCTCGAGTTCAAGTCCTTGACTTTCTGCACGAGCGTCTGGACCTTGTCCTTATCCGTGCTCTCGATTCTGCTCGTCTCGCCAATCGCCATGTCCAGCGTGAACTTGACGGTACCGTGTACACCTGAGCTCAACCAGCCACCGCCACTGCTCGGTACGTTCTGGGGTGTTACGCAGATCCTATGTTGACCGCTGTCGGCAGCGCTGAAGGTGAAACGTCCGTTCGAGCTACCCCGTTGGGCAACGATACGGTGGTTGTTGTCGAAGGTCTCTTCTACGGTGACGAAGACGCCGACGTCGGGCTTGGTTTGGTAGGTCTTGGTTGCGTCGTCCCATGCTTCGGCGTGGTAGTGGCCTGGTGTTTGTTAGTACTGGGTTCTCCGGCTGACTCTGCAACGTTTCCGGGCCAAGAGACTCAATTATGAGGAAGTATCATACCAACAACCAGTGTGTCCTTGGGCAATTCCTCGTAGAAGCACTTCTGGACCGCTCCGTCCATGAAGAAGTGCAGCGCTTGCGACGGCACCGCCAGCGCAGCCGCGAGCAGTAATGTTGGCTTCCACATATCTGCAATTCTGGTTCCGCGCGGAAGACTGATCGTAGCGCGGAGTCTGAGTGTTGGGTGAGCTGGTCACTTGGGAATCTTGAAGCTCGTATGCTCGAGATCGCGAAACTCCAGGTGTACGTTCCGAAAGCGGCTAGACCCCCGACACGTGCGTCGCTCCCTCTTTCGCGCCGGGGCGTGTTGAGCCTACACTACCGCAACTTTACTCATAGTTATCTACTTCCTCCCTTTCGATTCTCAGTTTTTCAAAAGAGGTGTCAGGTTATGATGATACCTACGATTCGAAAATGCTACACAACAACTGTCAAGGGCTGTTGCAGTTGCTGATGGCAGACCGAAAGTACTGTCATCGTAGTATAAAGAGAATATAGTATACTACTACATACAGCTAGATAGATGCGAGCTCACGTAAGACTATCTTCATTCATCCAGTCGAGTCAGCGGCGATTGTACAAAGAGTCCACTCAATCCAGACACGTCCGAGGCCAACCCCGCAACTACAACATATAACCTAGGTAAACAGATCGTCCGCATATTTTCAGCCGCATCAACAATACCTATCTTTCCTTCCTGTTCTACTATGTTTCTCTCGCATTTGGATATATAGAAGTTCATTTATGTCAAGTACCACTTCAACAAGACCACATCCATCTCCATCTCGCTCTATTCAATCGACTCCACGACAACCACCCCCAAGCATGACGCTCTTCACTCCCTCGCCCTCCGACCTAAAAGCCCTCTCCAGTACCCCCAAGACAATCCTCATAACCGGCGGCTCCTCCGGCATCGGTCTCGCAACAGCAACCCTCCTCTCATCCCTAAACCCCTCCCACAACTTCATCCTGCTCGATCTTCAACCTCCACCCCCAACATTTACGCACGCAGCTTCCAACGTCCTCATCCACACCTGCGACATAACCTCCTGGTCCTCCCAACGCGCCGGTTTCGCCGCAGGCTACCAGCGCTTCGGCCGCATAGACTGTGTATTCGTCAACGCGGGGATAGCCGAACACGGCGACCAATTCTTCAACGATGCATTGGATAGCGAGGGAGAACTGGCAGAACCAGATCACCGGACGCTAACGTTGGACATGAATGCCGCGGCTGCTACGACCAAACTCGCCATCTACTACCTGAGGAAGAACGGACCAGGGGGTGGTTCTATTGTGTTGACAGCGAGTTTAGCGGGGTATCTGGCTTCAGCGGGTGCGCCGTTGTATTCTGCGGCGAAACATGGCGTGGTGGGCTTGATGAGGGCGTTGAAGCAGGAATGTGCGAAGTTGGGCATTAGTATTTCGGTTGTTGCGCCTGCGATTACGGTTACGCCTATTCTGACGGCGAACAACACCAAGCTGGCTATGCAGCCTGATGCATATGCTAAGCAGATGGCGGAGGCGGGTGTGCCGATTAATCGTCCCGAAGCTGTGGCGTTGGCGGTGTGTTGGTTGTTCAATGAGGGGAGTAAGGCGAACGGGGCGGGCATATTCGTACAAGCAGATCGGTTTGCGGATTTGGAGACGGGATTGGCGAAGAGTAGGCAGGCGTGGATGGGTAAGGAGATGTTGGATTTGTTCCGTGGGGGAAGAAACGCGCCGTTGTTTGCGAGGCTGGAGCAGGAGGGAGAGGCGAAGGAAAAGGCGAAGATATAACCTACGCATTCTCTACCCTGGGATTATATTCTTGTGAACAGGATTTTTAAGTATTAATCGTAGAGAGTGATCAACTAGGACAGCATAGAGATGACCAGGTCACCGCGAAGACACAATTAATTGCACAAAGTATAAGGAGGATGTTATACATTCATACTCTGTATGCCGGATAAAGATACATCATCGATAACAATACCAATAGGGCTATCCCAGTCCCATCCATATGCATATCCGTATCATGTTCCCAATGACAGATATTTTCCCTTCTTCTTGCCGATCCAATCCAACGCCATCGCTATGCTACCAAAAGCAGAAGTTCAAAAGCAGAAAACAGACCTCTAGTCAAAAGCCAAAACCCTCATTTCCTCGCCCGTTTGCTACTGACCTCACTGCCTTGCGAGAAGACACTAGCGCTCCTCTTATGGCTTTGACCCGGTGCGCCTTGACTAGTCGCTCGAGACTGCTGTTTACTGCTCTCATCTTCGCCTTCTGCATCCACGTCGCCATCGTCGTCTTCGCCGTTAAAACCACCCTCATCTTCCTCGCCTTCGGCGTCATCGTCGGGGTTATCAGCGTCGTTGTTGTCTTCGTGGTCATCCCTATCGGCTTCGGCATCATCTCCGTAGTTCTTGTTAACGTCGTCTTCGTCTTCCTCGTCGTCGTTCTCCCCGTCGCCGTCGCCGTCGTCGTCGCCACCGGGTGTCTGGTGTTGTGAATCAGGGACTTCTTGTTTTGGTTGTCCTTCGCCTCCTTCGCCGCCGCCGTCTCGTCGAGCCTTCATTGCAAGCAAGACTTTGCACTCTCCCTCCTCCTTCTCGCGGACCTTACGTACGTCGAGTAGTTTGCTAACTTTCGAGACGAGATTCTCAAAGACTTCGCCGACCTTGCTTGTTGGTATGCTGACGATGTCACTGACGCCCAATGCCGCGAGCATTTGGCCGATCTTCTGGGTCTGGACATTGCTCTTGGCTTGTCGCATTTTAAGCAACTTGTCCGAGCCAAATGTGACACCCGAGGTAAGTCTGTCGTGTGTTGAGACGTTGAAGCGGTGCTCTTGATGTGGAGAGAGGTGCTTGACAGGCGTCTGGGCGGTGGGTTGTTGATTCTGTGCCATGCTTTGCCGTCGATTTGCTGCTGAGAGCTGTTGTTGTGCTGAACCAGGAGTGTGTACCATATCGTTTGCGGAGAGGCTGAGTCTACCAGGTCCTGTTCCACCGCCAGATGCGCGTTTCTTACTCCGATCCTGCTGGAACAGCTGTTGGAAGAGGGCTTGGAGGGCTTGTGATGATGTAAAGGCTTGTAGTCCTGCGGAGACTGCCTGGTTCTGCGGTGGTGCGTCCAGTCGTGCCCGGAGTTCTTCGCGCTCGGCATCGAGACGGTTGGCTGCCATGTTGATGCGCTGGAGCTCGGTGAGCAGGAACTCCTCCTCTTTGACCTCGTCCATTGTGCGGTTGATGAGTGCCGTGGCCAACATCTTTCGATTCCGCTCCATAACCGGATCGAACTTTGTGAGCATCTCGTAGAGGCTGTATTGGTCGGCGTCCATGGAGACTTCTGGTATACGCTGCTTCATGAGCTTGGCTGAGATATCGTAGAAACGTGCTTTGAGATCCTCTAGCGACCGCTTCTTCGAGGGCGCAAAGGGCATGGTGGCTAGCGCTTGATCCTCGCTGTTCGCAGGTTCTGATGGACGTGGTTGCGTCGGCTTGTAGTCGTAGCGATCCCATATCACAGGCCAGCGATACGAGTAGTCTTTTACTACTTCGAACAAGTAGTCTGTCTCCTCGCGACTCCAGTCGTCGCTCCGTAGGTACTGGTCGTATTCCTCGTCTGTGAAGCCAGGCATGTCTACTTTGATGTCGTATTTGGCGTAGTCGGCGCACGTCTCGATATAGTTATCGGCGGTGTCGCTTTCTTGCATCGGCGCGTCGTCGGCTTCCTGTACGGGTGGTGCGGTCGTGGGCTTGCGCCGCCAGTGCTTGAGGACGAGGCCATCGTTGCGCGCCGGATTCATAAATGGCTGTTGTACCCTAGAAACGCGAATTAGCCAATCCTCCTCAGTGCCGCACCCGTACATACCATCTCTTTGCAGGCCCTGTGCTCTGTCTCTTCGCCCGATACGCCTTCTTCTCCTCGTAGACGGCGACAGGTGGCGGCCGTTCGCCATATAGCGCAGCAACCTCGCGCGCAACGCCCTCTGGTCGAATGAGAGTCAGTCTCGACCTTTTGACGATTTCCCAAGGAAAGACGTAAGGACTGCCAAACGTACGTATCTTCCTGCTCCCTCCTGCAGGCTTTGAGCGCTTCTGAGTCTGCGCTGCCACGGCTGCTGGACCTACTGCCTTTGGCGCATCACCGCCGGCAGCAGGCAGCCCGAGCATATCGCGCACATCGCGTCCCGACGCCATCGCAACTTTCGCAAGGCGCCGCTGATCGATGAGCCGGTAGTAGGAGAGGGTGCGGGTGATGGAATCGCAGGGCCCCGGGGTGGACGAGCTTAATTTCGTTGTTGGGAAGTCGCGTTGGACCCTGCGCGGGTACCTCACGTGTGGGAATATTGGAATGGCGAAGGAAAAAGTCAAAATGGGCGGATACTCAAATCCAAAAGAATGCGCAAGGGTTTTCGAAGAGATTCAAGTGCAAATCAAGCTACAAGTCAAGTTCTTGCGCTATAGGCACGCACAGCTATGGAGTCATGGATTGCCGCTGTTACGGCACCTTCCAATCGCATACGCAAAGAGGCCATAGCTCCCTGGTGCCCTCCCATGACCGACCCCTCAGATCGCCGCTACCAAGCAGAGCCAGACAGACAGACATCCATGGATCAGCTTGGCCATGGCAAACGTCACTACGGGACAAAGATGAAATTTGGTGTAGTGAGTGCGTCTATTCGCCCAACTACTCTACCTGAACTAGAACGAGATCCGTCTGTCGCCCTGTACACGCGATGGGCCGTCAGAAGAGACTCCTTTACATGCTATATTTTCCTCGTGCCAAAATGAATAATGAAAATGAGATGCCACAAGTGCGAGCCTCCCCAAGCACACCGCAACGCCGCAAGCGCCCAATGGAAAATCGCTCCCACACTACTGCCAGCTGATGTAGTCTCGCAACGCGGGAGCGCAGAGGTGAAGGAGAGGGTGGTGATGATGTTTTTCGGCGCTGATGAGGAATCCAGGCTGGTGTGGGAGGCGGTTCGGTCGCTCGGTCGTCGTAACTATTACCGTGGAAGGAGATTTTCGATCCCGTCTATCAATCATTACAAGATACCTATACAGGAAGAAAACGTGACCGGGAACACTATCGCTCAAAGAACGGACTCCAGGATGCAACGCAAAGGGAAGAAAACCAAAGCTTGGCGACCGCGATTACTACTTGCTGGCGCCGCAGCACAGGGCGTTCGCCAGTTTTTGCATGAAGCTAGGCTTTTCGGCGCTCTGTCGCGTCGGTTGCGGGTTCGGACTGCTGGCAGGCGCAGCACGGTTGTTTTGTGCCAGGTTGGGCTGGCTGTGTTGGAACTGCGCCTGCGTCGAGGCACCCTCGGGCGGCGCGAGCTCGCCCATGCTCTTCCGCTTGATTTGCGAATCACGATTCATAGTCTCGCGTGGGCTCCTTCCTGGCTGAGCGCGGGTCGCGCCAGGCTTTGGCAGAGGCTCGTTGAGACGATGGTGGTCGATGGGGAGGTGGGTCTTTTGTTGCCTGTGTTGCTGGCCTTGCATGTTCACAGCCATGGATGAGTTAGGGTTGGCGTTGGAATGGTGCATCGCCTGCGCAGCCGATGGGTGCGACTTGAGGACCTCCCAGCCCTTGCCGTTGTTCAGCTTCATCCAGTCGTACTCGCCGTCCTCAATTTCTCCGGTGCTCTTGAGAGCCTGAGTGAACAGCTCCCGTAGGTAGTCGTAGTCGGGTGTGTCCTCGAAGCCGAGGTTACGCACGTAGCTGAGATACTTGTTGAATTCCTCTGCGCATTGTTAGCATAGATAAAAGCGGTAGATGCAGCCAACGTACCAGGGAAACCATCGCACAGATCCTTGATGGGAGTAGTCTGCTTCTTCTCGCCAATCTTCTCGTACTTCTGCTTGTTGGTGGCAGCCTTGAGACCTTGCCATGGCAGTCCGCCTCGCAGGAAGTACATGAAGACGTGACCCAACGCCTCGAGATCGTCGCGACGGGATTGTTCGCGCCCAAGATGGGTGTTGATGCTCATGTATCGAGCGGTACCGGAGAGAGACTTGCGTTCCCTGTACGGGATGTGCTGCTTCGTCTTGGGGTCACGGTACTGCTTCGCCATACCGAAGTCGACGACGTGGATGACATTGGCGCTCTTTGAGCCTGGGCGGCCGATGAGGAAGTTGTCGGGCTTGATGTCGCGGTAGATGAGGTTCTTCTCGTGGATGGTCTGAACCCGTGACAGCTAGATAGAGTGTAAGCAGGCGAGTGTGCAGTGATGCTGTCGGGACATACCATCTGCTTGGCTACCATGACGACCGTCTTGATGGAGAACTTTCTGTTGCAGTGGTCGAACAGGTCCTCCAAGCTCGGGCCGAGGAGGTCGATGACCAGAATGTTGTGTAGGCCCTCCTGGCCGAAATAATAGACATTAGGGATCCCGGCTGCACATGGTTAGCCACGTAGTCGAGGTGCATACATGCGTTGATATACAGGGTGGTGTTGATCAGGGAGCAGCAAAACAAGCGGTAAAGGGGGAGCGAGGTCGGTACTTACGGCAGCCCACGAGGATCTTGTACGTGCGGTACTCATCGCGCAATTGGGGAGCATCGCTCTTGCGCGGCTCGAATTTGATGGCGACCTGCTGCTGGTTGAGCAGGTTGGTGCCCTCGAAGATGACGCCGAAGCTGCCCTCGCCAATCTTCTTGCCGACGCGGTAGTGCACGCCGACGACGTTGGAGCTCGTGCTGCCGCTCGCCATGGTGTCGATGGTGTCCGGATAATGGAGGGGGAGAGGGAGAGGGAGGTGGACGGGAGGTGGCAGAGAGGGTGCGTGGCTTGGTGGTTGTGACAGCAGCGAGACAGGGCCGCAGCCGTAGGCCGGGAACGAGGCTATGCAACCGGCGAACGCGACTCGGCGTTGCTGAGACGGCGGGTCGAGGGCGAGGCGGAAGCGACCTTGGGTGCTGCAACGAGCAGCGTGCGAGGGGACGGGGAGGTCAGAGGGAAGCACGTAGGACAGGCACGTATAGTGAAGAAAGAGCGACCGACTCTCGACGCGGAAAAGACGTGGAGAAGGGGAAGGAGCGACTGGGCATGGGGCGTGCACTAGCAACCTATCAACCGACTCTTCGCTAGACTCTTAGTAGCACCCAATTCACTGAGAGCACGGGACTGCCACCGTGAGCTATTTACACCCGCCTGCATAGCGACGGAAGTGCACGCTGGCCGTCGTCGTGGGCGCAGACGTGGGCAGCCCAATGCAGCGGCTCAATTCTGGCTTTCATGCATTCCGCAGTCCATCCCAGGTCGCTCGCGGCGCAGCCGTCCGTTCCCCACTGAGCTGTCACTTTGTTGTTGTACCTGCAGCACAGTCCACACCAGAACTAGCATCCTCCGAGCAAAAGCAGCCCTGGGACGCCCTCGGAAATTCGACACATCCTTTCCCAGCCAACAAGCGCGCCTGCGCGAAGGGGAAGCCTGGTCAGCGGATTCGCGACGGCAATCAGCAGGGTGAAGACTCTGCCTTCCGTCATCGCCATCGACATCTCCATCGCCATCGCCGCCGCAACTCGACGATCTTTCCTGCTGTAGAGCCGCAACAGTACCGGCACGGCTAGCACGTATTGGCCTGTCGTGTGTCTTGTCCAGCCTCACCGCTGCTGTGCCTCATGCTGTTCATGCATGCCGCCTACGTCAAGTCGGTGGCTTCGCCTCACGGCATGGCCAACGGTTTCGGTGCGACAACAAAGAAGCAAAGGTAGTCTTCTTGACATGTACTCCATCTCCATCTCCCGCCTTTCATCTCAACGCGCAGCACCACTTTTTCACAACCCGGCCTCAAGTCACCCAACGGCTGGTACCGAGTCAGGCCATTGGTGCGCGTCGGCTTCCGCGCCCTCTCGCTCGCGCCACACTCGGTTCCCTGACACGGCTGGGTACCCACCGCGCAAATGAACGCTTGTCGTCGCTTGACTCCACAGAACAGAGTCGAGACCCTTGCCGATAGGCGGTTATGCATGTCACTATTCATGGCTCTCCCCCTAACACTTCATGCATTACCCGAATAGTGACTTTTATACATTGGGTTCCAACTCTAATCATCCTCTTTCTCGTCTCTAGTCAGCTACAGACATGGGACGAGATATGACGCCTGTCGTCTGCGCAGAACCATCGCTAGAAATACACTTGATAACAAAGAAGAAAATAAACGCTGTCCGCGTCTGCAGAGTACACGTTTCAAACGCCGTGCCCGATGCATGATGCGCGCCTGTCCTGAATGCACTGCGCCCGATGAAACCCCGAATACGATCACGACTGCTCATGAATCCTGCATCACCACGTCTTCCTGCTGTGCGCTCTCGTCGTCTCCGTCGAACGTCTCCGACCCAGCAGCGTCCTGCTCCGCCTCGTCCTCTACTTCTTCCTCCGCCATTTGAGGGGCTGCTGGCATAGTTTGAGGAGGAACCTTGCCCTGCAGTGCCAGCTCGCGGGCGTACATTGTCTTGCCCGTGTTCCAAGCTGCCTTGAACCAATCGGTGAGCCTGTTCTTGCTGACTTGCTCGCGAAGGATGTCGTCATCCAAGAGGTTGTCCTTGATGATTGGATTGCGAAGGTCTTCGGCAGCAAAACGAACACAAAGCTCTCCATGGGTTCCTCCAGCGCCTAGAAGGTCCCGAAGGTTCTTGGGCCATAGGGTCCGGATGAAAGAGTTGTCGACTGCAACATGTTAGTGATGAACAAACATATGATACTAGACATCAACTTACTGCACATGGCGGACAAGGTGCGGAATGTCCATGCCATGACCGTGCCTTGCAACACATCGTGGATTTTGGAGTCGGGCACCTCCTTTTCATTGTTGATCAAAGCCCAGTTGTCCTTGATGCATAGTCGCTTCCAGAAAAGCTTGAGCAGGCCATCGCGAGTTGTCCGGTGGATGTTGTTCCAGTTGACTGTCAAGACCTTGAAAGCGTAGATGAACTCGTCGTTCCCAAGCAAAGTAACACCTTCCTCGCTGTCATCTGCATTCATGAGTGTGAGAATGTCAACCATGAGCGCAGGGTCGATGACCCTGTGGTGGACCAGAGCCTCGAATCCCTCTTTGAGGATGGTCTGGTGTGCTGGTCGGTCCTTCAAACGACCCTGTCCAAACTCGGCCATGAGGAGCTCGACAGCAGAGTCCTCATCCAGAGCTCCGGTGATGATGGGTAGCAAACGCTCGTAAACCTCCTCTTGGATCTTGGTGTACTCAAGTTGTTGGTCGATGCTCTGGTACATGACCTCGCGCATCTTCAGCGCCTTGGGCTTCTCCCTGCGTAGATCAACTACGGCTTGGCCTTCGCCGTGCTTCGCTTCCTTCTTGCAAAGGAGAGCAAGCTTAGCCATAGAGAGTTCAACACGCTGACACCATGCATTAGTCTCTTGTTTTGAGCCAGCCTCAAAGAGCGCTTCAGCAGCAGTCTCGTAATCTTTCTCGCCGCAGACTTCATTAATCCATGCGAGCCTGACGCGCGACGGCTCGGCTCGCAAGAACTTTGTGAGTGCCGGCTGGTTGAGATACTCCTTCATAAAAAGTTGTCCTGCTTGGTTTTCGTTGATGTACTTGGAGTAGAACGCTCCAGCCCAGTCATCCCCATAGACCTCGAAGTAGCGCGCAATGCGCTCTTTTATCCGGTTCAGCTTGACTGTGCTCTCCGCCTGCTCCATCTTGCTGCGAGTGTTCGCCTTCTCGGTCTCGAGCCAGTTGGACTCTTCCCAAATCAAATTGACGAGTGTCGACATGTCGTGGTATTGCTCGGCCAGTTCCATTCCTTCTGTGGGGAGTCCAATCTCCATCAAACCCATGATATGGGATGGTCGGACATTGTTGTTCCACTCATCCTTGAGGCTGCGACCCATGGCTCGTGTCTTCTCGTCGCTCTGGGCGAGAGCCCACTCAAAGCGTTCAATGTGAGTCTGACACCCAAGCTTCACCAAGCGAGGGTTGTCTTTGCCGATCTTCTGTGCCAGGAGTTCTTGGTAACCTTCCTCGTAGTTGTCCACCGCGAGGTTACGGCCAACGTCAATAAGGCTACGAATCGAGCTGACAATGTTGTGAGACGAAGTCCAGAAGGGAGGCAGCATATCGTAGCCATAGTCCGGTTTGAGGATGCTGTCGTCCAGACAATCGGGTTCGAGACCGTACACTTCCACATTCGCTTGCCGGAACTCGAAAGCTGTTTCCAAAGCAACAAGCATGACATCGGTGCCCTCACTGAGCCTCTGCATGATAGACGGTGTTTGCTTTAGTCCCTCTTTCATATAAAAGGTCCTCAGGTAGAACCAGCCCCAAGGAATCAGCGTGTGAAGACTGTCAACGTCCTTAACGAAGAATTGCCGAATAGTGTCGTTCTCGCCTAGCTCAGAATCTAGGCCGCTCTTGTAGCGTTCATTCAAAGCTCTGATGATGTCGCTCATCAGGATCTTCTCTGGGTATGTATCCGGGTGTGCTTGTTGGTCCTGCAGCTTGTCTTGGTACCAGAGCCAGAGCTTGTGTGCAGCCGCGAGCTTCTCCGCATGCCACAACAGTCGCCACCTTGTCTGGAAAGATACGGGGGGGTAGTCGGTCTGTATTTGAGAGATCAGAGTCCGGAGGGCGAAGGAGCGCTGCTGGAATTGGTCGTCTAAGTTCGAAACTCCCTTCTCCAGGTAGTCGTACGAGGAGCTCAAGATGCCTGCACTGATAGCAAGTGCAGCTTCCGCAGTCTCCTCCTCTGCGAACGAAAAGCGTGACTTGACAGAGAAGTCTATGATGTTGGAGGGAATGGTACTGAAGAAGGTGGCTTGCTCGAGTTTGCTGCGTGCGGTCACCTTCACGCGCTCTCTATCCTGATCGTCGGTGGTAGGAGGCAATGCGCTGATCTGTAAAAGGCCGAATTGCTGGACGAAGACAAGAGCAGTCGATTTTCTGTCTTTCCGTAATGCAGTCTCCAGGGCAGTGCCTGCAAGAGTCACTTCTGGGCGGAAATATACGGTGTCCTGGAAGGGTAAACTAGAACGGCCTGAGTCTGCGAGCAGTTGTGCCTCGGGGCTCTCCTCTGGTTGAGCAAGGGATGCGACGAAGACCGCTCCTGGGAATTGGACGTAGGCTGTGTGTCCAGGCTGTGGCAGTAGAAGCGTTCCGGTCGGCTCCTTGGTTAGCTGCGGCTGGTGAAAGTTGCGGACTGGTATCGCCCTGCTAATGGTACCGGCTGTCCTCGACAGATCCACCTCCAGGAGGAAGTAGTCCATTGAGTTCCGGCCAGACAGTGCCACCAAAACCAGAAGGCTGACGGCATCCTGGCCCTGTTGTTGTTCCATAATGGCAAAATCCAGCACGTGGACATCCTGCTGGTTGCGTACTTCTGGAACGGTGTCTGTTTGAACTGCCGACAGGATCGCATCGTATGCGTCTACGTCTCGTTGGTGGCTGTTCTGTCCTGACCAGCTCAAGTCCCAGGTCTGAAAGAGGCCGTTTCGCGTCGCCGAGATGACTTCCATGTGGCCCTTGGATTGCGATGTCCGGGCCTTGACGGAGGCGATGGTCTTCCGGATGGATCCGCCGAGAAGGCCTTTGAAGCTGAAGAAGCTACCCCCTGAGCCATTTGGTGCGCTTAAGAGTGTTGTCGCAACGCTTGGTCGACCCTGGGAATCGCGCAGGGTCAGCTGAGCGAGTCTGCCGCTGCTGAACACCAGGACGTAGCCCGCGTGCTCCACATCGACCAGGCCAGTTATGGTTTCCCCAGAGTACAGCTTCACAAAGCCATCCACCCCTTGCTGGCGCTGGGGGTATAGGCTTCGAGTGTCTGCGCTGTCGATGTTCTCCCAGAAGCTGATCTTGCCTGTCGAAGGCGCGAGTGCGACGATGCCGTAGTCGTTGGTGGGGCCGTTGCGTACGATTGCGCCGAGCGGCAGAGGTTCAGATGGTCTTAGGCCAAAGTCTAGGTTTAAAGAGACGACTTTTGTAGGGCCGTTCGGGGCGCTGTAGTCCCAGACAAGGGCTCGATCTGAAGTCAGGGCGAGCGCGAGGCCGGCGGAGGGGAGTGCGGTGGCATATATCGGAGCTAGATATTTGTGTCAGCAGGCGCGCATTGCTTTGGGGGACGTTGTGTAGGCCGTACTCGATGGGCGGAGGAGCGCTGACGGGAAGCCAGGCAGTTTCTTGACACTGTAGTTTGCGTTCTTGGTCTGTAGTGTCATATTAGCAGTGCCAACATGCATGGATGCGCATCTACCCACAAGATACGTGCCCGTGTCCTCCTTGGGCGCGCGCTTCGGTGCGGTCTTCTTCTCCCGAATGCTCAAGGGCATGTCAACCACGACGACCGAGTGGTCGACACTTTGTACAGCGTGGCCATTCGTCGAGGCGCTTCCGTTCCCGTTGATATGGGCGTCGGCAGGGTCCTTGAATGTCGCGTCGTTGAGTTTACTTCGCTTTCTGCTCCGTTGGCTCTCAGATTCCATCCGCGGCCTGCGTCGAGGGTTGCGCAAAGAGCTGCGCGCGCTCGCGATGGAAGCCTCGGGCGAAAACATGATGCGAGAGACTGGAGATGGTGGTTGGAAACGCGAAAGAGCGCGCCGGTGATGAAGTTGCTCCTCGCTGCGTTGGTTGACAACTAAGAAGCTGTTTTGGCAGGGATACAAGTAACGCTAGAGCCCGGAGTTAACCAGCCAGCTGCTAGTCCAAATGTTTCATAACAAACCTTCGAGTCGCCAGGCACGCACCATCGACAATTCACTACACTACGCCCGTACTCTGCTAGACAACAAATACTACATACACAGGTGACTTGAGCAAAGGCTTTCCTATCTTTCAACACGCGTTATCATATCTACAATCCCGTTTGCATTTTACCTAGGTAGTCTGTTCGGACGAGAACGCCATCTGGATCGAGTCACATCAAAGGAGTCAAGTGCTTTGTATTTGTGTTTTATTATCATTCATCATACTCGTTACAGTTGTCAGAAAACGCCATTGTGGTCAACTTCCAACCATGCTTGTCCGTGTGAACTTGCATGGCTGTACTAGAGAGCGTAATACCTCCCAGAGAAACATGGTACATGTGTGAGCATATCAGTCTGAAAAGACGACGACATCTGCTCTATCAAATTGTTCGCGGCAAGCGATGGCTTCCCACATGCCGACTAGCCAGTCGACACTCAGCCATGCCACTATCCGTAGGCTCCACACTCAGCCTTTACATCTTCTTGTCGTGTTCTTCTTCAGCGATGCTGTTCTCCGTCGAGGTGGTGCTCTGCTTCTCGAGCTCTTCACCGAGAGGGCCGTGAATCTCTTCTTCGAAGACGGGCTCAGTCTCGATGGTCTCGAACTTGGTCTTGAAGTCCTTCATGTTGTGGGTGGACGAGTTGCTTCGACGGCGGGCGTAGGCCATATTGGGCCTGATATCTTCGACTTCGTCACCAGCGGCGCCCCTAAGACGATGTTGTCAGTCATGTGTTCTATGGTACAACCACTCATGAAGGGTAGAGCTGTTTCGCGAGGTGCGACAGTCTCTCGAGTAGGTAGCAAGGAAGCATGCAGATTACACTCACCAATTGCCCTTGCCGCTACCACCTTTCTTTGTCTTGGTCGGGTCGGTGTCGGCATGGCCGGACTTGGCGAAGTATTTGGGAAGTCGCATCTCACGCTCGGCAGTGCCATCAGCAATGCCGGCATGGTCGCGATCAGTGAACTTGTGAGAGCGAGTCACTTCAGATGTCAGTATGACATACGGATAAGCTTGGGTTGCTTCAGAGCCTCCTGCCGTCTGACAGCGATGAGCCATTGAGGTCGTATCAACCTCAGAGGCTCAATGCGAACAAGGCAAGAGCGTTGGTAGACAGTATGAAAGGCAGTACTTACTGTTTGATGTCTTGAGTCGATGGATTGACTAGAGGTTGTTTGTGACGTGATGGAAGAGGGTCAGAAAGGATTGAAGTATCCTGCAACGGCGGGCTCGGAGCTACTGTGACTGTAAGAAGCTCAAGCGGGTCAGTACATGGTCTCGTGATGGGAGCTTTGACCCGATGGCGTCGTCCTGCGTGAAGCAACGCGGCCAGATGCGTACCTTGCAGATCTGTGGACAAGTGGCAGCAATGTGTTAGTGAAGACGAGGTTAGCAGAGACGATGGTGGCTGGTTTGATAGAGGAAGGCGCAATGCATCTCACGCGACTGGCGTTGAAAGGCGGGGAAGCTGGGAGGAGCTCCTGCCTTTATATCGCACCCAAGATGGGCCCTGGAACGACGCGCCTCTAGAAGATTCGCCCTCAGCTGCCCAGCTCCAGCTACTGCAATCGTGCTCATAGCTTCTACCTGTAAAAAGTAACTGGACACACATTGTTGTCGGTCGCATCTCGGTGACCCTGAGCTATTGAGGAAGGGACGAGGGGAAGGGTACGTCACTGGTACCTGAATCCCCCCAGCGGTGTCGCGTGGGCGACATTTCATTCAGACACAGCACCACAGCCATGCACAAACTTGGCCTATAAGTCAATTGCAAGTCGACAATGCTATCGAAGAAACACAATCCCCATGATGAGTCTATAACGGCCTCCTGCGTGCCCTGGCTTCAAGACGACGGTGGTTACCCCAGATTCTAGATGTATGTTCCTCGCACGCTAATGCGCTGGATCCACTCGCACATGTGCCGTCATCCCACTTGATCCGGAATCACGTGTTCCGGTCAGCTCGTAATCAGCCCAGGGTGGTATGACCAATCGCCGCGGATTTCTCAGTGATTGCATCAGCAGCGCTTTCTCCGCCTCCGAGGCCGCAGACTATCTTCAGAAAAGTTTCCCGGACGCGCCTTTCGTTAAAACACTCCTTTCTTCTTGCACGTCTCTGCACACTTCTCGCAGAGTTCATACCTCGATAGACTTTGGTTTTGCAACACTCATCTACCCCTCCATCGACACACAGCGCCCCGATACCCCACCATGGCCCCGCGATGCCTTCTGATCGGCACGCCGTCGATTGCGGCGCACCCAGAGCGACTTGACCAAGTTTACGAAATCCACGATCGCAACTCGACCGACCTGCAGATGCTTGACCGTATCGCCGCTGGTCTGGTCAATCTCCCCGCGTCTACATACGATGTTGTTCTCCTCCTCGCCGACGCCGACGGTACCACGCGCGAAAGTCACAAGTTGCTGGCACGGGATGTCATGAACAAAGTAGTCAGCGCATTGAAGGTGGGAGGTGTTCTTAAGAGCCAGGCAGGCCCCTTCCAAGGCGCAGAGAAGACGGAGGCTATCCTGGCAGGACTTACAGAGACGGCCGACGGCATGACCAAGCCCGAGCAGGAGGAGCCGGTGTCGATACCGCTGAAGTTCGGCAAGAAGGCAAATGGCGCGAATGGAACGAATGGCGCAAATGGCACTGTCAACCCGGATGGTTCAGTCCCGATCAACCTTAACCGCAAGCGCAACCAGCCTGAGCCCGTCAAGCCAGCAGCAGTTGTGGGCTTTGTTGACTTTAGTGATGATCTTGACGACCCAATCATCACAGGCGAGGATGATGATCTAATTGACGAAGACGACCTTATTACAGAGGCAGATATGGCTCGTCCAGTCCTTCAACGTGCGTCTATTCTTCTTACTGTATTAAGGGAAACTGCTAACATGACTCCAGCGCTCGAATGTCAACCCAAACCCGGCAAGCGACGACGCGCATGCAAAGACTGCACCTGCGGCATGAAAGAGAAACTCGAAGCCGAAGACGCCGCCAAACGCTCTTCCGCCGATAAAGCATTGAACTCGCTCAAGTTGGATGCCGACGACCTCGATGAGGTAGACTTTACAGTACAAGGAAAGGTTGGCAGCTGCGGAAACTGCGCACTGGGCGATGCGTTCAGATGTGACGGGTGTCCGTACATTGGTCTGCCGGCGTTTAAGCCTGGTGAAGAGGTACGGCTGCTGAACAACGACATTCAGTTGTAGGAGTCTGCGAGAGAGAGAGAACATTGCATGGCATGGCGTACGGAGTAGGGACTTCGACAGTCTGGGATAGATAACGTTGCTACATAGCTTTTTCTGGAGTTTTGCATGTCAGAATAGTGAAATGGATGAAAGGACGTTGATGTCCTAATTCTTCAATGAATATTCGGCCATGCATTCCATCTCGATGATAGTATTCACCTTCGCTACAACTGAAGTAGAGACAGCCTCTTCTACTCTACGTCCAGGTTTTCGGTTATTCAGTCGTCGAGTGACAGCTCAAGCTTCAGAGCCGTTCGTCCCGGTCCATAGTAATCAGGCCGGCATTCCGCCTGCTGAAACCCACACGACGTGTAAAGAGCTCTAGCAGGAGCACGACTCTCGTCTACCCACAGAAAGACCGTACTGCAGCCCCCCTTCTCCATCTGATGACGAAAACAATGTATCAGAGCTCTACCAAGCCCTCTCCCTCTTTCTTGCTCGACGACACAGAGTTTGTGCAGCCAAGACAATCTCTTCTTTCGCTGGTAGACGAGATATCCGATCAACTTGTCAGCGTCGTCTTCTTTGAAGATTAACATTAGTCCGGTGTTCTTTTTCTTGAGTTCTACGTCGTAGTTGAAGTGCTCGATTGCTGGGAAGACTTTTCTTTCGAGTTTGGCTACTTTGTCGGCGATGGAGAGGCGGATCTTTGGTGGGAAGGCAGAGTAGTCTTTGATCATGAAGCCAGGTGGAGGTTGCGCTGGTGAGTTTGGCTGAGTCATGGTGGTGCTGGTTCGAGCATTGAGACGTGAAGACGGGTGTTTGCGACGCGCCAGTTGTAGGCGGGTTATACAGACTCTTTATCCATTTCTCGAAATAGATATATTAGTCCTCGCAGCGGTGGGTTCTACAGTCGACAAATAATGGAGGAGGTAGTCGCTTGAGTCAATTGGATCTTTCAGTGGGGCGCACGTGTTAGCGCGTTCTCCTCCACGTGCACCACACCACCAACGCGTCGTCCCTGCAGCTTCTACACGACTTCCAAAGATCCCTCAAACTGTCATTTGGCCGAATCAACATGGGCTTTCGCCTCTGCATAAAACCACCGCTACAACCACACAGGCGGTGAAAACTCTGAATCTAATCCTTCGACCCTTCCATCCGTTCGTTTCTCCGTTCTTCACATCACGAGTCATGCCTGCCAAAAGGAAACGACCGTACTCGAATCTCGATTTTACGCTGAGGAAGGTGTTCAAGAAGGCAAACTTTCGGTATGACATTCTGCCCATTACTCTTTGCATTCACTGATGTCCTTCGCAGCCCATTACAACGTGAAGTTGTCACAGCTACGTTGGAGGGTGAAGATGTCTTCCTACAGGCAGCGACCTCTTTTGGAAAGAGTTTGTGCTATCAGCTCCCCGCGGTGGTCGACTTTGGCAGTATGTTCAAATCAACATAGAGCCGCCGTCGCCGCTAATATTGCTAGTCACCATTGTGATATCTCCATTGCTGGCACTGATGGTACGTTCCACACTACCTCTGCTTCAGAATGAAAGCTCACTGGTCACCAGAACAACCAAGTTGCCTCTCTGCGCAATGCCAACATTAGAGTCGAGACGATCAACAGCACCACACCACAGGTGGACAAGAAAAGGATCATAGCTGACCTCCAATGCGGTCATCCTCTGACTCGCCTGCTCTATGTAACACCAGAGTTCTGTCAGGGCGACAACTTCCGCAAGATCCTACGAGTCATCCACTCTCAAGGAGAACTGGCTCGCATCGCTGTCGATGAAGCCCATTGCGTCAGCGAATGGGGACACGACTTCCGCCCTTCGTTCCAGCAACTGTCATTCTTCAAGAAGGAATTCCCGGACGTACCGGTCATATGTCTGACAGCCACTGCAACAGCGCGTGTAAGAGACGACATCATCACCACGCTCGCCTTGGACCCGAAGAAGCTGAAAATGTTCCGCATGAGCACCAGCAGACCAAACCTTCACTACGAAGTCCGTTTTAAATCCGACGCAGAGGACCACTACGACGACTTTATCAAGTTTCTCAAATCCATTCACGCCCGCCGTGCGGCAAATCCTGAGCGCGCCTCTCAACTAGCATCTCAGAACCAGCGCTCAGACAACGTCCCAGGTATCATCTACACGTTATTCCGCAAAGACTGTGAGTCCCTCGCCGCACGACTCCGCTCAGACGGCATAGGCGCAAAGCCGTACCACGCCGGCCTCTCCGTCTCAGACCGTGCAGACGCGCTCTCAGGCTGGGTAGCCAACAAAGCCGGGTACGACGTCGTAGTCGCAACAACAGCCTTCGGCATGGGAATCGACAAAGAAAACGTACGTTTCGTAGTACACTGGCAGATTCCCAAGTCCTTCGAAGGTTTCTACCAAGAAGCCGGTCGCGCAGGTCGAGACGGCAAAGCGTCGATTTGCATCTTATACTACGGCCGCGAAGATCGCGATCGAGCTGCGCATTCGCTGTCGAGAGATATTGCTCGTCAGCCTAAAGCAGGAACGGGATTACAGGCTCAACAACAGCAGATGACGCATCGAGCGAAGAGTCTAGAGGCACTGGTGGGTTACTGTGAGACCACAAGCAAATGTCGGCATAAGCTCATTGCCAAGTATTTTGCGGATGAGGAGACGCCAGAGTGTGACTTTGCGTGTGATTGGTGTAAGGATGCGGAGGCGTTGGTGAGGAGGAAGGAGGGTGGGTTGGCGAGTGAGGAGTGGTGTAGTACGCAGAGGGAAGCAGGGAGGTATGATATTGATGAGTATGACTGAGGTGCTGTGTTCATAAGGGAAAGAGTATGGGGTTTGGATGAGCATTAGTAGGCGTTGGGATATATCGTATTTGCATCTGTAGTTCATTGTATGTCATGGTTCATTCATCGTGACTTCGTCTACGGACTGGCTTACTGCCGCCGACACATACATCAACGCTACCATACGCATCCCTTTGTGGGTATCTACCACCTGCACCACCTCAACGCCACCCCATACATGTTCACAAACATCTACACCGTATGTCCTCGAAAGGGTCCGGCTTCTATCCGACAATCAAAGCCGCGCTGGGCACCATACCCGCCTCTTTGAGCGTCATGCCAAAGTCACTCCGATCATATATCTTCTTGGGGAAGTTGGTCGTGAAAGTCGACACAGTCATGCCATCCTGCTCTAGCGCATGCGCGACCTCGAACAGCGTAGTCTCAACTGGGAAGTTCTTCATGACCCTTCCGCTGGGTGTCTGCAGCGCCAGACGCGCCTCGGTGTATGCGCTCGCAGGCTTGCTGGTGGTAGGACCGGAGGATGTAGCGAGGGGCGCCTGTACAGGAGCGGGAGGAGGAGCCTGGCCGGCGCGCTTCGCCTTTTCAATCTCGGCCTTGCGCTTGCGCTCCTGCTTGTCGGCTTCGAGCTTGGCTAATACGCGTTTCTTTGCGTCTTCGTCTGCCTTCTTCTCTGCACGCTTGGCGGCGGCTTCCTTTAAGCGCTCCTTCTTTTGTAGCTCTTCGCGGATGTCTTGGGATTCCTTTGTGGCTTTCATGCGGATCTGCTCGTTCTTCTTGTGGTCTTCTTTGTCTTGCTCAGACTGCATTGCGCGCTTGGCGGCGAGCTTCTCGCGTAGTTCTTGGAGGCGCTGTGCCTTTTGCTCTTCTGTGAGGGGCGCGATCTCCTCGGTGGACTCTGAGAACTGTTCATGGCCGGTCTTCTCGCCGTGGAACTGGGCTTGGTTTACGGAACGGAATCTCTTGCCACACTCATCGCAGACGAGTGACTTGGCCTCTTCGCCGGGCTGGAGGGCAGGTGGCTCGTCTGAGACGTTGGCGGCGGTGGTGGCTTGCTCTTGCTTGATCTCGTCGACGGACTTGTCCTGGTTGGTCTCGAGCCAGTCGATGGCAGACTGAAGGCCGCCGGTGGCTTTGACGGCGAGCTCTGCGCGTTCGCGGGGAAAGCCCATGTCAATGAGGGTATCTAGATCTCCGGCCATGGTGAATGTGGCGGTGGTGACAGTCGTGTATATGGGAAGTTGTGGGTTATTCCGTGGTGGATCTGGGCGTTTGTATCGCGCAGGTTGATGTTTAGTAGCGAATCAAAGTGAGTGAGCGTAGTGGAGGAGTCTAGCTTTATATGTGGAATGTGGGTGTAAGGCGGTAGCGGTGGAACCACAAAGAAGGTGGACCGTGGATGAGGCGCGTGAGATCCTCGGGATGTTGTCTTGGTACAGTGATCTTCACTATGAATATGTTTGTAGGATACGTCTGTCACTGCAGCCTATTTCCGCGTGAAGAGTGATGGTTGTCGTCGCCTGGGAGTGTCTACGCGGGTGGGCACTAGAGGCAGCTCGCGATCGAGAATCAAGAGGCGTCGCTGCACGTCATAGCAACTTGTCCTTACCATCTGCCTTCCTCCCTACTATCCGCACCCACCCCAATCCACACCCGCTGCGATACCCATACCGCTTGCGCACCCCATCTCCAGATTACTCAGCTTCTCAATACATTATACGCGCCCATCTCCCTTCCCCTGGCTCCCGAGGTTCATCGCGACCCTGCCTAGGTACCCCGTAACCGCGGATCCGATTACCAACCCTGGAAGACACGACCACCACCCAATACCTACAACCCACACGCGCCCGCCATGTCTGTCGAGCTCGACCCCGTAGAGCTTGGTTTCAAGCGTAAGCTTCGTCCATGGCATTGAGCCGACAAACATACTGAGATGGCTAGGACCCTTCCAGCACGAGGTGTCGCAGACCCTCCGCTTGAAGAACCCGCACTCTGACCCCATTGCTTTCAAGGTAAGCACGCTTCTCTGCGGCTTTCTGTGAAGCCATGTGACATTTGGACATGCAGCTGACATAATGAAGGTGAAAACAACGGCTCCCAAGCAGTACGACGCCCGCGATACCTCTCCCCACAATCACTGATGACGGGTTTAGATACTGTGTGAGGCCGAACAGCGGACGCATCGAGCCTGGGAAAGATGTCGAGGTTCAGAGTATGCATGCCCTCTATGCGCGCATCCACAGGAGTCTGCAGCAAACTAACGCATGCGCCCAGTTCTCCTCCAAGCCATGAAGGAAGACCCACCCCCAGATGCGAAGTGCCGCGACAAGTTCCTTGTGCAGTCTGTACTCGTCACCGCCGACAAGGAGTTCACCAACGTCGGGTCTTTGGTACGTCATAGTATTGGGGAAATAGGATTGGATGCGTGCTAATAGTCACTTGTAGTGGTCGCACATCGAGCAGACCGCCAAGTCTTCCATCCAAGAGAAGAAGATCCGAGTCCTCTTCCTCGCACCCGACGATGCCTCCTCCAGCGCAACTCCTGCGAGAACCAACGGCGTTAGCCGCGATTCGATGCTTTCCTCTCCATCACCCGAGGCTGTGACTCCTCAGCGCGGCGTATCGGACGCTTCTGGACCTGTCTCCGTTCCCTCGGAGCGCCCGTCAGGAAGCAAAGACTTGGGCGAGATCAGGAACGAGACCTACAACCCCTCATCGAGCGGTAACATGCAGTCGAGCTTTAGCTCTGCCGCCGGAACTGTCTCCAATGCTCTGCCATCCTCAAGCGATGTAGAGGCTCAGCTTGCTGAAGCCAAGGCTCAGATTGCGCGATTGACACAGCAGGTCAGCGAAGCCACTGGTCTTCGCCAGCGGAAGACAGGATCCGCGCAAGACACGAAGCAAGGAGTTTCGACCTCCATGGACACACGGCAAGCCCCCGCCGGCGGCGTGTCTGTCCAGATCACAGCCCTTCTTTGCCTTATCAGCTTCCTGATTGCTTATTTCCTCTTCTGAGCGTCCTTCCACACTACCTGACCCAGGACAGCCAGTGAAGCACCGTGCGCCAACAGCGACCCCGGATCTACATTGTGCGGAGACGGCGGGAAGTCGGGCGTCATCTTTTAACATGCGAAGACGAAGAAGTAGGTCGGTGGTATGGCGTGGGACGATAGGATGGACAACTGCTTTTCTCTTTCATGTGGGTATTTCTTGCTTGGATGGAACTAGGGCTGTTCGTTGGTTACACATACGGAGTGGCAGCTGCTAGGGAAGCGTGAGCACATCCATGTGGAAGCGTCCATGTATCAACAGCTACATAATTCGGAGTAGCAAAGTCTTGAAATTGTTTATCAAAATTAATGTCTACGTATACTTGTATGAATTTGCATCTTGACACTGTCGCGTGAGAGGTGCCTAGTCGCGGCGATGTTGGCAAGCGCACTGACCATTTGGAAGATACCACTCCGTAATCGCAGTTGTGGGGTTGCGTTCTGAGCATGCGCAAAGTGCGAGCAAACTTGTGGAGTGACGGTTCCCAACGTCACATCCTTACAAGTACGAGAAGGTGGATAGTGCCAATCCCGTGGTCATAACGCGCAGTCAAAAAGTGGGTCCGAGCATGCCCGAAGTGCGGCGGCGGGCGATAGCTGTGACTGATGACTGGTAAATTTGTGGCCAAGACAAGATAAAGCTGTTCTCACTCTTCTTGACTCCGACAATATTCTCTCTTTCCCTTTCAATTCAATTCAATAGCGAAAATGTGTGGCATATTCGCGTGTCATAAGTAAGTTACAACTGTTGCGCGCGCGCATCTACCCCTCTAAATGCTGAATTGGCTCTACTCAAGATGTTTCGCGATGATATTGACATACGACTAACATCTCAAAAGGCACCCCGATGTGCAGACTTTCAAGCCAACGGCCCTGAAAATGGGAAAGGCGTATGTGTACCTCCCGTGATCTATAAGAGTTGTCAGTTCGCTAATTACTTACAGTGTTCGGTGTGTACTTCCCCCAGACCCTCTACCCAGCCACTACACCACAAGAACCTCCATGCTGACTGATAGATAAGCCATCGAGGTCCAGATTGGTGTAAGTATCCGTTATGCCTCAATGCGCGCTCACAAACACAATGATTGACCCTTTACAGCTGGTAACCATGTTGCGAACAACACCAGTGAGTGACTCTCAGAGCACTCAGTCACACGCTGTGCTAAAGACAGACAGTCCTGGTTCATGAGCGCTTGAGCATTGTCGGTGTCGGTAAGAGGTCACGAAACACATATTGCTTTTGGCGGAAGCTTACATGGGTCAGAGTCTGGCGCTCAGCCGCTTGTCAACGATGAGGGAACCGTTTCCCTGGCCGTCAACGGCGAAATCTACAACCACCGAATCCTCCGCAAGTCCCTCAAGACCCCGTACAACTTCAAGACACACTCGGATTGCGAAGTTATCATCCCTCTGGTAAGATTGGGCACACGGCTTACAAAGAATAGAGGCTGACGGACAGTAGTATCTCGAACATGACATCGATGCTCCGCGGAAACTTGACGGCATGTTCTCTTGGGTCCTTCACGACAAGGCTCAAGATCGTGTCATCGCAGCACGCGACCCGATCGGTATCACCACTTTTTACATGGGCCGGTCGAGCACAACACCAGGCGCAGTTTTCTTCGCTTCCGAGCTGAAGTGCTTACATCCCGTCTGCGACAACATCATCTCCTTCCCTCCCGGGCACGTCTACGACTCGAAGACGGATTCACTTACCCGTTACTACGACCCCAAGTGGCTTGTCGAGCCCGAGAACATCCCTACACAACCCGTAAACTACAAGGAATTACGGGCATCGTTTGAGCGATCAGTGCGGAAACGCATGATGGCGGAAGTTCCCTTTGGTGTTCTTCTGTCTGGTGGTCTTGATTCAAGTCTGGTCGCTTCAATTGCGCAACGGGAAACCCTGCGCTTGAACGAGCTCACGAGGAAGAAGGCCGCAGCATCTTCGGGCAACGCCAGCGAGCAACAGAACCAACTTGTTGGTATCGATGACTCCAACGAGCTCCAGACAGATCTCCTTCTGGGACAGCTCAACTCCTTCTCAATTGGTCTGCCCAACGCACCCGATGCCATCGCTGCGCAGGAAGTAGCCAATTTTCTTGGAACCAAGCACCATACCTTTACTTTCACCATCGAAGATGGCCTCAACGCACTCACAGATGTCATTTTCCATCTCGAGACGTTCGACGTAACGACCATCCGCGCTTCAACACCCATGTTCTTGTTGAGCAGAAAGATCAAGGCTATGGGAGTCAAGATGGTGCTTTCAGGAGAAGGAAGTGACGAGATCTTCGGCGGATACCTCTACTTCCACAACGCGCCCGACAAGGCTGCTTTCCACCAAGAATGCATTCGCCGTGTCAAGAATCTCCACCTTGCCGACTGCCTTCGCGCGAACAAGTCAACATCCGCATGGGGTGTCGAGGCGCGTGTGCCTTTCTTGGACAAGGAATTCCTCAACACAGCCATGAACATCGACCCCGCCGACAAGCTCATCGACCGGGAAGCCGGCCGCATCGAGAAGTACATCCTGCGCAAGGCCTTCGATACCACCGACGAGCCAGAGACGCAACCCTACCTCCCCGAGAAGATTCTCTGGAGACAGAAGGAGCAATTCTCTGACGGTGTAGGTTACGGATGGATTGATGCTCTCAAGGACACCGCTGAGCTACACGTGACCGACGAGATGATGAAGAACCCGAAGAAGGAGTGGGGTAACGATGTCCCGGACACCAAGGAGGCGTACTGGTACAGGTGTATGTTCGACGAGCACTTCCCCAGCTACTGCGCCGATACCGTCATGCGATGGACGCCTACTTGGAGCAACCAGACGGATCCTTCTGGACGGTAAGTCTTCCCATTTGAGGTACAATCAAAACAAGAAACTAATATGATATAGTGCTATTGGCGTTCACGAGCAGAAGTACGCTCATGCTAAATAGAGTCCTGACTCGGATGATTGGGCAAGGCTGGTACGGTAGAAACTACGGATCTCATTCTCAGGTCTCTTATGGCGCTCATAGACTGCTTAGGGGAGATATACCCCACGGGAAATCTGTCAAATGGTTCGGTCTTTAGCATACTAATGCAACATGTTGCGTGAAATTGTTGATCAACTGTCGACCTTGACTACGTACGAATAGATGAACGCGTAGTAGAGCACGATGCACATGTTGACTTTCCGAAGAAGTAGCTATGTCTTACGATGTGCAACAAGTAGATGCCAAACAGATGGTTCATCATTCCGTTTGTCATGTATACAACTCGTTCCATCGAGCCATACTTTCAGCAAAGGCTCCGCATGTGTCGTGCGAAAGCCATGAGACAAGGTAGTCTGTGAGTATAGTGCTGGGCTCAAGCTAGAAAGAACGGGCTTCCCACTCACGCCCCCCAAATCCCCTACTTCCTTGTTTCTCTGCCATCCTCACCAGCGGGGTTCCGAGAGTCTGCAGGAGTAGGGTATGATGCCGACTTCTCCTCTTACTAGTGAAGGCGGCGGTGGCAGCAGCAGCAGCGGAGAGGGGCAGGTGAGAGAAGGAGGTGAGTTGAGCATCTTGTGGTGCTGATCGCGTTCCTTCCTGTACTTGACGTCTTTGTCGGGCAGACCTCGTGCTCAAGCAGGCTCATCGTCAGTGGACTCGCGGCCATCATCAGTTTTCCTCTTGTTCTCCTTAACATCCTCCTCATTGGCAGGCTTCTGGTCGTCATTGGCAGGCTCCTCGTTGTCGCTAGCTAGCTCCCAGTCATCTGGATTGAAGTCATCTTGGTTGAAGACAAAGCCTTCCTCGTTGTCATTGCAGGGCTCCCAGTCGTTCGGATTGAAAGGCGCATCCTCTTCTTCATCCACAATGGTCTCCATGTCGGTGTTGTCGTTGTCGACATCGTCATCAGTTTCAGCCTCGATTCTGTCGTCACTTGCCGCTGCGGCATCGTCCTTTGCATATTGTCCTGTGTCTTTCAGATCCTTTGTATCCTTGAGAGCTCGCGCCAGCACTTCCTCAGCCATCACAAGATATCGAGAGATCGTTTCCATCTCCTTGTCTGTAGTTCTTCGAGGAGTTTCGTTGAGCATCTCATCGTAGAGATCGCGCGCGCTGCGCATGCTCGACGTAACCTTGAATCGAATCAGGATAAAGTGTAATTAAGGTAAAGGTGTGTACATACAGTCCTCTGAGTTGCCAAAGAGAAGATGAAAGCCAGATTGGTGCCTTTTGCCCACGGCTGAATCAACAAGGAGATCTCGACAGATGATGTAGGCCTCCTCACGAGCGCCAAATGTCCATAGATCGACTGCACGCAAGTACTCGTTCTTGTACATCTGGCCGAAGGGGCCGAGGGGGCGATGGTGGTAATCATTTTCAGATGGGGACGTCATGGCTCTTGCGATTAAGCCGCGTGCGGGTGCTCAGGTGCGAGTCTCGAAGGTCGTATCGCACTGTGCGACTGGGTTATGGGCTGATCGTAAGCGGACGAAGTGAAAGGGAGTGCTTGCGCACTAGGCGCACTAGGGCAGATTGAAGTGAAGGCGATACACAAAGTCTAGTCTCAGCTCAAGCAAGGACAACGTTAAGCAGGCCTGCAGCCTACATCGATATGAAAACATGCAATGTTGATAATCTAATATCAACGTAGGCTCTAGGGTGTTGAGTTTTTTTCTTGAATGTGATCTCATAGTACAACATTACCTCACCGCCGGCGCCTAAACTGACGTTTCTCTATTTTTCGACTGGGTATCGTAGACCAGTGATACAAATACATACACAAAAACTTTTAAGTAGATCATACCGTCGCTCTGCGGTAGATACAAGAACGCCAGACGTAACAGACGATTTTATAAACACAGCTGAGCGCATCACGCCTCAAGGGCAGAAGATGCCTCGCCGTTGCCGAAAACGCGGAATTGGATGAAGATGGTTATGTCTTCGACCATCGTACCGAGGGAGCCGATGAGCCAGGGGAGGTTGGTGAGTATGTACTCTTTTTCTTGTGAGTGGAAGATGATCTATGAGATGTTAGTCGCTGTGACTTCCAGCAAAGTGAAGATGACTTACCCCCGCGCCATACGTAGCATTGCCCAAAAGACTCAACATGAAGAAAAGCAGCGACAAGCCCTCGCATGACTTCTCCCTTTGATTCTTAATGATCTGAGGAATACGCGCTCCAAGATAAGCCACGGCGCTCGCGTATCCCAAGATCATGGCGCCGACAGGGTTATCCGAGGTATCCTCCGTGTTATGCTGAGGCTGCGGAACCCATACACCAGTCTTCCACGCGATAGCCCACCCTGCGGCACCAACGACACAAACACCCACAATGCTCAGCGCATTCTTAACCCACTCGCTCGCGCCATCGCCCACATCCGGAATCGTAGGCAGAGAGCTTGCGCGCCGTCTGCGACTAGCCGCGGAATCGCGCCTGTGACTTCCCGGCAGACCGACGTTACTGCTATCGCGTCTGCCCAGCAGGGGCGCTTCAACGCTGTTTGTCGACTGCACAGAGGTTTTGCGCTCCCCACGGCGCGAGTTCTTCATGTTGTAGTATACGCATTGCGAGATGAGGACGAGGTCGGCGAAGCAGAAGTAAATTGCGAGGGCGATGACGGTGGGGACGAGACCGGCCCAGATGGCGCCAGCAAGGTTGGTTATGTCGCCGACGAACCAGACGACGAGGAAGGCGAGGGAGATGCCATCAGCGGAGGACGATTTGTAGTTTTCGATTAGTTGCGGGACCTGCGTGGTGTTAGATCGCTGGTTGGTGATGTATGATGTCGCGTGCGCCGCCGTGCTGCAAGCTTCATTCGCGGTTCTATCAATAGCTCAGGTCGGTATCAGAGATACGTGTCAAGCTCCCTGCAATACCGCGAAAGCATGGGAAATGAAGAATAACGAGCTCATCGTATCAAGTCTTACTCACCAACAGAAAGATCCACGAAGCCAGCGAGATTGAGCCGAAGACACCGGAAAGCGCCTCGTGAGTTGTCAGCGACACGCTGTGCGACATGACAGCTGCGAGCATGGTTGCGTTGCGTGACGACAACGGGGGTGGACGGGTAAGGGTATAGCCACACAGCGCGTGCTTGCGGCTATAGGTAGTAATAATATTTTGCTTCTTTACAAGGGCGTGCAGGACGGCATGCAATGCTTGATGACGCAGGTCCAAGACGGAGAGAATGCCGCACTTAGGCCTGTCCAACCGAGGAGCTGCCGAGTGGAGCCGCTGCGGAAACGAAGTAGAAGCTGCAAAGATTGGCGGGTTGGACGAATGGGATAAAAGGCTTTGGTAAGGACGATGCGCGTCGATGCAGCGCTTCGTGTGAGGGTGAGGCGGGATGTCAAACTAACGTGTGGGCTAGTACAGGTCTCTCGGGTTATCTTTAAATCTCCTGTTGAGGTCAGAGTTTTTTTTGGGGGGCATATGCAGGGCCAGGGCTTTTTATAAACGATGTCTGTACTTCAACAACTAACGCAGGTGTCTTCGAAGGGCACTTTAGAATGCTGTGGTATGGTGTACAACGTCTAGCTGTGATCAAGACATATGGCTAGATGGTTGCAAATCTAAAACACGGGCAGAAAGCCTTCGCTACGGTCACGCGACGTACCATACGACGAATGCTCACTACATAGGTATGCACTGTCAATTCATGGTTGATTGTGCACAACGTTTGAAGCAAGATTGACTCAACGACTGTGTGTTCTGGACCACCCCTACCCCATACCCATGTCACCTATTTCCACTAATAGCTACTCAGCCCCAAACCTAAAGGGGCCGTCACGTGTCATTGTAATGCAGGGCCGCGTGAAGGGTTTCTCCTCATCGATCAGGTGCACTCAGCAACCTTTACTGGCTTCCGTCGCTTAGTCTTCTCTTGTGTTTCTTCCCATTCCCGCCCTCGCTCATACATTCGTTTGAACACCTAGCTCCCATAGGCCACTGCTATTCACCCTCATCTCCCTTAATAGAACTAATAGGCTGTTTGTGAAACGCGTCAGCTCCGATTCATCGTAAAAACCGCTACGAGCCTCCTTCTGCTAGCCACCAACAACCGCCCAACATGTTGCCCAAAGCCTGGCTCTCTGTTTTTATCCTGACCGTCGCATCGTCGGCCTTTACCCTCGAGGATCTACACATGGACGGCATCAACCAGTACCTACACCAGGGTAAGAGGCAGGACGCCGAAGGCACTGGCGGCTCATCGCCATCCGCCACGCCCGCGCCATCGTCAGCAGCACCACCTGCTTCATCCGCCGCACCACCTGCCACATCGTCGGCCGCACCTCCAGCAACATCCGCGACTCCCGAGCCAGAACCCTCAACCACCAACAGCCCACCGCCGTCGGACGATCCCACATCCGACGCTCCCGCACCTTCGACCACCGCCGCACCCACTAGTGATGGCGGCAACAACAACAATAACAACAACGACGCTTCAACAACCGCGGCGGGCACGAGTCGCACTGGTGGAGGTGGCGGCGCCGGTAACTCACCAAGTCCCACCCAAGAAGGCAGCTCTTCCGTAAGAACGACCCCGATTGTCAGGACTTCCGCCCTCTTCTCCACCTCGGTGTTCGAGTATACCACGACTGTCGACACAACCCTGAGCGATGGCAGAGTAACCAAAGCGACCTCGACAGGCACCAGCACTTCCGTCTCCTCCACTGGTGAAGCCGTCATCACCGACCCACCCACCGCACAAGCAGGCGACAGCGACAATGGCGGCGGCATCAGTGACTCCAACAAGAAGGTTATCGGAGGTGTTGTCGGTGGTATTGGCGGAGCCCTCCTTCTCGGCGGCATTGCCCTTGTCTTCTGGCGCATGAAGAAGCGCCAAGCACGTGTTCACGAAGACGACGACGACCTCATGGCCGGCACCGGCTCAGCCCTCGGTGACAAGCCCCAGAATGGTACTGGTTCATCGCCTTTCCAGTCAAACTTGGAGCAGTACCACAACCCAGGAGGACGCCCCAACGCAGCTGCCAACTTCTAGGCGAAGCGCAGCCCACCCAAAGTACATAGGCCTATGAGGGTCCATTACGATACCAATGACTATCTGCGGAACTTGTCTGAGCTAGAAGCGATTTTGAGAAATGATAGCAAGGCGGAGGATGTATATACAGTGCAAACGCGGCTATAAACCACGACATGGCGTTTCTGTGAGTATACTGCAATCCAGGCGCTGATTCCGCGATGTCAGATTCGTGTATACTGTCACCATCGTGGTCAGTCAGTCCCTCAAGGTCTGCACACAATGTAGATTTAGACGTATACCATCACGTTAAGGAAGAGGCACCACAACGATCACTTTCGTCCGCTCACTCCCCATCATCATCCTGTCTGTGTACGTTGCGCTTTGCATCCTTACACTTGTTTTACGTCTTTTGTAATAGAGCGTCATTGTCTTTCTTGTTTGTTTTAGCATAGTCATACCCCAATCAATAGCGCGAAATATCGAAATCAACATAGTCAAAAAGTGTTTACTGTCCGATTCCTTCTATTACATCACCATCTTCATGCTCTCCTTTTCTCCCTCACACTCAAACCATGCTGTTCTTCTGTCCGCCTCGTCCTTCTTACGTGTGCAGCATGCACATGTTCATGCGTTGCCAGGGGTTGGGTTCAAGGATCGTGTTTCAGCACCGTCGCAAGCAACCAACGTGTCGACTTGCCCAAACAAGCTCTGTGACCGCTGGGCCCCAAACTCGTTTGGCGTGAGATAATGCATGTTCGGCGCTTCCACGCCATGTGGAGGCGTTTGGCGTTGGGGCAGTAGTGGTTATACTTAGGTGCGGTTGGCCCCGGGTGGGTGTTTGGAACGGGTATTTGGGTCTTTTGCTCTCTGGAGAGATTGCGATATTTACATTCGTTTGGTGCGATTGAACTAATTATTTTCAAAGGCTGTGCCTAGATCCTTTGAGAGGATATTGACGATTGGGATATTGAGGTTTTGCGCACAACGTTTATTCACGCCCGGCACTTTTCGTCTTTCACGCACGACAAATAATCAGCACCGACAACAATTCACACCCGAGAGATCTTTCTACACCGGCATCTTTCACGCCCGGCACTTTTCAGCACCAATAAACGTCTTCGTCGACAAGTCGTCCTCACTCACACGTGCCAACAACTACCAGTCACTCTACAGCCATGTTCCTTCCCACAGCCCTCCTAGCTCTGATCCATCTCGCCCTCCCCGCCCTATCCCACGCTTCTCCACAACCCGCCCTAGTCTCCTCAGACTGGGAGATGTCACTAGTCCCTCGCCACACCCTCTTCCTACGACAAGTATCCGATCTGCAGACCTTTGACGGCAACCTCGGCGGAACGCGTGCATCCCCAATTACAAATTCAGGCGACAAAGAACGTCCATTCCAAGTCGATGGGGACACATTCACCAGTTTCGATTCTGCGGCGCAGAGGAGTTGCGACAATCAGTTCCAAGGGTGCAGTAACACTGCAAATAGTAATGGAGGAGGTGGAGGTAGAGGGAAGAAGGGGAAGAAGAGGCAGGACGGGGGGTTGAGTGTTAATGACTGTGATCAGCAGAAGAGTAAGTCTTCTCCTTCCACTTGCGGTTCAGTTTTCGAATATATGGCTAATGAACTCGATAGACAAGTGCAATGATGCGCAGAAGAGCGCACAGGTCAAAGACTTTAATAGTGCGGTCGCGAGTACGAATATTGGTCCTGATCCCGACTTTCCGGATTTCGATCTTATTTGCGAGGGGTAGTCGAGGGAAAGAAGTATTTGGTAACTTCCAAGTTTGGTATGGACTATGGACGTGAAGAGACGTGAACAGGCTTTGGGATGACGATTAACGCAGCGTTAATAGCATGCGTGTAAAGAATATGATAACGATACATTAGCTAAATAGGTATGAGATTCCATCTTTTCACATGAACTATGTAGCTGAACTCGAGGGTTGTGATGTCAATAACCGCATCATGCACAAGGAGTATGGATCAAAGGTCGCGGCGTCTAGCTCACGTGGGTGCGCTCCACGCTAAGTCGGGACGTGTTTACCTCGACTTTTCTTCAACTCTCTACCCAAGAGCTTTATCCACCAACACGTCTTCGCACACCAAAGCTGGGATTTGATAAGATGACCAAAATCCATTGAGTTGCCACTGCTTATCTTGCATGGTCCTGTCAACGCGCCGCGGTTCACAATGCCTCCGGCGCTTCTCTCCGCTCGTGCTAAGTCGATAGCACTTCTTCTCGTCGATCACTCTGCACCCTAGATTACCAGAAGGCCGACAAAAAGATCGACAGCTTCAATGGCACCCAAACCTCGCGCCATGACAGCCAAGGCGCTGCAAACTCTACTTGTACACATCGGCGCGCCATCATCGGGGACAAAAGCAGTACTACAGGAACGGTTCCGACGTGGTATCGGAATATTTCATCTTTCCAAGAGTCAACCGGCGTGGCCAAGATCTCGAGCTGCAAACAAGAAGCTCCGCATTATGAGCATCGACATGGGAATCAAGAATCTGGCGTTCTGTGAGGCAGAGATTTCTTACCCATCGAAGGATAGCCTAGATGCGGAAATGAAAGTTTTGAGGTGGGAGAAGGTTAATCTCACGGAAGCCCCAGGGGACGAGATACAGAACGAAAAGGAATCTCCACGAAAGGTCAAGACGGCAAAGCAAAGTACTGCAGATGCTGACGAAGCATCGGACATCTACTCTGCGGATGCTTTGTCCAAGACAGCGTATGGTTTAATCAAAAACACGATCCTAGCAGGTTCGCCAGACATTATCTTGATCGAAAAGCAGAGATGGAGATCAGGCGGTGGCAGCGCGGTGCAACAGTGGACTCTGCGGGTCAACACTCTAGAAGGCATGCTATGGGCTGTACTTCAAACAATCCACGCCCAACGACTGGAATTGGGAACATCAGCAACGACTACAGCAAAGCTCTACGAAGTCTTCAGTGCAGATCCCAAACGCGTAGGACAGTACTGGCTCACTCGAGCCGCCGGACGCCTCGCAGAAGGAGACGAAGACGAAGCGGCGACTCCCAAAAAGACTCTAAATCGATCCAAAGCAGAAAAGAAGGTCAAAATCTCTCTCCTCCGCTCTTGGCTCACTGCAACACCCGCGTCTACGGCGTCGGTGACACAAGACACGGTACCAGGCATAACCTTCAGTTTCGCGCCAGATGCAGAAAACACCCGCGAAGCGCTCCTATCGATATCAACATCCAAACGGCGTAAGAAAGCCAGGGATGAATCAGATGACGTGCTTCCTGCAGTAGCAGTCGCGGGTTCTGCGCTCAAGAAGCTGGATGATGTCACGGACTGTTTCCTCCAGGCTGCTGCGTGGGTTAGTTGGGAGTCGAATCGTCTACAGCTGCGGCAAGTGTGGGAGCGGAATATGAGCGGTGATGGGGATGGAGAAGGGTTGACGGATGAGGTTATGTTAGAGATGCTTGAGAAAATCGAGGGGGGTTGATATCAGCCTTTTCTATCGTTTCTTTAGCTATGAACATAAGATGAGCAAGATGAATACAGCAAGATATCTAACAAGCGCACGAGCTAAGCTCGTGATGAGCTGTTAGCATGGGCATGCTTCATTGAGGTACAGCAGCTTCGTGGGACCACATGCAAAGTAGTACACTTTCGGAAGCAGGCACAGAATCTCAATATAACGCACTTAAGCAATAACAGCGCAGTCTTTATCGTTCACAGCTTCTCTACCATGATGTTGCTCAGCCCACCACCCTCGTATCAAACAAAGAAACGAACCATGTCTGCACACCCCCACTTCGCGCCAGTGACGTGGCACCCCTCACAGTTCACATGCAAACCTCATTGAGACATGACTCTTTACATCATGAAGCTCCCATGCGCTCTACATCTATCAAAACATCTACGAATATATTTATGTAATTTCCAAAAATTGCCAGAAGTCTCTATTTCCGCTTGACGGTCTCGGTGGCGCAATGGTAGCGCGTTGGACTTCTACTAACTGTATCCATGGTTAATCCAAAGGCTGCGGGTTCGAGCCCCGCCCGAGATGCTTTTTGCTTCTGTTTTTGCAGGTATTCATTCATTCATCTGTATCTATCGTGCGTGTCGAGATGATGTTGAGTGGAGGTGCGCGGATTAAGTTTGACAGACATCTTTTTTTTGAGCTTGAGTGAGGGAGGGGTCGAACTTCGAAACCACGGTCGCTGACACTGTTGACACCATTTTGATTGTAGGTAATTCATCGCGTATTCATTTGACTGGGAACAGTCTATTGCTAGGATACTGTATGCGCCGTGACGCCAATAGCGCCGTGGATGCTCACTTTTGTCTGCTTATACAAACCTGACTCAATCACTCAGTTCTGCACTCCGGGTAACCTCCTCCTTCATCTCCCTGCCTTTCGCAGCTAGAAGGTTGAGCGCGCTGCCCGCCATCACGAATCCACACTGATCTTGCGAAAGAGTGTGCTTGGTCTTGACGACCTTCTCGCTGCCGTCCTTCTTCTTGAGGATGAGCTCGACTTCGCCCTTGCCACCGCTCTTCAGCACGTCCAATAGTCCCCTTGTAGCGACCTGATCGCATGCTTCGAAGGCGTCGTAGTCGGCTTCGTTGGCAAAGGTGAGAGGGACGATACCCTGCTTCTTGAGGTTGGTCTCGTGGATACGGGCGAAGGACTTGGCCAGGATGATACGGCCACCGAGGTATCGGGGTTGCAGGGCGGCGTGTTCACGGGCAGAACCCTCACCGTAGTTGTGCTCTGCTACGACTAGCCACTCGATGCCCTGGTCTCGCCACCTCTTTGCTAGCTCTGGGATACCTGAGGTCTTGCCGTCTACATCATAGGCGACGTTGACTTCATCGGTCTGTGCGTTGACTGCACCGATGAGTGTGTTTTCGGAGATGTTGGGTAGATGGCCCTTGTACTTGAGCCATGGACCGGCAGCTGAGATGGTGTCTGTTGTGCATTGTCCCTTGACCTTGTAGAGTACACGCAGGCCTGTAAACTCCGAGCTGGGGAATGCTGGGAATGGATCGAGGAGCGCTAGACGACTGGAGGTGGGCTCGACAATGACGTCTACGCTGGGGTCTGGGACACCTGGCGTAGGCATGAAGTCTGGGTTACCGTCTGCGAAACCAGCGGTGGGAAGATCAGAGCCCTTCGGCGGCGCAAACTTGAAAGGCTTGCCGTCGGGTGTCGGGATGCTGTCGGTCATTGGGTTGAAGGTCGTAGAGCCGGAGTATGACATGGCGGTGATGAGTTCGGGAGAAGCGAGGAAGTTCATGGTAGCTCGGTTACCATCGTTGCGGCCGGGGAAGTTGCGGTTGTAGGAGGTGAGGATAGCGTTAGATTCTCCCTTCTTTACATCGTCGGTACGCTTCCATTGTCCAATGCAGGGACGTCGAGGTTGTCAGTACTTGGATTTGATTCAGGGTTTACTGAGAACTCACCCGCAAGCGTTTGCCAGTACGGTGCCACCGGCAGCAGTAAACGTTTGGAGGGTTTCGTCCCGTTCCAACGTTGCTCGGATCTGTTCACTGCCTGGTGTAATGAAGAAGTCCGCCTTAGGCTTGAGACCCGCTGCCAGTGCCTGCTTCACAATCTCTTCTGATCGCGTCATGTCTTGGTATGAGCTGTTTGTGCAGCTACCAATTAGGCCCGCACCGAATGTTTGTGGCCATCCCTTCTCTTCAACTACGGACTTGAACTTGGATAGAGGTGTTGATAGGTCAGGGGTGAATGGTCCGTTGATGTGAGGCTCAAGTTCTGACAGGTTGATCTCGATAACTTTGTCGTAGGCGGCTTCCGGGTCAGGTCGTAGTAGGTTCTGCTGCATTGGCGAATTGGCAATCTTAGCGGCGGCTTCGGCGATCGGTCCACGATGTGTGGCTTGGAGGTAGGGTATATGCGCTGGAGAGAAGGGGAAGAGCGAGGTAGTTGCGCCGACTTCAGCGCCCATGTTACTAGAACACATTAGTTCTTCTCCACTCGCTGAAATCATGTAAGAGTCTTACCAGATAGTCGCCATACCTGTGCAGCTTAGAGACTGCACACCAGGGCCAAAGTACTCAATGATGTAGCCAGTGCCACCCTGCACATGCGTTAGCCAGAAAAACGTCGCAATGTTCAAAACGACATACTCGAACGGTCAGCTCGCCAGCCAGTTTCAGGATCACATCCTTTGGCGATGCCCATCCGCTGAGTTCTCCAGTAAGTTTCACACCCAGAATCTTGGGGGCCTTCAGCTCCCATGGCGCATCCACCAGAGCATCCACCGCGTCCGCACCACCAACACCAATTGTAATCGATCCCAGACCTCCAGCATTCGGCGAGTGGCTATCGGTACCCAATATCATCAAGCCCGGAGCGCTGTAGTTCTCCAAAACAGACTGATGAATGATACCAGCGCCCGGTGGCCAAAACTCGATTCCGTATTTCTTCGCCGCCGACTCGAGGAAGTTGAAGATCTCGCTATTTCCCGCGATTGAGTTGGGAAGGTCGGTATCGGCACCTTTTTCTCCCTAGCATTATTGATCAGCAAGATATTTCTAGCATAGCCTGAACGCCCTCGTCGGTGCTCCATACCACAATAAGATGGTCGCAGTGAATACTAGCAGGCACAGCCGTACTCGGTAACCCACAGCTCATAAACTGCAGCAGCGCCATCTGCGCACTCGCATCCTGCATTGCCACGCGATCCGGCTTCAACTTGAGATTCGCCTGGCCCCGAATATCCCTCCCGCCATTCGTGTTGTTCAGCAACGACTCCTCCGGACTCTCAAGATGCGAATACAGAATCTTCTCTGCTAAAGTCAATTGGCGAGAGGAACCCAGTACGCGCCGCACTTCTTCGAGCCGTGAGAGTAGTTTGGCGTACGGTGGGGTGCGGGAGGCGAGGTCCACGTTGCGCGCGGATGGCGGGGAGTGTGATGTGGCTAGGCATCTGAGCGGTTGGAGGGTGGGTTGGCGGAGGGAGGGGAGATGGGGCTGGAGAGGTAATGTCAGCGTTTTTGTGCCACTTAGAGGTGTAGTAGAGAGACGCGATGACCATGACGACTGCGAAAGTCGCATGGAGGTTTGGAGAGATGCTGGGCGGCCAATGGCATGAGTAGACTCACCCTGCAGTTGGCTGCTTGACCAGCGCGAAGTATTTGCGACCGCATCTTTTTGTAGTTTGTCCGTGGCGGCGACGCGGTGCGAGCACGTCAAAAATGGTGCCTCAGAATATACCCCGAGCCGACTGCGGAGGTTGCACGCGAGTCATATGTACCGCGGAGAAGGACACCCTCTGACCCAATCACAGCACGCGTCAAAGTAATCTGAGAGATGATGCGCTGGGAAATGTACCATTCATAGATTTATGCTATAGCAATGGCACTGGTATCCTAACTAAAGTAATAACTCCAGATTGGCAGACTATTACCGTGCCCAAGACGACGCTACGTACGTGAAACTAAACAGTGACTTAGCTAAACGTGCCGAAGCAATAGAGAAACCCTCAACCAATCCACCACACCCGCCGTCAGTCAATATGCAAAGGCAAATCAGACTAGTTTCGATCAATCAAGTCATATCGAAAGGCTGTCGTAAGCGCGAAATCATAGTCGTTGCTTCGGACTTACAAACCGGGAGGTGGAGGGACGGCGCCATAATTGGAAGGCGATGCAGCTGGTGGAGGCGGCGGCGGAGCTGCATAACCTGAAGGCTCTGAAGGCGGAGGCGGCGGTGGTGCAGCCGCGCCAGCACCGGGAGCAGGCGACTGTGTCTGGCCATAACCGGTCTGAGCATAGTACGCGGCATACTGCTGTTGCTGGAGTGCGAGATACGCCGCATACCCACCGTAGGCCGCATAAGGATCAGCCTCTGGATTCTGCTGGTAGTAGGCAATCCATGCTTGTGCGGCATTTGCATCGTAGGCTTGGTTGTTAGCATCAGCAGTTGGCGTCGCAGCAGCAGGAGACATGATTGTGTCCTGGCCACCATAACCGTTCTGACCGCCCTGACCGCCGTAGCCACCATAGCCGCTGCCTCCTCCGTTTCCTCCACCGTATCCGTAGCTCTGGCTGCGATCACGGTCTCCGCGATCTCCGCGGTCGCCACGATCGCCGTATCCCGGTCGTCCACCGCCATAGCCATCTCGGTCGCCGTAACGGTTCGGTGGAGGGCGTTCCTTGTAAGCGTGGTAATCCGACTTTACCTTGTCGAGGAGCTCGTCGCAGAGTTGCTTGGCTTGGGCTACACCTTCGGGACGGGGTCCACTACGATCTGTCAGTAATTGGAGGGTGGGAATGGCGGGGTTTACAAACGCGATGTGAAGGTACATGGGCTCGTCGCTCTCTTGTCCACTGTTTGGCTCCATGAAGCCGGAACCGCGGCCTTTGATCTGGACTTTGCAGCCTGTCTCCTGTTGAATGAACTTGACGTTGTCGCCACCGCGACCGACAACCTGTGCGCGCAAGTTAAAGCCGCTGATAGGCTCGAGACCTACGGAAATCTTCTCTTCGGGCCACTTGCGCTGGGAAGGGTTAGCAACGGGTTGGATGATAGACAGGGCGACATACTCTGCCAAACTCGTCGCGCTCGAAGTTCTCAGGTTCTCTACGGCGGAAGCGACGTTCATCTACGAGGTTAGGAAGGTCTTCCTTCATCATTTCTTCGATCATCTCTACAGCCTTGTCCAGGCCTTCTTTAGAGGTGCTAGTGATGCGGAGATACAGCGGCGGGTTCTGTTCCGATTAGCTTTGTTGATGAGAGTCTGGCTGTCCACCTACAGTAGCAGTTGCCATGTTCTTGTCAGGATAGTATTCTCCGCGAGTAGTGACATCTTGCATGTATAAGCAGGTATTCTAAAGGTTAATGGTTGTAATCGGGGATGCGTACCGGCGCCAGTCTCGTCTTTGATCTAGATGGCACATGGAGGTTAGCATTTGATAAATGGGGTGGGGTGCTAGATCAAGTAAGCTCTGACTCTCATAGAGAGATGCGCAAACAGAGACCAACTCCAGCCCCGCAGCACACGCACCAGGTGCAGCGCAGCAGAGCATGAAGAAGGCATGATCCTACATGATCAGTGGACAGCAAAAACAGTTATTTACCCTCTTTTGTGTAGCTCCTTTAGTCAGTGTATAGCGATTACGGAGATCATTGATCTCAATGTCTTTGATGTAGTCACCATCCTGCTGGTACGTCTCGTTGTTTATGGCCGCGGCGGAGTTTGAGGCAGGCGACTTGGCAACTGGAGGAGTAGCGGCCTGGGTTGTTAGTTTTGTCGTGCTTGGAGAGATATGGACGAACTTACAGAGCGAATGGGTGGCACATCGACATGCTGGATGCCCTTCTTCGCCTGAATCTGCGCGTTGATCCTCGCAGCCGCTGCCGCCGCCTTTGCTGCCGCCTCATTTTTGAAGTTGGACGATGCAGGGCTGTCTGTGCCTTCACGGGCAATAGGGCTACGGGCGCGATGCGACTCGGATTCCCTTCGCGACGGCGACCTAGAGCGTCGATCTGAGTCGAAGCGCGAGCGGACAGGGCGCTCAGCATCGTCGCTATCAAAGCGCGATCGGGGGCGGCGTTCCTCAGACATGATGCGTGTGAGCGTAGTGATAGTTGTCGTGTTGCGGTTGAGGCTCGAGTTGGTTGGTGTTTGTCGATGAATCTTAGGCTCTGGCAGGAGCGACTCGCTTATTAGCGTGCCGCGGCTGAACCTGCCTGTTCGTGGCCTGGTGGCTACTCCGACAATCGGCCGGGGATTCTATTTCACTTTCTGGGGCTGTTTGTCTTGAACCCCATCCACCTCCGCAGTCACTACTCGCCTTCACCGCGACCACTGCTCGCCATGGCTTCTCGGAGAGCAATGCTGCCGCTGCGCAGTCTGCTCAACAGGCAATGCGCCGGCTCCCTCCGCCAGCAACAACGGGCATCCAGCTCCTCGTCGACTCAGGCGCTGGCTTACAAGGCCCTTCACCGTCGCATCGCGCCCCTTCCCACCGAAGACCGTCCCCCGGCGTGGTCTGCGCCCGCTGCCGTCAGCAACATCCTCTACGAAACCCCACTCCCATCCCAAGCTCCGCCCAAGAGCCACATCCTCAACTGTTTGGTACAGAACGAGCCCGGTGTGCTGTCCCGCGTATCCGGTATCTTGGCTGCCCGTGGCTTCAACATCGACAGTTTGGTTGTCTGCAACACCGAGGTAGACGACCTCTCCCGAATGACAATTGTGTTGCAAGGACAGGATGGTGTCATAGAACAAGCCCGCCGCCAGCTCGAGGACCTGGTCCCAGTATGGGCTGTGCTTGACTATACCCAGTCGCCTCTCGTCCAGCGCGAACTGCTCCTAGCCAAGGTCTCGATTCTCGGCCCGGAATACTTCGAAGAGCTGCTTGCGCATCACCGCGAAATGGCTCAGACCCCGGAGATGGAGGAGCAATACGAACCAGACATGACAGATGAGGAACGGAATGCAATGGCACAGGAGGCTGCTCGCGAGTCCCTGCGGAAGGACTACCACCCGACAAACCTGCCCGTCAGTCAAGCACTCCGACACAAGCACGAGCATTTGCGCGCCATCACCTTCATGACTCATCAGTTCGGTGGAAAGGTGCTCGACATCAGCACAAACAACTGCATAGTAGAGGTTTCCGCGAAGCCTACCAGGATTGACTCCTTCATGAAGCTGATTGCTCCATTTGGCATCCTGGAGTCTGCAAGAACTGGTAAGCACCGTGGCATGTTCAGGCACAGCCGATTTGCTAACCACACACAGGCCTCATGGCTCTACCGCGTTCCCCGCTACACAACACTGCCGACGTGGAAGAAATGGAGGCGCAGGATGTTGTCGACAACAGTCTGCTTCCTCCAGGTTAAACGTCTTGAAGTGCGGGCGGTACCAAGTTTGTTCAGTGTCAACATATGCGGGCGTTTAATCTACGTGTATAGTATGGCGTTCAATCAAGGCAGAAGACGGCATTCCAAGTCGGAACGCTTCATTGATTTGAGACCAAACACCCTCTTCTTCGACACAACGTGAGACGTACTACGCGTGATGTATACATAGCCTGCACGGCCTACCCCAGGTCCTGCCCCACAACAGAATCCAGTCGTTCGAGTATGTTATAGCGCATGACAGGTGAACAGGTACCGCTGCGGGGTCCGCGGACGCCTCGTACGAGCGAGCGACTGGTCGGATGGAGCTAGCGACGTCTACTACGTACCAAAGATACCATGCCCAGCCGGCTCATAATGTACAAAATATCGGACCGGAGCACTGAAAATTCGGACCGACCCCATCACCTACTAGTATACTTACCAAAACTCCATGTACATCTGCATCAACACCCACAATTCCTTCCTTGAAGCTTCCTTTCAACTCCTGGGAACCCCTCAATAACAGCATAATGTCGCAAATCCCCGTTCCCGCTGGTCTTCAAGAAGACACGCTAGACCACACGATCGAAATTCTCGCCAAGCAATTCGAACCAGACGCCTTCCAGCGCTATATCCTCTTAGATGAATTGCAAGGTTCTGGCAAAACAGACATTGGGGAAGAATTGAACAAGGAGGTTTTTGCGTTTATTGTGCCGGATTTTATCAAGGCTGGGGCGAGGTGTATGACGGTTCCTGGGAGTGGTGTGGCTAGTGTTTGGTAAGCACTTGATATATTACCATAAGATGTCTTTCCTTCAAGAAATGTAGAACTCGAGAGGAAGGATTTTTATGTGTGTTTGGGGTTGGAAGATACTAACAATGAGTTTTGCAGGACACTAGAAGAGGTAACAGAAAACTACACCGAAGAACCACACAACCCGTCCGCCGTAACGGAATTAAACTCCCTCGCTCACCACGTCCGGAAACGCTTTATCCCTCCCCAGGCAACTCACACGCTCCATCTGGTTCTTGTGGCAAACGATCGCACCCACCCTTCTACTTCAAACCCGGCTAAAGTTAGTGATCTCATTCGCCCTGTCCTTGACATGGCGAGGGAGAAGGGTTGGCCTGTGGTGTTGGAATCTACGTCGCCAAGAAGTAGAGATGTATATGCCCATTTGGGGTTCCAGATGTTGGAGGAGATTGTTGTGGGGAGGGGCAAGGTTGATGGGGAAGGGAGGGGCCAAGAGGGGGGTGAAGGTGTAAAGCTTTGGGCGATGATGAAGTGCTGAGACTCCCTCAGCGTACATATTGTTCTTGGGAACATGCGCTGGACTGATACTGTGCGTATGTTGCGTACTGCTTGAAAGCTGCCCAGATGTTCTTACAACTACGTAGGGACCGTTGTACCACGGGTTTCTCGAACGCAACGAGCCATTGGGATCATGTCTGTTGACGCATAGACTATTATATTATCATTGGCAGCTTCAGCGATCGCCAAGTTACCTGTGATCCACCATCAAGACCAATCGTACGTGTAACCGATATCTAAGCAACCTGTCCTTCACATGAAGCAGCAACAAGCAAGCAAGCAAGCAAGCAAGCAAGCGAAGCGCCCCACGAACCTCAATTTTGAGTCGATTTCAACCCCTACCACCGGCAATATTACACCTCGAATCCTCACAATTACTCGAACCGACACACCAAATTCAAGTCCTGAAAACCACACCAATCACCCACGTGGGCAACACACGCGCCGCCAGTGGCAGAAAGGTTCCAAACGTCTGGGTCTGGATCATGCAAGCGCGATGTCATAAAGCGCGTTCCAGCGATCCTACAAATGCAGCACCCCTGTTGGTCGTAGCGGAGCCGGTATAGGCAGGTGAGCACGCGACCTTTCAAGATGCAGGACTACCTAGGTACTTGCATGGAACGGAGACGCGCAGACGTGCATGCACATGTTGATACAAGCATCGCCAATATGGCGGACAAATGCCGTAGTCCCGTGGGTACTCGGGAATGTATATCGATCCTTTGAGAGAATATGGATGGTTTAGAGGATTCGTTGCAGAAACCTCGTCTCGAAGGCGAATTCGTTGACTTGGATATGTGGGATTGCACTCATTCCTTCCGTACTTGTGATTTGAGAAAATGTAGACTTAGTGACAAGACTAACGGCTGCCTTCATCCTTCGTCTCGTATATCGAATCCATAACGTTTGGTCTGACTCACTTCGTCTCCATCGTCTAGTAAGTTCAGGGTCGTGTGGCTCCTCGGAGGCGCTCAATTCAGCCTGCACTACCGCGGCTCCACGGGATGGGCATGATGAAGCTCCACTTCGGCAATGGGTCCAGGTCCCTGCGACGGGTGGCCGGCGGCCGCAAGTGCTATCGTGTGGGGACGGTTGATGAGTATTCATCGCTGTTGTTTCTTATTGATCAGATAGATGCGGGGACATGTTGTTATCGTACTGAAGAAAAGGCTGTGTGCAAGGAATGCTGCGAGAGATTTCTTCCGCGGCTCCAATTATATACTGATATCTTGCGTGGTGTAGAGAACAACCCTAGTTCGCTTCGCAAAGAGGTTCGTTAAGCTGCACGTCTATCCTGGTCAATATGCAAGCTTTTCTTCTCCAATTTTCTCCAGATACTTGCATTGGCCAATCGCAACGTATTAGTGACATCCTACTGTCTCTCCTGGCAGTCTCTCCCGCTGCTTGACGATCTAGATGGACTGCAATGGCAGCCACAGCTGAGGCTTCGTTTCGATGTTCAACGTGCCGGCATTGCGCGGTATATGCCGATTGCCGCCTTGAATTGTGGATCGTGATGCTTCTCTGCAACGCGGCAGACGGTAGATGTCGTTTAGTCAATTCGAGTCGATTATGGCGTGCGGGAAGTCAACGAGCTCTCTAGTGAAGACATTAGACGATGAAGTTGTCAGATTACCAGTACTGTCTTGTCACATCCGTGGTGTGTCGTGGACTCGTCGAAGCTGTGCCGTAGAGACGCTGGATTAACCCTGGAGAATGATCGGCTTACCACCGAGGTTCAATACTCCAGGGAACACGTCCAGTAGTTCCCTCCCCGTCATACGATAACAGTGAGTGTTGAGTGGAGATGATATCCCGGCTGCATGGGATGTGGGCCCTTGCGCACGTACAGGGATGCCTGCGTAGCACCGGAGAAGGGTTCCAAGGTTCCATCATAGCGTGGATCGAGGTGCAGTTATCGAGAACACCTGCGCTCGATCGATAGGTACTTACATCCCTTATGGCGCCATGTTGTTCTGCCTCCCTCACCCTAGATTTCCGCACTCGTCTCATATATAAATTTCCCATACTCGGCTAGAAGCGCGTCATCAGCCGGATATCTTGGCACGACGACGGCGGAGGTGTTATCTTGATTCACCCAGTTGAAACCAACGGTACGTAGTCCGGCTGGCGCCCTGTCTCGGCCGTTCAACGGTCCAACGGCTCAATTGCTGCTCTGACTGTGTGAACGTGCAACGCTCATACGTATATTGCACGGTTGCGCGACCATGGATCCTCGAGGGCTTATCTGACCGTGCCAGTTTATCGCTTTCATAAGTCACAACAAACCTGTACACCGCAACCAATTGGGCCCATTTCAACCACCCCATTTCTCAGTTTGTTGGTATGAAGTACGGCGACACTCTCAGACAGAGGTCCATACCAGAATGGGGTCATTGTGAGTACCACGCCCGCACGCTACGACGCGACACGGAGGGCTTTCCGCTGACAGATGCGCGCCTACAGATAACATCGACTACGACTATCTTAAAGACCTTATCAAGCACCAGACTACACCCGGCACGAACAAGGCCGTATCCATCCCAGGCCAGGGCGAGAGCACCGAGCGCGCATTTGGCGACACCTTCTTCAATGTTTTAGCACAACAACATGATCGCATCAACCTCTTCGTGCGAAGCAAGAGCGGCGAAATCGAACGGAGGCTAGAGCACATCAGCAAGACCCTAGACCAGCTGCGCGCGCGACGCAATCCGGCGAGCGGGCGTCTCCCCGCGCGAATAGTGGAGAGATATGCGAAGATAGATGCAGACGTCGCAAGGTACGTCGGATGCGCCGGAGCGCGCGTCGGGAGAACTTGCTAACACAATCGCAGGACCGGAGAGGAGATAAGGTCGCTCTCCCGATTCCAAGTCACACAACGGACGGGCTTCATCAAGATCCTCAAGAAATACAAGCGCTGGACAAAGGACAGGGAACTCAGTCATGTCTTTAAGCAGGAGATCAGTAGCCGGCCGGATAGCCTGTTCCAGTTGGATCTGGGCTATCTCCTGGACCAATACATCGATGTGCTCGACGCGCTCCGCTCCGCTTTTGATGCCGATGGCACGTCTACGTCGCCTGCTGAGAATACCAACGGCCAGTCGTCCGCTGCACACATATCTAGAAGCATTGAGAAGGGCGGTGATCTCGAATTTGACTTGGTGATGAACGCGGTGCCTCTGGGGTCCAAGGGCAACAAAGCAACGTACTGGATACATCCAGACCATATCGTCGAGGCACAGGTCCTGTTACTCCAACACACCCGCCTGTACGTCAGCAAGGCCAGACGGAACAAATCGGTCAACGGAACGCCTCTCCGCCGCCATTCCTCCACAACCAACCTCGACCCGTACCTCGGCAACGAAGACACAACTGGGGTGGTTGTCTTGGATCATCCTGAAGCTTTCGCGTTCAAGCAAAACGCAAGTACGATTGGAGCGACAGAAGAACTACAGGGAAGCATCGGCATAAAGGCTGCTGGTCAAGTGCGGTGTTGCGCATCTGGGGAGGCGGCGGTTGTTGTATGCACAGAGGCGGATGCGCAAGGGCAGTCATCGGTAGCCGTCAAGACAGCCAAGATGGAGCGCAAGCGCCTGCAAAGCTTCCTCGACACTTACGTACGAGAGGACAGCATGAAGCATATTGAGAACGGATCGGCTAAAGATGATGCACCGGCGGTTCGACAGTGGCTTGCTGAACACCAATCTACCAAGCCTATCGCTGGTGCGGTTTCCAAACGCACACGATTTACTGGACTTCACAACAACTCAACAGGAGGCATATGGGCGACACTGGATAAAGACATATGTCTGAAAGATTCATTGTACAAAGATTTAGCAGATGACGACTGGACTTCGGCTGCTCGAGCAGAATCAGCAAAGAAGTTCCCTCATGCTGTTCTAGAGATTCGGCGTGAAGGCAACCAAGCAATGGCGCTCATCCAGACCCTTGACCGCAGTCATTTGGTATGTCGACATACAAGGTTATACACAAACAGTATACTAACAATTGCAGGTTGAACGCGTTCGAGGTTTCTCATTAGAAGCGCATGCTGTCTGGACTTGCTGCAAACCCAGTGCCATGTCCGCCCCCTTCTGGATCTCCCTCCTCGAAAAGGATATCCGCAAGCTGCCAGAACCGGTGACAAAGCGGAGTCGCAGAGCTCGAGAGAGCGCAACTGGCTCACAAGTTCAACTATCACCTCCAGCAACTTCGACATCCAACACCTCATACGATGGACAATCCAGCCCATTGGCTTCTCGTTACGAGGAGTCTTCTGCAACCTCAGTACATGAGTTCGTCGACCCACCACCGCTACAAGCTTTCCGGAAGAAGAGCCGGAAGCCTTACTCTGACTATCCTCCACCAATGAGCAGAACCGAGCCAGAACCGGAAGTCCAACAGCGATACTGGAACGAGTACGATCACCCCGAAGACGAGGAGACTGGCTACTATATCTACGTCGACCCTGACGCGCCCATCAAGTATCCCGGCCAAGATTTCGTCGAAGCACTAGCGAGAAAGACGAAGAAGCTTTTTGGCATGGGCGACAAAGCTGATGAGGCATCGCTTTCGGGTGGCGAAGACTCTGATGACGATGACACAATCGACTCATCCCCCATACTCCACGCCGCAAACTACGGGACAACAGACGCCCACGGGCAGTCATCGAACCGCGACGGCTACTTCAGTACACTCTTCCGCTCCCTCCGCGATCCACGCCACGACGCCGACCTCTTCAATGAGCGTCGCGCACTGCTCGGCCAGGTCGAAACGCACCAGCACAAGATTGAAATGACTAAACTGCGCTTCTACTCTACCGCACTGGGTGCAGCCGTTGTCATGGACCTCATCCTGGGCCTCATGACGATGACTAGTCGCAAGAAGGAACGGGGTGTTGTTGATGCGGCTGTCCTGCTGGGTACTATTAGTACACTGGTGCTTTGCGTTGTCGCGGTTATCAGTATGAGGACAAGGCAGGAGCGTGTCGGTGCGGTTCATCAGGGGGCTGTGTTGAGTATTGCTGCTGCGGTTGTGGCGCTGGATGTTTTGTTGTTGCTGTGGGTGTTGAGGATATGATGTGGTGGAGTAATGGCTTGGATGCGTTTTTGCATGTGTGGTGTTTTGCTTGGGTAGCTAGGCGTTTGGGTGTTTGAGAGGTCTACCGCTGTGCAAAGGGCGATCAAGTGTAGATGATGGAGCTGCTGGCGCTTAACGATTTGTACGTAGGTTTGAGATATACCCTGTTGTTACACTCTTTAGTGTTGTTGTGCTGTAGTATGGTCATGTGTCTCGTTCTGGTGTCCGGGCTCGAGCTTCAGTGTCATCTAACTGCGCGCCGAGTCTTGTGACCAGCATCTGTAAGTCAACATCTCTAGGCAGTCAGGCACGATTTATCGCACATGTAGGCATTTGCGTTGGAGACAACCTTGGAAGACATGGCGGTGATTGGGTAATCACAGGCTACCGCTAATCGATAAGCTGGCTCGGGACGACGTCCGGCATGCCCAACATAGCCTACCGTTATAAACGGCCCACAACACGCCCGGCTCTCGAACAACCAGCCAACCATGCCCGCGCCAAGTCATGAGGTGCATTATTCGGAATTCCAACCTGCGTATTCCGCTGGAAAGAGGCAATACATACGGCCTTACACACGGCCTCTCCGAACGGAAACCGCCATGGCGGTAGGATGATGCTGCCCAAATGGAATGCTACTGTGTTGATGAGCCGGTTCTCCTTCGGTCACTTATATCCTTGAAGATTATCAAGCGTCTTTCGGGGTATCACAGATCGCTCCAGGGATCATGCAGATGTTGGGTATGGATCTCGCCCAGGTGGTCACTTTTTGAGAAGCGCACTCTTCACATCAACGATTTGATACCTTACGGAAGCTCATGGATAATGTCAGAACTCAGGAGGTATTCTCTAATGCCAATCTTGCGTTAGGATACTCAGAGCTGTGTTTCAGACGACCGTCACCGAACGACGAGAATACGTCGAGAGTGTGCCCAAAGCGAATCATGAGTAGCACTGCAACATGGGGCACACCGACAAGTTTATAGAGCTGGCATACCTCATGTAGCCATACTTGTGTGTACGGTGAAAGGGGTGAGGCGTCCAAGAGAAGACGGGATCGTCACCAACATGCTCAACAAAAGTAAATGCTTCCGACACATGTCAAGCTTGTCCCCACATGGCATGAGATCATCATGAGGCTCTGCTCTTGGCAAACCGGGGGCTGGGGCGTTGGGGGTGTGCCGCACCCGCCGAATCTGTGATGGGAGCGGAAGCCCTCTTCCTAGTGGCAGCTAGCTGCATGTCGACTATGTGCATTTATGTGGTCTACGTGAGCGACCTTGGGAGTCGAAAGCTGCGCGGCCGCGAGGAAAAGTTGCTATCCCACGCGCTGCTTTGGTAGGACATCAAGGCACGACCCCGCCGCATTATCTCGGCGTGTTAATGCACAGACGCGTGGAAATCGGCTTGAGATGAGCCGCCAGAGTTTATGGAGGAGAAAGTGGACCGCAGTCGCCGCGAACTCCACCTGTCGTCATCCGAAGCGTATGATAATCAGATTTTGCAGCTCCCAATTGTCCATTTGTCCTACATCCTAAACCTACGGAATAATTTATACACAGCGCCATGGTCGCCATGCCATTGTAACCCGTTTTTGAGGTGAGTTGAAATCTGTGCCTACACCCAGTGTTATCTCCGATGCGCGGGCGCGCTGACAGTCGATGAAGCCTCCCAGGCTCAGCAGATCTTTATAGCATTTTCATCGACGCATTTGTACATTAGACCAACACCGCCTGGAGCGATTGCATCTCCAGAAATTTATACCCCACCCATAAAGCATCATGGCTGCCCGACGAGGAAGCCGCTTTATTAAGCCGCTGCTTTACACAGCTGGTGCTGGAGCAGTTGGTGCATCCGCCCTCTACGTTACCCTACGACCTCGCGATATCCCCGGCTCCGAAGCCGCCGCAGTCCCACCACCCACATATGGCGAGGGAGGTGTCTTCCGACCACCATCATTCCCCTCTGCCAAAAGCCGCGATGAGCAGATTGCGCAATTGAAGCGCAGCGCCGGTGTCGTCTCGCAGGTCGCCGAGAAGGCAAAGAAGTGGCTCGGTGGAGGTGGCTCTGCTGCGACAGCAGCTGAGAAGGCTGAGGAAGAGCCATATGACCTGTTGGTCATTGGCGGTGGTGCGACCGGAGCCGGTATTGCGCTTGACGCTGTTACCAGAGGTCTGAAGGTTGCGCTCGTCGAGCGCGACGACTTCAGCAGTGGTACTAGCAGTAAGAGTACAAAGCTGGTACACGGTGGTGTACGATACCTAGAGAAGGCTGTCTGGAACCTCGACTACAACCAGTAAGTTGCCCCAAAATGGTATCCTTGCGATTTCTGACTGGATTCAGATATGCTCTCGTCGTCGAAGCTCTCCGTGAGCGTCGCTACTTCTTGGACACCGCGCCTCATCTTTCACAATGGCTCCCGATCATGATTCCGATCCAGAAGTGGTGGCAAGCACCCTACTTCTGGGCTGGTACGAAGTTCTACGATTTCCTCGCTGGTTCAGAGAACATTGAGAGTTCTTACTACATGACAAAGAGCAAGGCTCTGGATGCGTTCCCCATGTTGAAGAAGGAAGGCCTCGTTGGAGCCCTGGTCTACTACGGTAAGCTCAACGGTCACTTATTCTGCAGCAGGAACTGACGTCACCAGATGGTGCACACAACGACTCGCGCATGAACGTTTCAATCGCCATGACCGCAGCGCTGTACGGCGCAACTGTTGTCAACCACCTCGAAGTCACTGAGCTTGAGAAGGATGCCAATGGTCGTCTGTGCGGAGCAAAGGCCAGGGACTGCATTGCTGAGCGCGATGGCAAGAAGTCTGAAGCGTTCTCCATCAAGGCCAAGGGTATCATCAATGCTACCGGTCCCTTCACCGACTCTATCCGTAAGATGGATGACCAAGAGGTGCAGGAAATCGTCGCCCCTAGCTCCGGTGTTCACGTAATTCTCCCTGGCTACTACAGCCCTTCAAACATGGGTCTTATTGATCCCAACACTTCCGACGGCCGTGTTATCTTCTTCCTGCCATGGCAGGGAAACACTATCGCCGGTACAACAGACACTGCTTGCGATATCAAGCAAGATCCTGTTGCTGGTGAGGAAGAGATTGACTGGATCCTCAAGGAGGTTAAGCGCTATCTGCAGCCTGAGATCAACGTTCGCCGCGGCGATGTCCTCGCTGCCTGGTCTGGTATCCGTCCTCTCGTCCGTGATCCCAACGCGAGCGCGACTGAGGGACTCGTCCGCAACCACTTGGTGACCACCTCTCCTTCCGGTCTGATGACTTGCTCTGGTGGCAAGTGGACTACCTACCGCCAGATGGCCGAAGAGACTGTCGACGAGGCGATCAAGGAGTACGGCCTGAAGACTCAGCCGCTTGTGAATCCCACTCTCGTTAGCGGGACTGAGGTCAAGGATGAGGCTCCTCTTGACGGCACCTGCCAGACTCACCGCGTTCGACTTGTTGGTGCTCACGGCTTCTCCAAGACCTTGTTCATCAACCTCATCCAGCACTACGGCATTGAGACTGACGTAGCCAAATACCTTTGCCAGGCTTATGGCGACCGTGCATGGACCGTCGCAGCTCTTGCGTCGCCCACTGAGCAGCGTTTCCCTGTCCGCGGCGTCAAGATGGCTGAGCTCTACCCATACATCGATGGTGAGGTCCGCTACTGCGTTCGTCACGAGTACGCTCAGACTGCCACCGACGTAATCGCGCGCCGCATGCGTCTAGCTTTCTTGAACGCCCAGGCTGCTCTGGAAGCTCTCCCTAAGGTTATTGACATCATGGCCGAGGAGCTAAAGTGGGACAACAAGCGTAAGGAGGTCGAGTGGAAGAACTCTGTCACTTACCTCGGCTCCATGGGTCTGCCCAAGAACAAGCTCTCGCTCACCCGAAAGGACGTCGAGAGTGGCCACGTCGGCAAGTACACAGATGAGGACTACCACCTCTACGCTCGTCACGGTACGTCAAACTCCGACGAGGAAGCTTGTGCAAACCTCTTTGCATTTGGGATTAGGCTAAATGAAGTGTTTGCAGATAAACCCGATGAGCTGCTTCAGTCCGACAGCAAGTTCGCAAGCGGTCACAACCCCGTCGTTGGCCGCGAGTCCAAGGTCAACAAATAAGCGTACAGCTACGCACTCACAAACCTGATATGGGCGGAGGACCTGTCACATCCTCCCCCATACACATCACTCGCATACTGTACCATCCTACTCGGCGCGGAGGCGTATTCGAGTCGACTTGCATCATGTTGGCGCTCGATACCATCCGCATGACTGGCGTCCTTGTCCCCATCGCGATATGTATATAATCGTCTACTCTTAGCGCTACCTGAAAGAATTGAGTTGACTTTGTTGCGCTCTTGATATGCTACAGTTCTGTCGTCGCATCGATCTTTTTGCCGAGGCTTGCTGCTCTCACCGCTCGCTAGTTTCTTCTGTCTCCACCGATACCCACATCCCACTGCTCTACTACAATTTCCTCGAAGAGCTTGGTCAGCACCACTGCTGTTATCGGGCGGATTTGATTGTCTGTGGATCTACATGTTTTAATTTTGAGGTATGCCATCACTGGTATCAGCGATACCAACTCTTCTTCAGTAGTATAGTGGTCAGTATTTCCGCTTGTCACCAGTATTGGCAGCTCGCGGGAGACCGGGGTTCAATTCCCCGCTGGAGAGTACTGTCGCTTTTCTTTTTGGCGTTCTTTTGACCTGTGGTGGTGATGATGATAGTGGTGTAGGACTTGGATCTGGTTCAGCTTTTTTTTTTTGGCCTGCTATGATCAACCCTTCCTTGCTCAGACAGAGCTCGCGTGTAATATGGCCTGGAAGCTCCATGCTGTCGCTTGATTTTCCAGTGCTGCTACTGGAACAGCGAGCTGCTTGTTGAAAAGGCCGCCTAGCAAATCAGTGAAGCCCGACGCACTTTCTTCAACATACTACTGCTCGTCCGCCCAACTGTCTCAGGCCTTCCATCCCAAGTCTGGAAGGTGCATATGCTTTCTCAGTTGTTGAATGGGCTAGAGGTAAGTGTACAAGTCTTACTCAAGCGATACTCCGCCTGGACTAATAGCATGGCAGTTGCATCGAAGACCAGGGGTCATACTAGAAGTCTCGCCTTGATATGAAGAACTTGCAATCGACCTTGTGCAGGATATCGCAGGCATGCAGAACAGGCATCAGGACACAAGGTAAAATATGTTTATGCTTTTTGCTTGACTCAGTCTCTTCTGGGGTTCTGGGATAATGTCTCGTTCAGGGATCTTCACCCACGTGGTGTCAGCCCCAGATATGCCGTTTTACGTAGCGTCAGGCTGGACGCGAGTCAGATTATGCTTTGCTGGGAAGGCAGAATTCTGGCAGTCTGCACAGTGAAATTCCGCATTCCCGTCATGGCCTGCGGTTCCTCATGGATGCCCTGGTAGAGCCGTGGTATTCTCTGCATGGTCATTACAGGGTGTGCGTGACTTATCAACCTGTAGATCGCTCATTCTACTCGAAATCATCAAGTGGACTGAGTATGACGTCGGACTTGTACGCCGAGCAAGTAGAATGCTCCATCAAGCAGAACTCCATCGAGATCTCAAGGTTCACGCGTTGTAGTGCGACACCACGGTCTCGTAGCCCATGCTGCACTCGTTTATTCCATTGAGCCGGTTCTCGACGGCGTCGACCTACGCAACTGTTCAGCATGATTTGATACGCTCTTCGTCACGCTCTCTCCAGCGTGGGGGCAACTCTCGCAAACAGCTGGGACTTGCCTCGGCAGGCTTCAAGTTCTAAGACAGGTCGTCATTCCAAGCGTGCAGCAGACGGATTAGACCGTGATGAGAGTTTGGTGGTCTGTTCGAAAGGCTTGGATTTTCTTGTATCAGAGATCAAGTTCATGGCATTGGGTCGAGGGAAATTACAGCCTGTGAGGTGACTGATATTACTGTCCGAGGAGATTTGACGCTGCGGGAGCAGGCATTCCAAACAAGGAATCTATCGGTGTATTCTACCGCACAACAGATCTTACCAGGTTTCGGGCTATTGTGCTACCACGCAATCCTCGAGCCGGGTCTAAACACACTTTGATCAGATCTTGGGCCTCAGAGCATCGTCACACATGGCTTCTCGCCGACTCGTTTCGCACTTGCCGGCAACCTCCACATACTCACGCACGCGAGAAGAGACGTTGGGCCAATGCAGCCTCTGATATGGCAATGCCCGCCAGTTCCCACGTCAATTACGTCTTTGCAACTTCTACATCAGCCTATAGATCTTGCGGCATTGAGAGAGCTGCCTCGGTATTATTTCAATTGTAGTAGTTCTTGTCGATCTTTTCTTGAGCGCATGCAACATGACCACAGTCTGGCGGAAATAGGCCATGCGTCATTGGATACTTGATTTCCCCGCAATCCATCCATATGGGACCTTGTGAGCGCAAATGACTGCTTTGGGGAAATGATCGACGTACCAGGCTGATTCGGGCAAGAGACGTGAACTAGTCCGTGCGGAGCGTAAACCTTCCGTCCAGGTGCAACGCCACTGCCATATGAAGAGCTACCAAGCAGGTACGCATCAATAGTCCCGTAGCGGATGCGAACTCGCTTTCGGACATGGCTCCTAACTACCTACCTTGCCCCGCCTAGGCCTCAGAACACCGCCGCCGATCGACTCCGGGGGTATGTCGATCATCAACTACACACTGCGAAGTCAGGGGTGGAAGCCATGTCTCAACCAATCGAGATGCGCGGATATTGAAGACTTGCTGGCGGAGATGTAGGGTTTGACAGCGTGTAAGGAAGTTGCCTCGGTCCCGATCTACGTCTCTCGATCGAGGAACAGAAGTTGGATAGGAGATGATGGCAAAAGATTATAAGTAGAAGACTCAGACGACAGAAAGAAGATCATCTTCTCAGGTCATCTCGAGTAAACCACAACAGTACACTTCGGGATTACTTTTCATCATGCATACTCTTTCTCTTCTCCTCCTCCAAGCCACAGGCGCCATGAGCTATGGCTGGGTTGCTGGCCAGCCTGGTGTCAACTCCAGGTTGTTCGCACACAATCCCGCGGTGAAGCGCCAGGCCAACTGCCCTTTCAACGCCAATCACAAAGGCGCTGCTCCATACGTTGCTCCTTATACTTACTCTGGAGCCAAGAACGGCATTCCTGGTAGCCAGAAGGGTGGTATCAAGGTGCCTGCAGATGGCGACAAGGCTCACGCCTACACTCCCCCTGGAGCCAACGATATCCGTGGGCCATGCCCAGGTCTGAACGCCGCAGCCAACGTAAGTTTGCATCTATCGAATGTGAGTGTCATACACTTGCTAACTGAAGGCAGCACAACTTCCTATCTCACGATGGTATTACCAACTTCCAGGAGCTGGTCGATGCTCAACAAAACGTCTACAACGTGGGCTATGACCTTTCCGTCCTTCTCGCCGTCCTCGGTATTGAGGCAGGTGGTGATGTGCTCTCCGGACGTCTCAGTATTGGATGTGACGCTACGTCTCGCACTGCCACACTCCCAATTCTAGGCAGCCAGCCTGGTCTTGACGGCCACAACAAGTTCGAGGCTGATTCGTCGCTCACACGCAACGACTTCTTCCTTGCCAACGGAGATAACTACAGCTTCAACGGCACCTTATTCGCGCAGATGAAGGCGGTCGCTGACCAGGTTTCTGGTGGAAAGTTCGATCGCGAGGCCCTCTCCAAGTATCGCAGCAACCGATACGACGACTCTGTCGCAGAGAACCCCAACTTCTACTTCGGTCCCCTCTCGCTTCTCCTTTACGGAGCCGCATCCTTCCTTTACGAGCTCTTCCCCAGCTACGGTGACAAGGGTGTCCCAGATCTCGCTACCATGAAGTCCTTCTTCGGTGCCGTAGAGGACTCTTCTGCCCCCGGTGGCTGGCGTCACGTCCCCGAGCGCATTCCCGACAACTGGTTCTCGCGTGTTGAGCCCTACAACAACATGGATGTCACCAACGAGATTCTTGCTCAGTACATCAAGTACCCCAAGCTATTCGGTGGCAACGTTGGCAAGGGCAACTTCGACGGTCTATCCACGCCATTCGACATCATCGTCGACGGAAAGCTGCCCAGCGATGCTACCGCTGCTCAGCTTACATGCCTGCTTTACCAGCTGGCTGTCAACCTCATCCCCAGTACCGTCAGCAGCGTTACCGACCTCACAGATGCGTTGATCGACTTCTCCGCCGGAAAGTTGAACCCCATCTTCAAGGATGCCGGATGCCCCTTGATGGTCAGCAAGTAAATCACGCTTGAGAGTCGAGCATGCTAGTAGCTGTTACAGCGCAAGCTGAGCTCGAGTTGAGGAACAGTTCTTAGTGGACCATGATGTTTGAGAGCGAGGCTTAACCTCATGCTGCTAAGGACACTAAGTCCTTGGGTGTAATAATTAGTAAATTTATTTATAATCCATCATATCATATCAAAATGGTACCTGAAATGACCCGAGTTGCGCATGATCGATCTAAACCAACCCCGAAAGTTTACATGTACCTTCGGAATTCCAAATGAACAGTGTCTCGGGTTTACCTCCGAAGCCTGGCATATCGAATGAAGGCATCTTAGCGGTCTTGACGTCATGCACCTTCGAAGACCAGCCTGAAACCTCGGGTCGATCCATCACTCTTCCGTAACACAATTCCTGCCGGTGCTTGTAGCTATGTTGCTCGAATATAACACTTGTAATGTGATGAGCGCCGTCGACCCATTCCTGTGAGCCCTGGGAGGCTTTCCATATATCCACTTGACAATATGATGTTAAGATAGTAGGTGTACATTGAAAGAGCAGCTTCGCAACAATTCTATGGCACGTGTTCTTTTCTGTTTCACTTGTGGCCTTGGTGCCACTATGGTAAGATAACAGGTCGATAATGCACTTCTATCAGAAGATAAAAAGTGGGAGTATGAAAACTATCCCAAAGGCAGAGACAAATACTGAACCAAAATCGGGGGTGCTTGGGCAATCACCAATTGTCGTCATCCACTACCACTCACGTGTCTACAGCGCCAACATACATCACCACTGGATATCTATATGGTCTTCCGGTTTCGTCTACCCGTCGTATACGTCTCTCCTCATCGTCATTGCGTGTTCCGTACTATTTCCGCTTTCCATATGAAGGAAGAGGAGATATGCGTATGAGAAACTTCTAGAACCGGCTACATGATTGGCAGAAAAAAACCAGATCCTGTCACCCTGCTCTACTTCGTGATCAATACATTCACGTGGACACAGCATCGCACCAAACAACAAAGCACTACAGTAAGTATAAGAGACAATCACTGATCTAAGCCCACCCAGTTATCTTTCATCCGCACACCGAAAGCACGGACTTTCAAATTTTGTCCAACCAAGCTCAGCTGTTATTCACACATGCGCAAGAGCAACAATACACTGAGTATCTCAAAGCTATCGATGATCGCACCGTAATCTGCACATTCGAAGGTGTAGAAATCTCCTACCTTCCGCACAGCGCTGTGAACGCTCTCACAAAGCGTCAAGACATCACCGTGTTCATAACCAAGACCGGGTACCCAAATGAAGGGGTGTTTCATATTCATGATGCCCTCGGACTTGCGGATATCATCGAACAAAAGGGTAAGAAACTCTTCCTTCTCACCATCACACTAGGACTTAGTCTGGAGTTTCTGTCTGTACTCTTGGATCATGTAGGCGAAATTGATCTGCCAATGGAACGGAAGAGATACGCCATAATTCCTAGGGGCCCACATCGGATGAGCATGCTCAAGCCTCTTAACAACCAAGCGCTGGTTTGTGCGCCGGTACTTGATGCAGGGACTTGATGCAGGGACATTTGATCAAGTGGTTCCATATCTGTCTTGCTTCCCCTTGGAAGTGGATGATGCCGTCAGGGAACCCGATGTGTAAAATGTGGCTTTACATGAAGAACATCTCATGAACGAGAAGGAGAAAGAGGAACCGTTGAGGGTATAGAGAATGGAGGATATTGGAAGTGAAGAAAGGGCAAATGCGGCGAAGTCACGGTTTCAATGGGGCTTTACATGTGAAGGGAGGTGGTATTTCTTCCGTAAAATTCCGGTCTGAGATGTCGATGACGATTACGACGATGATCAGGAAGAGGGAGCGGGCAAGAAACACGAGGTCATGGATGTGCCGGACGTAGAAGATTTGCCAAGATATGTTTGTCACTGGCAGTGAATGAGCACGCAAATTCACTGACGGCTTAAGCATGATCAATTTATAGACTAACAATCATGAGCTCTAATGACCTGATCTTTTCGCCGGAGTATAAATCACCCTTCACTGCACCAGTCTCGTCACTCAAGCTCTCATCTGTCAACTCCAAGAGATCCATAGCATCGTCAATAATCATACCTACAACCATACCTTATACCTCTCAATGCATCCTCATCCGACGCTTCATACAACAGAGTACCATAAGGTGCACCATCTTCGGTAAAGAGAACTCCTTCCTTCCCATATCAGCCATCAACGCTCTTGCCACGCACGAAAATATCCGAGAGGTATTACATTGAGATCCAGGTCTCAAAACGATATACATCCCCGACCAAAGCCGCTCGTTCTTCACCTATCGAGTCTACAAGCACGCACAGAAGCTGTTTGTAGTCGCCGTCGCAGAGAGTTTAGGCATGCTTTTCCTACGCAACTTGTTGCGAGGAAAGCATGCAGTAGACGAGCAGTTACCTCTCAAGTTGAATACCCGTATCCGAGACGAGAACAACGTGTCCTGGCCAACAATGGCTGTGAAACGATTTCTGAACGCGCAGAAACTCGTTTGCACGCCAACATTTGTTATGAGCTTGTACAAGCAGGTTGTTGTTCGTAAGTCCGGTCTGCCAATCGTAGAGGCGGGGATGGTAGCTGGGGAGAAGGACGGGAAGAGGGAGGTAAATGAGATCAAGTTTCACGACGATCATTTGAGGCCTTCAGAGTGTGCAGAACCCAGTGAAAAATGGGTGCTGGGGAAGAGATTTATGATGAGGCGTTTTGCGAACATAGGTGATGCGGCGAGAGATGAGAGTTTTCAAGATGCTGTATTTGGGTTCGGCTATGAGGTAGTGTAGTATCTAATAGGCAATCCTTGAGCTTCGCCGTCATAGGACAGCGGAAGAACCGCATCACGCAGATCAAGAGGTACACTGGCTTGATTGGTGATGGCACGTTAAAAACAAAAGAGCTGACTTAGAAAATTGTGTAACCATAAGCTAACATGCGGAAGAGATACGAGGCAATACAACTTCCGGTACTACCTGGTGTGACACGAAGCTGAACGCCTGGCTCCTGCGTCAATTTCTTACAAATCTATTGCCAATATTCTTGTAGGCGGCAAAAAGAGAACGATTCTTTGCTCCAATGGTCATTGGAGATAGTGGGTTTGGAGTCAGCAATCGAAATCGACGTGGTACGAGGACAAGCAAGACATCATGAAAAGCCAATGACGTAGAGCCACCCTGTAACCCGCGACTGTATGAAAACGATGATACTCGCATTTGGGAAGATCGGGCAAAGATGAAAGCCGCAACGAGTGGCGTCCATGCGTCCGTAGACTGTGATGACGATCAAAGTCTCGTACATAATGTGTCCATTGCATATTCCAAAGCCAGCTACCAGCCAATGGCGTAGTAATCATCGGTACATCTCCTGATTCGCACAGCTGCACGCTGTACAGATTTCTGCCGCTACCCAGCGCAAAAAAACCGTTCCTCATGATCGGTGAGTCGAGAGAAATTTCATGGCTGGTTCGTCTAGATGCTAAGGTCGCACAACCACACCTCAGCTAGCGTAGTCTTTTAGCAAACAGCGTCCATCCGAGCAGTCCGATGTAGGTTTGTAAGAATTTCAGAGTTGATCGAGATCCCGTGCATAGAGGCATTGAAGATCACTTGTTGAATTGTCGATCGGACCAGGATCGGCCGGGGCAACGTTGTGATCTGATGCCGGGGTTTGATCCTTCACACATATGTTCTTAGTACGCATACCGTTGATGAGAAACTTGCCGTTGCCTTTGAACGATGACGATGCCTTGCAGAATGGACGGCAAAAGCATCTCGACGTCTTCTAGCGTACCACAAGCAAGGTTGACATCGGATACGCACAGAGGTCTACGCATGAGCATTCTTCCGAACTTCTCGTCACAAATGCCGATAGAGGTCTGTTGGCACACACGAGTGAAGGATTCTGCGATCTAGAACAACACGGTGATCTTCGGTCCTGGGCGATCCACCATGTTTGGTAGACTTGCTCAAGCCAAACCTGGCGAACCACAGGAACTGAAAAAGCAGCGCATCAGGAGTGCCGTAGCGCCAACTCCTGTTCTGCGGCTTTCCCCGTCGAACCGGAATGTCTCTCTAAGTGAATTTGAGGAGCAAGTCGTTCAGTGGTGACGAAATCAAGGTTATCATATTGCGCACGAGAAACCACCCAGGCCTTCTGTGAGGACGCGCGGTCGGGCAGGACGGGTGAACGTCAAAGTCGTTCGATGAGCATGCTGCCGAGAAGCGAACGATGAAAACTCTTTTGCTACCCAAGAGCGAGACTGAGTTATTCACCACACACATGTGATAGGCCGCGATGCGATGGGTGTGGAGATGGATAGGTATCGCAATCGATAAGTGGATAAGGTAGGGCGCAAATTCTCGCACATGGCTGCCGCGCGGAACCAGTGCCGCCCAGTAGGACAACGCCGAAGGTGCAGCAGACCCACAATTCATTTCCAGCGCATGCTGACGGCTTGTGAATGCCATCATCACAAAGTCCAGAAGCTGTGGAGTTGGCAGCGTGCAGAACAAAGCGAGCGAACGACAGCTTTGGTTGAGACGGTCCGGCAGAAGAACCGCAGGAGGATATGTCACCTTGACGCTGTGACGGCTCGCCAACCGGTCCCACGTTGCGAATCGGCGCACAGCAAGTTGGAGCTCGCGCTGGCAGGCAGTGGAGCGTACGCAGCCAATCGTGAGTACGGAGAGGCAAAGTCTGAATAACGAGAGCGTGTCCACATAGCCACGCGCCGCCGTCGCCATACCGCTTTTGCGTTCTGGACTCTCTGCTGTCAGTCCAGGGAGACATGGCGCGACTCCTTGCGATACACGTGTGTAGCATTTCCCCAAGACAGGTTCAGTCAAAGCGGCCGGTGCCTCATCTGCGATGATGACATGTGCCCGAACGAGGCGCAGACACGCTGTGCCTGGGATGTTTCGTTTACCGGCTTCAGCTCCAGCCATGCCCCTGGCGGAAGAGGGCGCGAAGAGCTCCGCGATGCAGTGATCGTCAGGTACAGCGTTGTGATTGGCTGTCTGTGTCCGTCGCCATGCCACTTGCGGAAGCATGAAACCCGTCAGCTTGCGATAATTTCGACTTGGCCATATTTAGCTGGAAACGAGCGCACTGTCAGTGTAAGGAAAAAGAAGGCAATCGATAGAGGTGGGAGTGCCCTTGGCAAGCGCATGCACATGAACACAAGGAAAAGAAAGTCTGGAGTTCGTTGCGGTGGAGATGAGCGCCGACAATTTCGATCGAGCGACGGCCATGAGCGAATGAGCGTGGTAGCGGGGCGACGACTCAAGCTTGTCAGTGGTGTTGTTGAGGCCGCCATGGCACGCCGTTCCACCAGCAGCCGGCCCGGAGTGGCAGGCCCCCCGATGACAGAAGCAGGCTAGATGGCGTCGTGGTGAGCGGAGGATGCGATGCGCAAGCGATGGCACCAGGCACGTTGCCAGGGGCCGGCCTAGTGCCGACCCTAGCGTAAAAGCTCGTGGGAATCCACTCTGCCCACCTTTCTTTCACTCACTAACCCACACCATCACCCACACACTCTTTCTATATTTCAAGCTGCTCCCTCCCTCCTGTAACACTCATTCTACAGGCTCGAGGTCTTCTTGTTCATTCATTCACTCCCTCAAGACATTTCGTCTCCAACTGTCATTCCTGACACCATACATTGTCAACGCGACAACTCACAATACCACTCACTCGAACTGCTAGTCGGTTCTGTCACTCCTGCAAATTCCAAACAAACATCTATAGCATCATTCCTTCAGCTATCCAACACTGCCAACCGCCAAAATGAAGACATCCGCTGTCCTCGCTTCTATCCTGTTCGGCTCCTACGCCGTTGCTGCGCCTTTCGACAGACGCGCTCTTGTCTACAAGACCGAGGTCGTCACTGAGACCGTCGTTGTCTACACCACCGTCTGGGACGACGAGCCGGTCGCTCAGCCCACTACCACCAGTGCTGGCGAATTCTACGAGCAGCCCAGCAAGCCTTCCACTACCAGCACTGCTGTAGTCGTTCCCTCATCCTCTGCTGTGGTCACTCCCCAGGCTGCTCCTACCAAGGCCGCCCCCACCTCCTCCAAGGCTGCCCCGGCCTACACTCCAGTTGTTCCCGAGAAGCCGTCCAGTGTCTACACTCCTCCTGTTGAGACACCTACTTCCGTCTACACTCCTGCTCCTGCCCCAGTCTCTTCCTACGTCGCGCCTCCACCTGCGCCTGAGCCAACCACCACCGCAGTCGCTTCCCCTACCCCCGAGCCTGTGTACTCTCAAGCTCCTGCTCCCTCAAGCGCTGCGCCTAGCTACGGTTCTTCTTCTTCTGGTGGAGTATCTTCTGGTGCCTCTTACGACAATGTAGAGATTACCGTCTACGACATGAACGTAGGCGACTATGGCGCTTGCGGTGAGGTCCAATCCGATGATTCCAAGGTCGTCGCCATCAGCATTGGAGCCTGGAACGAGATGGGCGGAAGCATTCACAACGTCATGACCGGCGAGTCTTCCAACCCATGGTGTGGAAAGGAAGTTGAGATTGAGTACCAAGGCCACACTGCTACTGCCAAGATCATGGACATGTGCCCTGGCTGCGTCAACAAGTACGACATCGATCTCTCCCGCTCTGTCTGGGCGGAGCTTGGCCTGTCTGAGACCACCCGCTACCACGGCGTCAACTGGAAGATCATCTAAACGCCTCCTTCAGCCACGCCACGATTCATATACCCAAGATTCTGATATCTCGCTAGCGCAGGCAGGGTCAGCGCTTTGCACGACCAAGTTACGACTCATTTTTTCACGCATCAGGCAGGGACCGGTGACCGGAGTATACGGAAAGGAAACCGTCAGATACCGCGGTTCTTGTTCAGCTTTGCTCTTCTAGATTCGCCTTGCCACTTGTATTGTAAAGCAGATCCCATGGTGTATATGGGGGTACTTTGCTCATTAGAGGCTCCTTCTCACATTTCTTGTCGCTCTTTGACTACAGCGGGCTTGCCACGCTTTTCTTCGCTTCCTTGTATAAGACTTTAGGGCTGGTGTATGGGAGAACATCTTAGATACCCATACAAGTTGGACATCGGAGGTTCATATCTACCAAAAGAAAATACATGATGCATTGCGCAACTTCAAAACCATAGTCTTGCTGCATTCACGTGAACGATTAGAAAAGTCGCATTGTTTGTGCTAACCTCCTTCTACGGTATCGGCAAAGCTCTTCACAGTGGCTAATACGAGGCCTCCCCCTGATAATACGAGCTGAGCTATTAACGAACGCGCAAGCACTCGACTCATGCCGATGCGACCATGTGGCTGCGCCTCACGCCTAGCCACCGTGCGTACTTTGCCAAAAGGAAGCTCCGAGGCCTCCGAAAATACTACCTTGGGCAGCAGTACATGCTACCTTAATCCCTCCATCACACTCTTCTAAGCAAGGCTACTCAGCCACAGATCCCAGATGCAGACCTTGTGAAATTTTGATCCGCAAAAGAAATGAGACTTTTGCCTGCTTGTGAAAACCATGTCGCAACGCGCACACAAAGAAAACAATGAACGCCTGACGTCCAAACAACGCTTGCGGCTCGTTTCAGAAGGAACCAAGTTGCGATGTGCGAGGTGTTTGCCCCTTGGTAATTTCATAACGCGCCGGGGGAGGGTCTAGCACAGGGTGATTGTGCTTTGCTAGGCTCCACATGTTGGCTGTTTCAATCGTGAACACTAGTTTGGTTTTCTCGGTCGGGAGTTTTGAGCGTGTTGAAGTCTGTCGTAAACAGATGTTGCGTTAGTTTGTTGTTCCAGTCTTTGATATTACTAAAGGGTAAACCCTATGTTGATCATATTTTGTTCGCGGTTGATGGACAACGCAACTGCCCCCTTTAGAGTGCCAGCAAGGATGACATCATCGTGACCGTGGACCAACACCACAATGACCAACAGTCAGGAATGGACAGAGGACTGTTTGTAACGGACGTCCAACAGCATACAACCGTATACCAACATATTTGAAAGCGAAACCCACTACCACAGCAATTTATCCAGGATGGCGAACCGCCTCTCTCGCTCACTCGATGAGATTGAAGCGCACACTCCAGCGATCAAGTCACAAGATGCGGACACCGATGTTACCTCTAAGAACGGCGAGCAAATCCAAGAGGGCGATCATGTATACACGCGGATAAGAGGTGGAAGGCATGAGGGCAATGTATGCTATCCACGCCTGCATCTGCAGCACATAAGCGTCCCAGGCTAGAGCTGACACCATAAGAAGGTAGACAAGATCGTGACCAACCAAGAAGAAGCTGATGCAGAGGGCGTAAAGCACCCACCCAAGGTGCGTTTCTGAAGTCTGCGAAGGAAGATGTGCCTAGGTAAAGAAAATAAAATACTGATTTGATTGACTAGGTGCTATTCACAGACCAGAAGGGGAAAGCTGTAGCGCACAATCCAGGTACACTCGATGTGACGGATAAAGCCTGAGGAAACGGTTCTTTTCGTACTCCCAGACTATATCCGCAGGCAATATAGGACAAAGGTCTTGTCTTCAGGTATTCCTCACAGCGAACCTTGGGATCAGAAAGAGAAGCAGCTCTGGAGTAAAGCAGAGCGTAACAAAGTCCATACACGATACATATATCCCAGATCCCAAATCTCCATCATCCCTCTCCAAATCCATATTATCATCAATCTCCCAAAAATAGTCCCATGTCCGTCTGCACAACGTTTACCCGCCTCCCCAAACCCAATCCTCAGCGCACCCACGCAAAACACCCATCTTTTAACCGCCGGAAGACACCGCATTCCACAGCTCGCTTCTTTCCTACCGAAACCGGTAGCTGAGCTGATGCACCCGGGTGTGAGTTTTACCAGCACTCATCCGGTGGTCAAAAGAAAGTTTTCTCTGTGCGCGCGCTGGTTCGCGTGGGAAAACGAGAGGCGTGTGGTGCCATGCGTTGGCCTTATCGAGCGTCTATCTCACGTGCAAGCCTTGTGCCAACGTGGTTAGGCACGTGGAGGGTTGCGACTGGCGAGCCGAGGCTGTGGGTTGCCAGCTGGTGGTGGCGTGGCAGGTTGCGCCCGAGATTCCTCCGTTGGAACCCGCGTTGTCGAAGAGGAATAAGCAAACATCACCCACGGCTGGATACGAGGATTTGTTGGCAGTGTTTAAGGGAGTAGCTTCGTTGTGACGTACCTGGTGGGGTGTCGGTGGGTTTGTTGAGTCTGCAGAGTGAGTAGTAATGGACGGCTGCGATGCCACAAGTAAACTAGAGGCTGGAAGACGGCTGTATGTGTATCAAGCGTATTTTGGTAGTGTCTTGAACTGTTCAATGCATCAGCTTTGAGGAGCTCTCCCCAAATGGGAATGCACTCGTGAAGAATGTGCATTTTCTACAGTTTGCAGGCTCCAGCTACGCCTGCGTTGGATTGTTCGTCATGGATGCCCACTCTTTGCGTTGGGGGAATGTACTCGTCCCCCTTCTTAGGTGATGGATCAAGTGCAGAGGGTGGAGACACATATATCATAAGGGCTGTTCCGCCCAAGGTGTAAGCTTTGCAATTGATTCTTGAGAACATAGTCGTATTATCAATTGTTTGTAAATTCGTCTCGAATTACAAACGTAGTAGTCCGTATCGCCATACAGTAACTTCATACAGTCCCAGCCGAGGGCAGTCTCTCAAATCTTCATCTCATCCTGAGTATCGATCTTGATGGGTATAGAATGAAAGTAATACCAGTACTTGTCGCTTTTGACCCCAAACCTATTGTCCGAACCTCATCAAGCAAATCATCGCAGTCCGCATGCAGTCCGCCTCCAGGCGCGTGTGGGTATATATGTACACCAGCTCATCCGGCGTATCCGGGTCCGAGCCTTCTTTTATCGTCGCTTCTTCGTGCCTTCTTGATCTATGCGAATGCGCTAGCACCACCAGACTCGAGGAGTTCGATCTCGGCCATGGTCATGGATGGGCTCTGGAAGCGTGCGGGCAGCTCGGAGCGGTCGAAGTATAGACCCTTGCCTGCCTCAATGGGGCCTAGATTCCTGCCGGCTGCGCCGCCAATGTGGCCGCCGACAAAGGCACTGGGAATGTGGTTGAGTGGGCCGTGTTGCTGCGCCTTCTTGCGGTAGGACGCGAAGGATGAAGGAAGCTCGTTCATGGGGGAGGCAGGGTGGACGTGCGGGGTGTGGTCAATCTCTGAAACGCAACGTTAGCTATATAGCATGGCGCGGTGATAGCAAGACATACTCTGGGGAGTGCTGCGCTTGCCCAGAAAACGGATCATGGGCTGGCGATGAGCGAGGGCGCGTGTAGCGTTCATGGTGAATGAGGTGGGGTGGGGTTGTTGGTGGTGGTGGTGTGATGTGCAGGTTGCGATTGGAATTGGAATCACTCAAAAGCTTGCGCAGAAGACTTCAGATGATGTTTTGTATCAGAGAAGCGAAGCAAGGCGATCTCGGGACAGATGCTGGAGGACGGACGACTTGTTGAGTTATTGAGGAGCAGTTAGGTTGAGGGGAGCCGCATAAATGTTGTTCGCGGTTGCGGAAGGAAGACTAGGTTGCGCCGAAGGCCGCTCCATGATTGCAAACCAGCAACCCTCCCACTCACACGTGAGCGGCTTCTCCCCACACTCGAATGAGCAGATGTGAAAGCGATGGGTATTTCTAAGCCAATTCCAGCGCAAGCCTCGGCGTTTGTGGGCTTACGCGCAACACTTGGAGTCGTTCTTGAACGTTCGCGGTCATAGCTCCCATGCTGGCCCGGTTGCCTTTTCCAAACTTTTACAAGTGCATTGCTCGCCGCCAATGACAACGCTGCACACGCCCGCTCGCCTTATCACCCCGCCGCCTTCTCCAGATCCTGACCAGCGGGAATTGCATATTGATATTCGCTTCTCCGACTGCGGTGCGGACGTGCGGACCCGACCTGCTCACCATGCACGAGTTGAGCCTTTACGGCCAGGTCACTTTTGCGCGCTATGAGCAGGTTCTAAACATACTGGCGGGGGTTGCCATGATGCAGCCCCAGCGCGTCTTCGAGCGCCATGTCGTCTACAAGCCCACGCGCGAGCCTGAAGAGCCGGGCTCCAATCTTGGCCGTCGCGGCGGTACCCAGACTGTTGCGCAGAAGCAGGCCAAACAAGCTGCTCCTGTTGTCCTCTATCACACTCGGCTGGTCCAAAAGCTGTCGGAAGACGACTTCGCTACTGAAGATGCCCTGCCAGAGGAGGGCGGAAGGGCCCTGTCCGCCGATGTAGAAGATGGGGAAGAGCCAACATGGTCTTTCGTGTTCAGAGACGTACCGGATACTGGCGACAGAGGTGTCTCTATCCGCTTCACCAACACCACTGACTTGTTGTCTGGCGATCCGCATGCGTTCATGATTGCCTCAGGGCCCAATCAGTGAGACCATCTTCCCATTCCTGCCTTCACCTCTAACCACAGCGCAGGTTTGTGACCGAGTTCTACGTTGAGGGTTACCGTTTCGTGCTCGGTAACGTCGTCATGTTCCTTCACCGCATCCTCCACGAGCCCGGCATTCGCAACGTCCAGAAGAGCCCCAAGGCCACACTGCCAACATGGAAAGGCCTGAAGCTCCTCGACCCAAGTGGTGTATACACACTTCAAGCTACGGTCCGGATTGAAGACTTCAATAACGCAGCCGTACTCGAGGAAGGGGTGAACGAGTTGAAGAAGTTCCAGGCGCAAATGAAGGGTTGCGTGAACTTGGATTTGCCAGATCGCCTCGCACTAGACCCCCGTGTCAAGTACAAGGCTCCTGCAGCTCCTGCTACTCAAGCACGGCCTAGATGATGAGCGGTCTCTCACTGGCCGAGAGCAGTGGACACTAAATGGGTAGTTTCCTCATAGTAGTCACCAAACAAAGGGCGGCTTGGGGTACTTTAGACACCGTGTGTCTGTTTCCGCTCTATGGGATTATCAGCAAACGCCACTGAAGCCGAGGTATCACATCAGTCTGGAGACAAAAGCATCGTGATGAGATTGCGCGTCGGATCAGGAAGCTGGGCAGGTTCGATCTTCTGTTGTGCATCTGGTCTCAGACGAGTGAGTCTGATTGTAGATACGAATCACCTGTCTTAGTTCGGCGGGGGTAGCTCCAGTACAGACATTAACGACATGTCGTACCAAATAGAGTATTGTAACGTACGTGACGTGATTGCTGTCAAAAAAGTGTGTTCGGTGCTGTCTTGAGAGTGAGCTCAGTCCAGGCACGTGCTCGCGCGCGTTCGCGTTTCGCGCCGAAAGAAAGTGCAAGCGAGCAACCTCACCGACGTTGCTTTGTCAACAGAGATCAACCTTCATCGCCATGCACCCACCTTGACAATAACACAAGTTGCAAAATGTCCACTCGACCTGGTGTCGGCAAGCGACCGAGCTCTAACGGAAAAAACGTATCGCCACCTCCATCGAAGCGGCGGCAACAGTCAACTACAACAAGTTTGTCAGCTCTCGCTCCATGTGCGCGTCTTTGCTGACATGACTCAGGCAAGGCGGTCGCTAATTTCTTCACACCTGCCTCGAAGAAAGAGCCAGAAAAGATGACATGGCGGATAGTCAAAGACAGCTTGCTAGTCGGACGTTTTGGCGTGGCAGCGCAGTCGGCAGCAAAGGGCAGGCGCAGAATAGCAGCCTTTGATTTTGACTCAACACTCGTCACATCTGCATCGGGGAAAACATTCGCTCGTGATGCAAACGACTGGAAGTGGTGGGACAGTAGCGTTCCAGTACGGCTGAAAGAGCTGCATGCAGAAGGCTTCCTTGTCGCTATCATCAGCAATCAAGGTGGAATCAGTCTAAAGCCAGACCCCAAGACTGTGAAGTCAGATCAGAAGAGACTAGCAGACTTCAAGACCAAGGTCACAGCAGTCTTCAACCACCTCGATTTTCCGATATCGATATACGCTGCGACGAGTCGTGACCGGTACAGGAAGCCCAGGACCGGGATGTGGGACGAGCTACTGGAGGACTATGATCTCGAGAATGCAGAATCAATCGATCTAGAGAACTCTGTATTCGTTGGGGATGCTGGTGGTCGCGATGCGGTGGCTGGCGGTGTAAAGGACCACTCGTGTGTCGACAGGTTCGTGAAGATCCCAAATCGTGCATTTATGATTACCAGCACACTAAGTATATGTAGAGACTTTGCTGCTAATGTCGGTATACCATTTCATACGCCAGAAGAGTACTTCCGCCATGATGATCCCCGGCCATTCGTTAGGGCTTTTGATCCGACCGCTTATACGGGAGTGCGTGCTCAGGTCTCAACAGCTGCACGTAAGTTTGATATGCAACCTCTCAGCCGTCTCCCCGGCATCCGTGTGCTAACTTGGTCTGCAGCAAACGCCTTTGCACGAACGGAAACCCCCGAGATCGTCATGTTCTGCGGCAGCCCGGGCTCAGGTAAATCATCGTTCTATTGGAAACATCTGCAGCCACTCGGATACGGGCGTGTCAACCAAGACATTCTGAAGACTGTGAGTTGCTGACTGAGTCATCCTACCGCACGTGTCGTGCGACCCTTCTGTACTCTGAGTAACACTCTGAAACAGCGCGAGAAGTGCGTAAAGGCTGCCACTGCACTCATCGAAGAAGGCACGAGCGCCGTCATCGGTATGTTCATGTTGATCCGGGGCCCCAATACGTTCCGCATACTAAGCTAACTTCTTCAGACAATACCAATGCCGATCCAGAAACACGCGCTGTGTGGGTTATGTTGGCGCAGAAGCTGAAAGTCCCCATCCGCTGCGTACTTTTTACTGCGACACCAAAGCTTTGCGAGCACAATGATACGTTCCGCGCATTGAACCTTGGTCCAGAAGTAAGTTTACTTGCTAAGCCCCCTCCCGTACGTGAGTGCCGGAAGATAGACTTTGCGCTCGCTCCAAACCTACCATCACACTATCCGATGTGGAAATTGGTTGTGCGGAACATCCGGAATCCTTGAAATCCCATCACCACACGGAGAAACTCCCATGCTAATATCCGATCTGCACCCAAAGACGAACCGCGAATCTCGTACTATCCTGCCGCACGTTGCGTTCAGTGGCTTTGCTTCCAGATACCGCGAGCCTAAGCTTTCGGAAGGTTTTGCAGACATAATCAAAACCGATTTCCAGGTAAGCGTAACCCAAGACTTTCCATGTAGGCTGGGCTGCAGAAATGTAATATGGACTAACCAAGGTATGCATTGCGTAGTTTGAAGGCTCCGAGGAGCAGAAACTACTATGGAGCAAGTACTGGATCTGACCTCATCACAATCGAGAACGCGAATGCGAGCGAAAGCGGATCATGTGATTAGGAAACACATCCACCACGCAAGTATTGGCAATTACGTCGCCTTGATCGTGTCTTCTTCGACAGTTGCTGTGTGGACAGAAAGTCCGAATGGTATGATTGGGCGGGAAGAGGATGTTGCTGAGGGGCCGTCCCCGAGCGCAGGTTCGCAGCTCTAGTCTACGCCTTCTTCCTTTTCCACGCCGTTGAGCGCATGGCTTCCGTGCTAATCGAAAAACGGCAGTTCACACACACGGTTTCTTGATTTCCAGTGTAAAATTGCTTACTTTTCTTCCAAGTTTCTGCAGGAATACCACGATCGTACATTGACATCGCTGCAATGATACTCCGTACTGCCGACAAGAAGAAAAGCGCGCAACAGCATTGATATGGAGAAATATTACATCATCGTTTCCACAAAGCATTGTGCTGATTCATCTCGTGCGTCTAGCTAAAATGATCCTTGTAGATGGATTTCCATATTCGTCTTTACCCCCATGTCCTATGCCCATGCCGCGGCATTGTACTGTAGGTGGAGTGCCACGTTAGTCTAGGGAATCATCCGGTGAAATTGAGAGATCAGCAACACCAGACCGGTCTCGCCCAAATCCTGCGACGAACCGTCGGAATGATTGCGCGCACCTCCACAGCAAAGCAGTTCAATATGGGAGAATGCAGTCTTTCGATGTAAGCAAAGTGCGCGCGCATGTCAATATGAGCTCGCCACGTGTTTGTCCAGACCACGCAAAATTTTCAGGTACAGGAATTTCTTCTTCCGTGTGCAGTCAGCTTTAAGACTGAACTGGCTGTTCTTTCATGCACGTTGAGCGTTGCCGGCCGGTGTGGATGGGTGGACTGGCAACGGTATTCTCCCGCTTCTGCATGTCCGTGCCGTCCGGTCGTCTGGCCAAGGAGAGAGACGAGCGAAGAAGGCGGGGCGCCTGCCGACCTGAGACCGGAACCTGCTGCTTTTTCTCCCTGTCGTCATGCTGCGAGGTCCCGGGAGCCTGGAACAGAATAGTATTGCTCCGATTTTTCTTCTGCTGGGCTCGATCGTATGAGGCACGGCACGGCGATCAAACCGCGCGATTCTCTTCAAAATGAGACCCTCTGCTTACCTAGCATCGTGAGTCGCGAAGTAAATGACGGCAAGGTTGCCGGCCGCTATGAGAAACGCCATATGGGCGGACGTTCAGCTAGACAATGCGCTGGCGGTGTGAGGCTTGCTCAGCGTGCGAACAGGGAGTTGAGCCAAGCGACAGCAAGGCACCGGGGAGAAGGAATGGAAGATAGTGCGTCAGGGGCTTGAACGCCAATCAGCAACGGCTCAACGGTCTAGCGCTTCCAACAAGTTCCCCGATTTGTCTGGAGGATGTTCATTGGGCTGAAAGGCTGTCCCAACCTCCTCTGGGAAAGTTCCGGGAATCCTGTCAGGTACCGCCCACACCAAGTTGTGTTGTCGCGCCTTGTTTTGTCGCAGGACGTTGTGATCGACCGCTTGACTCGTCAATGAGGCATCGTGTTTGAGACACGGACTGAGTTGGATCAGTCAGTGTTTTGAAGATCGTGAGACTTTGTTTGTTTGTTTTCACGGTTACATGCCACAGCCTCCCTGGCCGATTTTGACGATTCAGTGTGGGCCAATCGGGGTATGGGCGTGACACGGGATAGAGGCGGGAGAAACGACATGGACTCTACTAGAATATGCCTGTCGATGTCACTGCAGCGAGACGGCAAAGGGCTAGAAGAACGGCGCAAGAATTAAGGTGGAAGGACAGAATGGCCTGGCGAACCACGCCGGTTCCTTTGCACCGCCCGGTAAACGAGTCTGTCAAGTGGCAGCCACGGTTGCGCTCACAGTAGTTGAGTGTTAGACAGCGGATGACAACCACAGCGGTGGTGGTACAGCACTTTGCAATACAGACGAGGCACCGTTTAACACCACGAGTCGTCGATCGGTCAAGGCTTGAGAGGAGGATGTGACTGAGCGTTTGTTCCTGCATAGTCTACTCAGAAGCTTTTCCCACGACGACAAAGTTTAAAGTGCGTGAGTGGGAACGGCCAGGGATGATTTGTTGCGCCTCCACCAACGACATATCGCATGGTTAGGTTGGGCAGGTGAAAATTCAACACCGAGGCAGGCCCCGTACTGTTGAGTAGGGTTTGATTCAAGCCACCTGCTGTGGTCAGGCTGTAGCGACACGGACGCGGTGGTCTAAACGGCGGCTTGGAAGGCTGGGGGACCTTGAAGCGACGGCGCCCTGGCGTGCTGGCTGCGCGGAGACAGTCCAGGGCTGGTGTGAGTGTCACGGCCTCGTGTACCGGGCTATCTGAGTCGCGCGGAAGCAGTCGACATGCCGGGCGACCATGCCCAATCAAGATAGCACCAAAGTCAGGCTTGAGTTGCACCGTAGCAGTGGAACCCGTGCGGTCGCTGTCCACACAGAAATGCTCGACTATCCCACACCCCGTCCACCGCCCGTTTCTCTTGCTTGCCCACGTCACACTCTCTCGCCATTCAAGTCGACGCCTTATCGCTGCGCTGTCTCTCGCTTGCACTCGCAAATCCGGTTGCAGTCGATCACCTCTCGTGCCTCGGTGAGTTTGACCTATCCGAGCCCACCGCGCTCACGTGCCGTCCGCATTAGGCGCTGACTTTGCATCCAGCCCCAGAGACGTCTCTGCTGCAGCATAAACAGGCCGAAGAGTACATAGCGACATACGTGGTCGGCTATCGTGGCATCCTCTCAAACATTGCCCGACCGCCTCTCCGTCCCAAAGCAGCGCGCCGCGACCCCGACGTGCTGGCGTACTGTCGCGCCCGCGCATAGCTGCTTGAGAAAGCTGGTGATGTGATCCTGGTAGCTCGCGCCCATTCACGTCACGTCCCGACCGCCAAAAGAACCAACAACCACCATGCACGACCTTAAACCTCTCCAGCTTCCCCAGCTTATCGCTGCTCGCAAGTCTTCCAAAAGCTCACTCAACATGTACGACGACCCGACTGCTTCGATCTACTCCAATGCCGACTCTGGTTTCTACTCGGCGTCGGAGTGCTCGACACCGCCCACGCCAAGTCAGTACACCCGGGGCCACTTTCGCTTTCCCAGCTCGGCTTCGTCATTGTCGTCGAGCCCGCCAACCTACGAGCCAACGGAGCCCCCCAACAGCTCAGGCAAGCTGCCCAAGCTTACCGAGGAGCCTCTTGAGCGTGAATACGACTATGGCAGTCAGGATCCGTACCGCTGCTCTTGTAAGTATTACGCGCGACTCGCCCGTGTTCGCCATGCTAATCTACGTCTAGGTGACGTCGGAGGCACCTACAGCCACGCGCAAGACTGCAGGATATCCCAAGCCTACGAGCCTCAGGACGAGTACTTCACCACTTGCGACTCGGAACTGCGCCTGGCCAAGCGACGACGATCCTTGGAGGCTTCTGCGCACAGCATCGCTGGCAAGCTCGAGAGGCGCTTTCCCTCGTTGTCGCGCAGAGTGCGCGACCGCAGCTCGACCCTCAGCAGAGTTTCACGCAGCGCAACCCCCTCAAGGGTGCCGTCTACGCGATCCTCGTCGCTCGCTGGTTCTATTCACCATGTCTCGACCGTCGATCTTCCTGAAGACTACGCGTCGCCAACTTCTACGCCTGCCCTGGCAAGCAAGGAACAACTGAGCGATGATGTGCCTACGCCAATGGCTATCGACGTCAAAAAGGCCAATGCCATGGAAATTGATCCTGAGGAGGTGGAACGGGAGCGCTATGCCACCACGCCACTATTACCGCCGCTGCTTGTGAACTGCCGGAACGATGACCTACCAGCGTCGTCGCCACTGCAGTCGCCAGCAGTCGCAGACGCAGCCCAATCTGTGGGCCCTACCCCAGCCGGCACCCCGCCAATGCGCACTTACCCTACGCCTCCTCTGTCCTCCAAAACATCCTTTGCCTCAATCCGAGCCCCCAATGCCGGGTACATGGTTCCCTCATCCGACATACCCCGTCTCATGCTCGCCGACCCAACGGACAAGTGGGCCATGGAGCTGGGCCATGCGAACTTCACCATCCTACCGGAGCCCTATGTCCCTGAGGTCTGCACTGCCGCTTCCATCGAAGAACACCTTGCCGAATGGGCACAAGCACGGCGCAACTACGCGAAGCACCAAGTGCGAACCGCGGAACACTACGGAGTGACATCCAGGCACTACCTTCTTACTGAGCAAAAGTGGGCTGAAATCGACGCCGAATGGAAGAAGAACCACGACCTGGCCAAGTCACATGCGGCTGCCACCGGCCAGGAGCTCGCTCCATATTCACCCACGGAGCCAGGTCCTCTTAGCAAGATGCCCACGCTACACGACCCCAAGAGCGAGGGAAAATTTCCTCAACTCGGCGATGAAGACATTGTCGGTCCCATGCAACAGGCGGCCGCGTTACTTCCGAAAACGCCTTCGCGCAAGCGTGCCTTTTTCAAATTCCTTAGCGACCTACGGTTCCCTGGTACCCTTCTCGGTCGTTCATCGGGTGGCGTCCGGGGCCACTAAGCCCTAACCAACAACAAAACGGGCAACACTTTCCCTTTCTCCCTTGTCGATAATTGCGTGCGAGTAATGTCTTTCCATCCTGCGCACAAACCTGTACCTTTACTATCCCTCCCCTTGCGCTTGTCGGGCCCAAGGGGCATGTTCTACGAAAGTGTACGACTATATGACAACCAGATCTAGGCCCTTCATTGGAGCCACGATCACGACGGCTCTCATCACAGAGTCACGAATTTCCTATGTTGATACAACAACTATTAGAGAGGCTTTTCTTGTCTTGCGCAGTGCAGTGGTCTGTCTGTACTGCGCTTTCCCTTCACTGGGATTACTTGTATGGTGTTTGGGCGGTTTCCAAAAAGGCGATGTGGGGGTTCTCTGCATCTGCGGCGATAAAAGCGAGCGTCATATCATCATCACATCATGATTCACGCAGCGGTGGCTCTTCAGCCAAGTCTCTTTTTACAATCTCTTTACTTTTTTCCTTGTGTTCAAAACCAAGTCTTTGATTTCGGCGGCTATACCTTTACTCGTCCTTGTCTGGGACTCGAGGGGGCAAGCGCAGTCGTGGGTCTTTGTTACCCTTTCGGTAGTAGTAGTAAGAGGAAGGATTAAGCTTCTTCGGATATGTTTCAGTATTGATACTTTGTAATTGGTCTACGGATGTGGTACGGATGGGGGCTGGGAGAGGTTGATGGTGTGTTGTACCAACAGCCTTAGTTTACCGTGTCCTCAAGGCAAGAAGATGCAACAAGCGCTCAACATCAATTCAAACACCTAGCCAAGCACACATTCTTTGCCCAAACTTGATCATGATGTCCTCGATCTCTCTGTCGATTGTGGTAGTAGCCACCCTGCGCTTGCCGGCGGGAAGCAGTCCGCAGCAAACAGCGCGGAAACAACATCACTTCCCGGTCGAGCCATTACACCCCGCCCAGCCCGGCACATGACGACGCCTTTTCCTTCCTGCAAAGTCCCCGACGCACAATGATGCACAGCTCTGCACCTCATACCCCGTTCTGGTACGCCATTGCGTCTGCACAAACAAGCCTCTTTCACTCCACGCGCAACATCCTCTTCCCTAGTTTCCCACACTGTCTCATTACTAACCAAGCCCACATATCGACCACAGATAAGCATCCCGAACCCCACCATGTTCTGTATACTTAGCGCGGCAGATGACTCTCGAGGCCGTACCTAATGGCGGTGGCTGGCTGTACTATGTGGACGTCTGTACAACATCCGCGTGCTGCACGCAATATAGGGCTATCCGGTATCTCGCTGCGCAGCCCGCGTAGCCTGCGCTTATTCGTATCCGGCTTCTGGAACTACATGACGTTGTGTCACCACGGGAGCTTTTGCAAGCGAAGAATGGGAGGGACCGGTTGTACCACACACATTCTTTGCTGGCCGGTTTCTTGGCTGCGGTTGTGCGATAGGGAAAGCGAGTGTTACTCAGATTGGGGAAAGCGAAATGGTAAAGATGGTAGGACGGAGGAAGGGTGTGCAAGGTTACTGGCGAGTCCAAAGTGTCATCTGTCAGTCAGTGTTGGAATGCAGTATGGTATGGTATGGCATTTGGACGGGCTGTGCATTTGGTGGTTTCCACATGCTAGATGCTGGTCGTCATCCTTCATACGTCCCTCCTTCTCGTTACGCGCTTAGGTCAGTCGTAAGCTGCGCGACAGCATATGCATGCTGAAGGCCAAGCATATGTTGCGGAAGACTCTCCCTTCGGTCCAGGCAGTTCCGAGGACGATCTTCGATCGAGAAAATTCGAAACGCAGGTCTGATGACGAACAGTGATTGTTTACATGAGACATTGCATATGCAGCGAAGATGAATCTCGGGAGATCGTACATACGAGAGGGCAGGCGTGTATGTAGGTCATTCTATCTTCAGTGCATGACAGCTTCCCCGGCTGGCATCTGAGACGTGGCGTCCGCGGAAGGCGGTGATGTGAGTTTGTGTTTCGAGTTGACTACAGTTTCTGTCACTTGACACCTTCCCTCCAGATACTAGATCATTGTGGAGAAGAGATGTTAGTAGAGTGATGCCTATCTATCCCCACGCCCCAACCTGACGTCTTCCCAAGCTCATAGCGCGGTAACGCAACGCCCTCACTACTGCAGTGTCAACAAGCTACGGCTCGTGCCGCATCGCATTACAACCCACAACACTCCTCACCGCAGTAGTTCTCCGCTGACAACAGCGGCAGCAGTGTGAGTTCTCTAGTCACATCCCCAAACTCTATTCATCTGACACGTCGCCAAACACATGCCTTTCCGACCCTCCTTGACCACTCGCTTTCGATATTCAACATCTGCACATGCCGCATCACCTTCGTGATAGCGGTTAGGAATACGATCATGCGTCAGCGCCGTCTTTTCATCGCCCCCACTGAATGACATGGTACGGCATATGGCTCGGCCTTTGTCCACCACATGTCGAGACATGGCGGTTGTGTAAAACGCCAGGGATGTCGGTTCCGAGACCCCGGATTCAGTGGCATTTGGTCGTTGATGCAGGCGTAGGCGAGGCAGCGTGGCTCTGCAGGTGCTCTTAATCGATCGATCCTTGAGCTTATTTCACGCTTGCCCGCTCGCCGTTCGAGGCCTGGCCATGTTGTGGGATATGTTGTGTGACAGGGCTGAAACTTGTTGATGTCTTGGACGCGGGGTTGGAATGATTAGGGCGGACTCTGAGTAGGAGATGTCAGTTCTACACATAAGGCGCGGGTAGGCAAGACATTGATACATATCAAGGCTTGGTTTTTTTTTCGTGGAATGCTTGCATCTCGCTCAACATTTCGTGTCAGAGGTGAAATATGAATTAATGTTGCTCGTCATGAATGTCCAAAGTACGTGCCTGCTCAATTTGTTGCTGCGTACTGAATAGACAACAGTTCCACTACTTCGTAATGTCCCTTCTCCTTCGCCCAATCCAATGCGGTATTGCTCGCATTATCCGCGGCTTTAATGTCGAACTCCGTCTTGTGCATTAGCAATAGCTTGCAGATCTCGAGTGACCCTGTCGCAGCTGCATAATGTAAGGGAAGACTACCGTATATGGTCGAGAGCCCAGGGTCTGCCTTCTCTTCCAGTAAGCGCACAACTGCCTCTTCCCACTCTTCTTGACATGCTATAAGCAAAGCCGTTCTTCCGAGTATGTCCTGGCTGTCTTTCAGCTCGGACAAACCCTTATAGAAGTAGAACTCATCTTTGATCAAGCTGCCATTAGCAGCCCAGTCCATGTAGAAATGTAAATGAGATCTCTCTAAGCAATCGTTCAAGTCTTCAACCCAGTCATGTAACTCGAAAAGTACCTTGTCGGAATGCCAGACGCCGATTTTTCTAGCATACTCAGCCATATCGTACGTTCCGGATGACTCCCAGACCGCACTTGCCCGCTTCGCTACTTCCTTTGATAGATCGATGTAGCTTTCCCGACCTTTAAAAGACGTATGATGTATGTAACGGTGCTGTACGAGTAACAGTTCGCCGCATGTATCTTGGGTCTCCTCCAACCATCTAGCCTTCGATCGTGAATGCGCAGGATAGCATTCGGAGCAGGCAAGTTTGGTCCCGAATTGACTAAGAGAGGCAACAAGAAACCAGCCTGGAATATTCGGTGATGCCGTATCCACATTGAGAAGCTCCTCGGAGTATCGACCAAGCATCTCGTCGATATCAGAGTTTACGAAGTTGTAAAAACGGTTATACGATGCTGATACCGGTATCAAGGAAGGATGATTTTCGGGAGAGAAGGGGGCTATTGCGCGTTCTTTCAGATCTTCAAGATCCTCTTCCCAAGCCTTCCACATCATGGTGCGATAACTCAGTAGGAAAGACCTACAAAAAAGCAGGTCAGCTCTACGTTTTGCTAATCTCGGCTTCTTCTTTCTGCGCAGATGTAGACTCACCATTGTTTGAGGCACTCCTCGAAAGCAACAGAGGTGGCTGATGTAGAAGCCACATTCGTTGACGAGAGTATTGGGGTGAGCGCATGCTTAGTCGAGCGAAACAATCTCTTGCTCTCTGAACAAGAAAAACCTTTCTTAATGCAGAGCTCGCACTTTGTCGGCCAGACCCGATCAGTAGGAAGACACTGGTCCTTATGTGTTAGCATTTGTTTGAAGATGTTTCAGTAATAGATAGCAGTGCCTAGGCAAAAACATGCCGTTCTTATCTCCAAAAGTTGCACACGTACGTAGCGATCAGGATACAGAAATAACGTACCTTCTTCTTATCCAAACGGCATCTTTCACATTTACTCATGTCCAAATTGCGCTTGACCAATACTCCTGATACCACTTGTTTTTGGCTCTCAGTCGGCTGTGGTTGTGGTTGTAGCTCTGGCGCATGACGATCCTCCAGATTGTGACCCGTCTCATGTTCTTGATCTCTACGGAATGTGAATAGACTCATTTCTAGGTCCCCATTCCTACCATCTTTGTTCATATTTTCATCTTGCCGTCGGCCAAGCTCCGCGTGAGGTAACAGACTAGGCGGAAGATTCTCATTGTGCTTATCGTATACGATCTCTCGGGGGTTTAAACGCGAGTAAGTAAGACGCGAATAACCAACAGGACATCTTATACACATAGTGTGGTCGCAATCAGCACAAGAAAGCAAGGTGTGGGGTGTCAAAAAGATCTTAGCACAATTGCAGCACTTTCGGACGCGAATTTGATCGTCATCCTGGGCCCTTCGTTTCGCTTGTTTAACCTGCCCAGAAGGGCTATGATGCCGTTTACGGTTTGAAGCCGACATCTCAGTATCTGACGTGAAGATAGGCGTTGGAGAGATTTCGAGCGAGGCGAGTTGCAGCCGAGAATGGGGAGGTTATCGTACGTACTGAATCGCTTTCGCCTAGTCAAGAAACCATGCTTCAGTAAGAGTCTCTGCCAAATCGATAGCTCAGAAAGCACGACAAAGTGCGAACAGGCCAATGTAAATGTTCTGCGACGAAGTGCGACGGCGGGAGCGACTTGTAGCCATGCTGCGCTGGCGGTGCGAGCTTATGCAGCTCGCTTCGTGGCTGACGACTTGGTGGAACAGCGGTTCAACCAGCTATTGGCTGTCGCACTTTGTCGCATGTCTGATGACGGGCTGTGTAGTAAGTGTGTGTATTCAGGCGCGCTGCAAAGCGCGCCCGGCCCCACTTGGCTCAGAAAGCAATTCACTTCTTGCTGCCTGTCGCTAATGTTGACACTTCCTAGTGGTAGTCGCACTTTGTCGCACTTTGTCGCAGTTGCAGAGCCTCGCAACCCGTGAACCTAATACCCAGCCTCTGCCAGAATTCCGTCGTTGTGGTCCTCGTCTGGCCATGAACGTCACAGACAGTGGTGCTTCTTCTAGATGTGTCGCACTTTATCGCAGCTCGTCCACGCGCGGAAAGTTCTGCCCATGAGCCGTACAGACAAGGCAGACGTGGAGCTTTTTGGGCTTTCAACATTAACGGGCCAATTCGATATATTACGACTCTGAGCATCCCACGAAGCAAGAAGGGCGTTGATTGTGGACTCCAGACCCTCTTATGCTCATGATGAGAAGCAAGTTGCGTACGCCACCGTCCATATGGCACCCTCGAAGATGCGACCAAGTGCGCTCATGTTGGCAGAAAGCAATCAAATCGGCTCAGGGACTACGCGAAAAGATCCGTCGGCCGTCAACCGGTGTGGCATCCCATGGCCGTAAACGTTCATGGGTCGTTTCAACATGAAATGGAGTGCGATGAACTGCGACAGCGAATAAGAGAGCGGTATAGCAGTAGCCCGGTAATTCTTGGCTGCATGCGAGAGCGATATTCCTTGTCCTTCTTGCAACCATGCTCGCTCCTAACCCTAGTCCCTTCGGCTTGATCCACAACAAACGCCATCCTTGCTTCGCGGGATGCTCAGAGTCGTAGTATATCAAGTTGGCCTGGTCTGATCCACCCAGACTTCACATTCCCAATCCTCAAGCCTTCTTGCTTCCTACATCCAGTCAAGTACACTTACCAAGCAACACTTCACTGCCACTGTATCCTCCTCGACCAAATCGAAACCATTCGGTTGCTCTTTTGATATCAGTTGTCGCCGGCAGACATATTCATCGCAAACACGACGCCAGCAGGCTCAGTGATGTCGACGCCAACACTACCCATTCTCGGCCTTTCCAACGAGCAACCTTCACCAGGCACAACGACTCATACCGAAGGAGACTCGCTTAGTCTGACAATAGTCTTCGGCGTACTTGGGCTATTGGTCGCAGTCGTTAGTATATGCATCGCCGTTCTTCAACTTCGACACATGTTACGCCGGACGAAGACAGTAGAGATATTTGAGCTTCCTTGTAAGGTCAATGTATGCCCGGTCGTAGAGTGATATATTGACCTGTTCACAGAACGATTTAGATAGAATACGAAACGTCTCGAAGAGCGCCCAAAGGCAACGCCGACAGGATAAAGTGTCTGAACAACGCATCCACGAACGATTTACAGCGCGCGGAGCTCTGGATAGAACAGGATTCAGATTTTTGGAAGCGCTGAAGCGACAGGCGTCGCGGACAGTCACACACAGGTACCTACGTACCGATGGATCGATATCACGTGACGTCCGATATGGAGGCCGCTGTGATGCATAGGACCTCGCGGTGTTTCTGAAATGTAGTATCAGTATAGCGTGTGTACCATTTTCCAGCCTGCCTGTTTTTTCAGAGTTTTCCAAAGGTCAGCGACCAAGCAAGATGCGACTTCAAACACGACCTAGGTAGCAAGCCGAAGTCTAGTGTAGCGTGAATTTCCTGTCCTTGTATACAGGTTGAAGAGAACCACAGATGACCGTTTCTAGCGTACAAATAGGCCGACTGGACGAGGAACGAGACGGGCACTGTCGGTAAGGCTGAGAGTGGAGACGTGGATTGCATCGAGGATCTTCGCGGTTCGATTAACTTCGGCAGCTCAGCCGCTACCAGGTCTTGGCAGTATGCGGCCTTACTTCGTCATATGCTGTATTCCGGTCAGGCAGGTGATTCATGGACCCTTCTCCAACCACCAATCTCACCTTCTTGTGCATGCGACAGAGGCCGTCGCGCGCAACTACTCTGCTACAATAACGACGGTGTATACATTGCATTGCGCACGGTGCCCACCTTCAGGCGTTCTCGGGGCACTACAGCTTATCAATCATCCATCAATACAACTCGTCCGGTGACCACGCTCCCCACGGACATCTGCACCTTTCGTTCCTGTTCACATCTTTGACTCTTGCGCGAAGATACTCGCTATTACTTACTTCGTCCGCTTGTGGCTTGTTACACTAAAAAGCATTATCGAGACCGTGCTTTGTTTCACATCTTGGGAAACACCCTCCACGGCTGTCTGCCCAAGGGACCCGACACACTCGCGCGACTCCTGAGCTAGAGAGCGCCGTCGCATTCATACACCATGTCCCTCACCGACTCCGAACTGGAGCTGGTCAGCTCGCAGCTGCAGCGGGAGAACGACGACATCCCCGAGGAGCCCGACATGATCCTCTCATCAGACGCCGAGAACGGCCAGTCGTTTGCTCCACCACCACGGATCGCCGCCCGCTTCTATCGCCATGCTAGCAATCGTCGCAAGTCATCGGCTACCTCGTCCCGCCGAAATTCGCTGTCCTCGACACACTCGCATACATCCAATCGATCGTTTCGCAACAGCTGCCAGAGCCACCATGTTGCCCAGCACCTCCGCCGTGCTTCTATACTCGAAGATCGCAAAGCGCGACTAGCAGACCGCGCCGCGCATGCTGAGCAGGTCAGGCTGCGCGCTGCGTTGGCCAAGGCTACCCCACGTGGCTCGAACAGTGAAGAGAGGGCGTTGGCAGCGCAGCAGGCCCGCGAGAAACATCTGGCACAAGTCGCGGCTTCCTGTGCTGAGGAAGTGAGGAGAGCCAAGAAGATTGCGGAAGATATGAAAGAGCGCAAGGCCGCCGAGGAACGACGGTACCGCACCGAGATGGAGGAGAAGCTTGCAGAGGCCGAGAAACGCAGGCTGGAGTACAAGCGCAACCCCAGACGGCCACGGACTGCTAGTTCACCCCCAGCCGACGTCAAGATACGAACCGAGCGCCCTATTGTGTCGACTGAGGACGCTGCGAAGAGGATCCAGGCTGCCTGGAGGGGTAAAGTTAGGCACAATATCGTCACAGCATGGCTTCAGCTTGGCCTCTCCATTGAGATGGTCCAAGAGACCAGCTTCGAAGTTATCACCGGCATGCTCGCAGACGAGAAGTTACTCAAGACCACAGATAGAATCATGACACTGTTTGTGCTCCTCCCCGACGCAGACCCAGCCTCCCGCAGCGCAGCCGTCAGAACCTTCCTCTCCTCATACCTCATCCTGGGACACCCCACACACGTCTTCAGTCGAGACGGAGACCAAGAACAGGACCTCATCACCAAAGCCAAGGACCTTGTCATCAGCTTCGAGTCTGCTTTGTCCAAACTGACAAAGCTCAACTCATACACTCCCTCCCCCACGCGTACCGAGACCGTACTGCTAGCCCATAGCGCATTCGTTACCGCTTTCAACGACTGGAAAGCTCGCGACTCCTCTGCGCTCGTCGAGACAATGGTGGCTTCATTCGTCAGCCTCGACGAGATCTGGCAAAGCGTCAAGGACGCGACAGTGGATGAGGTCGCGAACGAGTACAGGAATGGTATCAGGGATAACCAAGCTATTCTACTTAGTAGAATTAAGAAGTTGGCGGGGCCTGACAAGGCTCTTACCTTGATCAGGAAGGCTATACGCGAGAGTCGGAGGTCAAGGCCGAAGAAGAGGCTCGCCGGAGACACTGTTCGACCGCGCGTTGCGAGTGAGTCAACACCGGAGTCCCCGCTATCAGCCGATAGCGCGGCAAAGCAGGCTGAGGCCGCTTCGGAGCTTGCAGCTTCTGGACAATCCGAGATTCAAGACCTCACGGCACAGGGTCATCAGGCACAGTCGCTGTCGAAGGTCTTTACTGTCGTGCCCGATAATCGTATCCTAGTCCACGAGCTCTCTATCGACAAAGATTACCGTATCGATCCTTCGCCGACGGCCGACCTGCGCGATGCTCTTAACCGTGAGCTCTGCGACGCAATGCGACGAGGATTCGAAGAAGGTGATAGCACAAACTGGACCGCCGCCATGGCAGAGAACATCAGGGGAAAACTACTGCGACTTCTCAAACCTGGCAACTCCATGCACACACTCATCTCCGAGACCTTAGACCCTGAGCATGTTGGAAGGCAGTGCAGTCAAGGTGTCTTCTCCTATGGGAAGTTCTTTGACTTCATTGCCAGCATTCTTCCCAAGCTTTGCGCTCCATTCCGAGACACTGAGGTTCAGTTGCTAGCCGAGGAGCTACAGGAAGAGGGCGAACTTTCAAGCATGATCGAGAAGCTCTTCAAGATCCTGCACGTCATCGACCTTCTGTCGTTAGACTACTCGAACTTCCTGTTGATGAACGCCGCACCAACACTCATTAAAGAGGCTGTCGGTTACGAACAGCGCATGTTCACCCAGGATCTGGAAGAGCACAACCTCACTCTCGACCGCACCCGCCGATGGTGGCGCAGCGCAGCAGTCAACATGCACACCGAAGCCGACCGTCGCGACCCTTGGAGTCAGGCCAATCCCATCAACCGCCCTACAGCGCACAAGATTTACGCTCGTGGTCTCGTTGACCTCGCAATCGCTACACCCCCACTACGAAAGTCCGAGCTACCAGAGACCCTCGAACTAGACCGCGCACGCATCTCCCGCATCCGCGAAGACGCACTCCGCATCACAACAATCGGCGGTATCCTGCTCACAGCAAAGAACCTACTCAAGCGCGACGTGCGCGCGCAATGGAAGTCCGAAGCCAACAAGATGTGGCTTGTGTTGAAAGAGAACGGCTACATGTCCGACCCCACCACTCCTTCCAAAATCTCTTCTCTCCTCGAGTCATCCCGCAACATGCCACCCTCCACGCGCTCCCAGCTCTCCTCCACCATCACCCGTCTCCTCACTCAAGCCGAAGCGGGCAAGCTCTCCGACCCCGTAATGAAGGTCCTCTTTCAGCGCCTCAAGACACACATCTTCAACCGTGTCAGCGCTAGCAGCTCTGGTGAGCGCGTCAAAGCAGCTAGTACGGCTACAGAAGGCCTTGCTACTACCGGTCTCCCTGAGTTCGTGTCCCAGGTAGCGGATATCTGTGAGCAGCTTGGCAAGGTTGGCGAGGTCGACCGCAAGTGCCATGGCAAGTGGTACGAGGAGATTGCTGAAGAGATGGAAAGATTGGGTCTTGAAGGTGGCGAAGAGCTTACAAGGAGTTCGAGTGCGGAGAGTGAGGCTGTTACTTCTACGAGCTCGGAGGGCTCTGTGTAAGATGTCAGGATTCATGGCTGCGTTGCCATTTTGCGTTTACATGGGAGCGATAACCGGCGTTATCCTTTCTTTGTATTCTCCCGGCGCGGATACCAGTCTGTTCATTTTTTTTCTTTGGCGTTCATGTTGTTCTACTGTTGTTCACTGCATGGCGCTGGGGTGTTTTTATAGTTTTTGGCGTTGGATCTGGTACAAGCCTACGGGTTATGAGCACATACGAAGCAGAATAGCTTCTCCATTGTTTGGGGTTGACAGATAGTATATCAGGCGTTCTGACCAATACACACTACTTCTTCTATACTTCCATTGCTTCTACCTGTTGCTTGTTCTGATGTTCTTGTGCTGTGTATGTGTATGCAGTTGGTAGCGTTGTCGCAAAAGTCGGATGGAGGTCTTGCATCCTACAATTTCAGGTCCAAGCTACAAGAGGTCCTTCGAAAGCCCATACATGACTCCAGATCATTGAGCCGGACAACTGTGGTTTGGGACTATCTGTGCGCTATCACTGCGACAGTTCGTGCCGGATGACTGTGGGCTCAACAACGTAGCAGTGCGACATCGATCCTATTATCCCCTGGGTGTGGTTCACTTGTCTATCTGGCATGCTACTAGCCATCATGACTGTGAGTTTATACAGCGAAACAGGAGTTGAATGAGCACATGTTACTGAAGCGGCACTCAAGTTTAGTTTCTGTGCTTGATGTGCGTATTGTCTAAGCCATCGTCCGAAGAGGGAAATACCTTTTAGCAAAGCGGTCGTTGAGACATAGTTAGGGCAGATATGTGTCATGTCATCAAGAAAGATTGTTCAGGTGTCACAGTGACGGAGTTTGAAAATGCTGATAGGCGGACTGATTGGGGTACAAACACCTCTGGCATGGTCTAGGTTACTTGGCTCATAGCTATCAGGAGATGTGGAGTGAAGGACATTGATGACATAGTATCGCTGGTTTGTTCGCTATGAATCATAGCACATTGATATCCTTCGGACAACGTACCCGTGCTCTGGTCGGAGGTTTCGTGATAGCGGGAGGTGTTTCCATCGATTGGTAGCAAACCATCGATTAATAATGCTTACTGCTCGTTGCCTGTCGCTGCCCGGCTGGTGCTATGTCCAATCGGAGGAGCACTTCACCATCGACCTCGTGGTGGTGAGTGGATCGGAGATGTATCCATCTTGAGTATATGATTAAGGCACAGGCCGCCGGTGAAGACGCTAAGTGCGAGCCGCATTTCCATCTCGCCGAACAGAACGTGGCAACCTCATCCAACAGTCTCATAGGTTCTCCTTTGCCTGAGCTGCCCCCAGCGGAGGCGCACCTGATGCACCCGGTGGCCGACGAATGCCAAAGTTTCCTTTCCTTGCTTCGTCGATTCGACCCTTCGCCAGGCTGATACCGGGGACGACCCACTCTGAGCAACTACATTGCATACCCTGCCATGCGTACTTGCCTACGTTGGTGTGACACTTTGGACACTCGAGTCTGCCTTCCAACTTGCCTTGTTCGAGCTCGGGGCGCATCCAGGATAAGGGATCTAGGAAGTAATGGGAACAGTTTTGCGAGGAGGCTTTTTTAGCTTCTGGTGTTTCATCGCTGACGGAAGAAGCTGACCCATGCGATAGTAGATACGTTGACGTTGCTAATGCTCGTCTGAAATTGTGTAAGCGCTGAGCAAGACGGGCGGCAACAGGCAGTAGGGTGACACCAACTTGCTCTCGCACAACTCCACTTACCTGCATTTACGACATCTCAATTCGAAGCCGGAAGATTCATCGGTGACATGTTCGTCTTCGAAGCGGATCTTGTCCGCCTCTGGAGCTTGGCCACACGCGCGGCTCAGCTCGATCTCGCGTTGGTAGACCCAGCGCTGATAGGCCGGGGTGTCTTCAACGTTCTCTGGTGTCTGCATCTCACCGTATAGCTCGAGCTGTTTCATGAAGCCCTCGTTTGGCTCGCAGATGGATCGCGCTTGCCGAACGTGCGACAGAGCTTCCGATGGGCTGATGTTGTGCTCTTGCATCAAATACGCGATGACGACGGTAGCCGATCGTGACTTGCCCATAGCACTAGAAAAGAGGTCGTGGTTGGCATATTGATACAAGTGGCTGAGAGCAAATAGAGTGGCGACAGGGCGGTGTAGTTCGGAGAAAAAACGCGGAAAACGGAAGGCGAGAAAACATGGAATAGATGATGCAGGACGCGCGGAAAGCAAAACAGGGCTGCATGCCTTGCATGCTGGTGACGACGCCTTGGGGCTGTCGTCTTTTGTGAAGATGGCAAAATTGCCAAGCAGGGCAGTCGTCGCCGACGATCCAGAGTTGTTGGATATGCAAGGCTTCATTCAGCTTGACCGGGATGTTGACTTACCAATGCACCAAGACTCCGCCACCTCCCTGTAGCCCCTCCTGGATGAAGCGGTTTGTAGCAGGGAAATGCTCCAATAGATTCTCGTCGTCGACGTCGTCAACCTCCACAACCATGTGCTTGAAGGGGCCAAACAAGTCTTGATCTAGTGGTGTACGCAATACCGACAAGACGTGCGTGATATTGGCTTGCTGGAGGGCTTCGCGCCGTCGCAGCGTGAACATGCTACGCAACACTGGTTAGACAGTAGTCTGGTGACCCCAGACCTGGGCCATTGAGTAGATGCGAAACGATGGTCGACCGTCGACATTACGTACCCACCAATATACAGGTTCAGGTCCCCGGGCACTCTGTCGATGAGCGCCATGATAGCCAAAGGATGGGCTCCGAGAACAATCGGACGCCGGAGATGAGGGTATGGCGATCACAGACTTGGAAGAGACGCGAGTTGTTGGAGGTGTGCGAGAAGAGGGTCTAATTTTGGCCGAGGGTCCTGGGTTTCTGATCGCGCGTGCCCGCCAAAATTGCGGACCACCCGTAATTGCATCAGATAAGTGGTTTGTTAAATTTGGAGATGCTGCAACACGCTCGATTGACTGCTACATAGTGTATTCACTTTCAAAATCCTTGCATCGATGTATGACTTTCCCAAGTTGCATGCCAGAGGGCACGGCCAAGCATCGCAGTGAACACACCACCAGCTTCAATTACGTTGCCGAGCTAGTAGTTCATAGCCTTATAGGTGCATGGACTATGTTCCACGCCTTGCCCGTACTGACCCGTAGTTCACAGCCATTAGTGAAGCCCTTTGCAATAATAACTGTCATGGAGAGAGTCATGCGTCGTTACAGTCAGCGGTAATTTCCGCAAGACCGCGGAGCTACACACAGTGGATCAGGGACTGCATACCATTAACATGGATGAGTCTATAGCTCGAATCGACGAATTCCAGTTCTACAAAGCGCTACCGAGGCCGTTGTTGCTGCGCCCCCAGCGTACTTGAGTTGCCCGAGCAGCCGGAATCGTGAACAGCGGTCAATGAATGCCATGTTCTGTCTCGTGTCGGTGGTGTAGTGTTGCTGGCATCGTGAGACAGGCAATATTGCAGCCGTTACCGAGAGACAGAAATAGCGAATTGCTTGTACTCCCCGGCTGCTCGCAAGGCTGGCGGTGCCGCCTCGTCCCGCATCTCGGCGAATCGCATCAGGCTCTGGAAAACGGGTAGAGAAGCGGTAGTTGCAAATTTGAGATTCCATGTCGCCGACGAGGTTTACGAAGTCGCTGACATCACCCAAGCGTTGCTGGTTCGCGCTGTCTCAAAGTAGCTGGGGCGCCGCTTACCTGACCACAGAGCAGGACCCACCTGCCGGTGAATGCTACAAGGTACCACCACCACTATTGCCCTCCGACTGCAATAGTAGATTCGGCCCCAGGCCGATACCCCGGGGTAATAGTCGTGTCGTCTGCATGTTGCCGCTCGTGACAGCACGAGGTACCCTGGGATGCAGCATTGAGCAGGGACAGTGCAGGCGATGCCAATCGAGATAGGGCCCCAGATAGAGGCAGCCCTTCTCGGACGGTACGACGAGTGCAGGTACCAAAAATACCATGGGTTGCATAGTGTGTACGCCCCGCAGTGCACTGGATGCAGGCGACGGACGACGGATCAGCAGATCAGCGTGCTCTGGGTGACAGCCGTCTCAGCCTGACTGATGCCCAGGAGAGGTGAGTGTAAGGCTGCGAGGGGCTCACGCTGTTGGAACTGCTCAGCATCCGTGCACTGGCCTCCCGCTACCCGCCTTCAAGTCTAACCCACACGGTGGAATCTGACGCTGTGCCGTCTGCACCTCAGTCCCCCATGCCCGTCGAGGCGAAGCGCAACGTCTGCATGTTGGACAATCTGGTCAGATTCCAGGCATGCACCCCTCGTCAGCCAGCGGGCCTGCGCCGTCGGCTGCCCTTCTGCGCCTGCCCTACCTGCCCTACCAGCCCTCTCACCGTTGCACCGTTGCACCGGCCTGACGTCCTCGCACGTCGGCTCTACTTGGTTTGCGTAATAATCGACAGCCAGGCAGGTCGATGCTGGACGAGCGGGCGCCAATCCTCGATTGATTATTCCGGCTTCACTTGGTTCGCCTGCGCGCGCTCCCACGCTGCTGGGAAGTCGTCGGCCGTCACTGCAATCTACGAGTCGACGTCGAGGCGCTAATGGCAAGCCCTATGCACGAGACGAGCGTCGCGGCGTGGACCTTGAAGCTTCTCGAAAGCCAGAGCCCTCCTCCGACCGCCTAAGGGTTGCATCTTACCCCTGCTGGAGCTCCACTGCGCTCCGTGCCAGGAGCAACCAGGCATGGCCAATCACCGACATGGCAGCGCATGCTTTATGCTAACCGCACTCCCCGGTGGAGGGCGTTTCTTCTGCTTCGTCTGCCAACTGTTGCTGCTGCTGCTGCTGCTGCTGTCCAGCGGCGCCTCTGTTCTGCAGAAACATCGACTCGACGGAACAGAAGACGCCGGCGGCGAAGCACGCTTTCTTTTCTCTTTTACTCCACTTGCCTCCACGCTAGGGCCCCTACCGCATTCCCGCGCCATCTTGTTCGCTGCCGTGTAGCAGGAACTGTGCGCTTCCAAGGACCTGACGACTCTTCACTGCATTGCTCGTGCCAGACTGGTCATATGACGACTGGTTTCGGGTGAAAAGAAGCAATATCGTTGTGTGGCGGTGCTGGCCAGAACCCTCCCGTTCAGCTGAAGGGACCCTCCCTCCCTCGTAGGGCTGAACTTCCAACAGCCGCAAGCGCTAGCGCCCCCGCTTTCGCTTTTGTAAGCCTCGCCTTCGAGAAGCCATCCCAACGACGCGTACGTCCCCTCGACAGACCGTACAGGTACGTTGCATGTTAGTACGCAATCGCTCGAGCTCAGCTACCTCTGCACGCCCTCCTGCTTCCATCCCCTGCCTGTTTCGGCCAGTCCGTGAACATTCCGGCTAACGATTCTACTCCAGGGTCCGTGCTTGCATACACTATCCAGTAGCGAGCATACTCACTCTTGCTCGTCACGCTCGCCACATTTGCGCTGCTCGCGTGCTGCGCGAGTACGCTTCAGCTGCACCTTAGTGGCGGGCTCTCGGCGACCTCACCTTCCACGCGAGCCATGTCCTCCACACCGAGTATTCGCGTATATGATTCTCAGCGTGAATCCCACCACTACCAACTACCACACCATCGCCGACCATCGATACCAAGCCCGGCTGTCGCAATGGCCATCCCGAGAGTATGTAAGCTCGTGCTCCAGCTATTGGATACAATGGAGAGGTCTAGAGCACTTTGTGGCTTCATCACGCCAGAAATATCTCCGGATCAGTCGCAAAGCACTTCAGCCTCATCCAAGACAAAATAAGTTATATGAATCCTTCACTGACTGTGCCAAATTTTGCAGGCACGCGAACAGCCACCACCTCCCTTGCCTCCTCCACGTCACATCGAAGTCAGAGGTGGTCAAGACCCTGGTTGGCAATGGGGTAATACAAATAGTCCAAGAGATACCGGCTTTGGCGGAAATCGGCTCGCGACAGTTAGACCTGGCTCGAGCTTATACGGTGGAGCCACAGGCAGCCACCCGCGGGAGCCTTCGGTCGATATGTTTAACCATGGCCGCGAACCATCCGTCTCAAGATCCCTCGACGGTATGAGCGAACACAGCACCAGCGAAGACGACCGCAGTAGCAAAGCTCGGCCCTCTCTCGGGAACCACAGGTACGGAACACGCTATTATATCTCCCTTCGTATCATAGAGCAAGTACTATCAGAGCCCTTGCAAGGCCCTGCGGCACTTGAGTGTCTTTGGTTAAGATGCGGTGTTGTCAACTCACTGGCAGATCCTGGTCTTTGGAGGATTCTCTCGCATTTTGATTGGTCCAGAACTTGTCAAGGGTTGCTTGTATCCCTTGTGCATACAAATGGCTGGCTTTCTCATTTCAGTCGTCTTGTGGGCCAGTTGAGTAACTAACAATGAGCGACAGGTTTACGAGTGAGCGACAACTCGGTCAGAAAGCCCTCCAGAACTCATCGCAAGCCTATGACAAACAGCTGCTCTCGAAAATTGGCGGCCCGAATACACCCACACGAACAACTGCACCACCGCTCCCCTCTGGCAGCACCCAAGATTCCGCCGCCGATACACACGCTTCTTCACATAAACTGAACGGCCAGCTGAAGCCTCTGACCGTACCGACTACATCTCCTGGCTACAGCGGCTGGCGAAGTCCCGGCTTCGACTCAGCGGATTCATACAGATCACGCTACGGCAGCATCTCAACGCCAGGTCCTTTGGACGAAACTTCTTCTCAACACCGTGGTAGCTACGATCATAGCATATTTTCGGACCCAGAGTTTGTTGGCATGGAAGAGAATGGAATGCGCGATTTGAACATCAACGAGCGCAGCCCTGCCGAGTCAGAGGATTATCAGTTAGGCCCAAAGGGTGGCCTAAAACGGCGGGCCTCGTCCCCGCCCTCTGAAGCCGCGCGCGATGACCGTCCTATTCCGACTGGCCACAACGACCTCTATCACCGCCGCTCCCAGCAAATGCTCGTCAATCGGAACTGCACAGCTTCGCGGTTTCAGTCGACCCAAAACTCCCTGTCCTCCGCTGGGTCCGCAAGTCAACGTAGTGGCTCGATTGGCTCCTCTTTTGGGTTTTCAACCGCTCCAAGTAGCATGGCAAGTTATTGCGGAGATCAGCGCCTATCGCCCAGTGCGTTGTCGCCTTTGGGCGAAACAGAGTTAGGCGCAGTCTCGCCATATGCAGCTAATAGGTCGTTGGACCCTAGTCCCCGCGGGTCATTGTCGCGACCTCCGCATCATCGGGGCTTCCCAGAGTCCGAGCATCCGCAGATACGGAAAATGTCTACGGAAAGCATGCTACACTCGCGACAGAATTCAATTGCAAGCCGCATACCAGGGGCTTACATTTGCGAATGCTGCCCCAAGAAACCCAAGAAGTTCGATAGTGAAGACGAGTTACGGTAAGTGCATGGATCCTCGCCTGCCCACCGCCATTTGGTCTGCCCACCCTTGCTTAATCACGCTGACCCTGGCAATAGAGCACACGAACTAGAAAAGCAGTACACTTGCCTGTATTGTCCCAATCGTTTCAAGAATAAGAACGAGGCGGAGCGCCATCAAAATTCCCTTCATTTACGCCGACACTCTTGGTCGTGCGCAACTCTCGTCAAGATCGAGGCAGCTTTCCATCCCTCGCCTACTCGTCCAGCCGTTGCAGATGTTTGTGGGTATTGCGGTGAAGAGTTCGCCAACCCTGCCGACTGGGAAGCGCGATCTGAGCATCTTAATCACGTGCACAAGTTTGGTGAATGCAACCAAGCCAAGAAGTTCTTCCGCGCAGACCATTTCAGACAGCACTTGAAGCATAGCCATGCTGGAACCAGTGGTAAATGGACCAACATGCTAGAAAACGCCTGCATGAGAGACGAGCCCCCACCACAAGAGCGTGTTGGCTCGATGGGCTCAACATCCGGCCCCTCGAGTCTAGCATCCAAGCCAGGTGTCATCAATGAAGCACACGACGAGGCATGATTTCGAAGAATATGATACTACTGGCCTGGAGCCATATACAACGCCACAGGATGTCGGACATTTTCCAAAATCTGTAGCAACGAACCCTGTGGCTTATCCGAGCAGCTTTAACCTGTCGAACCCAACCCTTCAGCAACATCGTCTCGATCGAGCCGACAATAGCACTATCTTCAAATTATCATTCGTCCAGTAGAGCGGCGCTCAGATGTCGCCTCCTTTTTACAAAAAATTTTCACGCCCGCAGACTGCTTCGCATTTTCTTTTGCCTCGGCGGCGAAGCCTGGGCGTTTTGGTATAACGACACTGATGACGGCATTTGGTCTTACACATTAGAGATATTTCTACGCGGCTCAAGACATTTCTGGTGCCACTAAGAGCGGCAAATTTGTTGCATTTCAAGGATGTTTTATCGATTCAGCGGGCGTTGATAGGACAGGAAGTCCGGGATCACTGTTTCAAGCGAGGACGTCCAAACAGTCTTTTGACCTACTATACAGCATGTGTGTCATGCCAATGCATAAAGAAAATCTTTCCAGCGTCTCATTGACCTGAGGCTTCGCCGGCGATGCCGAGTGTAACACTAAAACCATAGTCTTGGCAAGCAGGATCGTTACTTCCCGGCTTTTGGTACCCGTTTGGGCGGCAGATTCAATTCATCTGACATCAACAATGATGCAAAATAGTTTTCCTGCTGGCGCATAGCCAAGGGACAAGCATGCTCAGCTGTCAGTCGGCGTTCAGCAATCGGCGTTCAGCAGTCGGCGTTCAGCACTTGGCCTTGGCACGCCACCACCATCAGCCAACACTCGTTACACCCTTTTCACAATATACCAGCTACGCCGACTCCCTTTGTGGATAGTATTTTGCATGACTCTACGTCAGCTGTATGTGGCGGGTCGATACTTGCCAAGACCTGAAGCACGTACCCATAAATCAAAATATGTGGGCAGAGGCGTGCGCGTCCTGTCAGCAAGTAGATGCTCGCGTGATACCACATTGAAAGAGCGAATATGCCTCCTAGATAATGGAACTTCATCGCCAATGTATACGAAGTGTACAGCAAGCTGAACAAATGCTATCATCTGCTCGCGTGTGCATGCTTGCCTATTTGGATCGTGCACAGCAACTTGGAAGGACAAAGAGCCGTGCATTTGCATTCCAGGAGGTGATCTTTCCTTCCGTGTACGCTGAAATAGAAGGCTAAGCTATCTTCAATTTTCTAGTGGTGGGTCTGTTAATTGTCTCTTACAACCCCAAAGCCTTACTCCATTCGTCCTACCTTGAACCATACACTATCGCCAAGAATAAGAAACTCTCGATCCGTTCACTTGAATCTTCGGCCCGAGCATGATCCCTCTTAAAAACTATTATACTCTCATCCAACACAGCCTAGCAATCATAATACCCACGCCACCCCCACCCCATCAAAACTCAACACAAAACCGATCATCGACCCAGACACGCGTATCCTCTCTACACGGACGAAAACACACGCTTTCAGACGAACCTGACACGTGCGGCTCGTTAGTGCTTACGTTGACTCCATCCGTGGCTCGGTTCCCACTCCTCGCGACATCCCGCGTTCATTGTTAATTTCTCCGAACGGAGCACGGATCATGGCTTGTTTCGGATGTCGGTTCTCTGACATGACGGGAGAGAGCGAGACGGGCAATGCGAAGGGTGGGTGGGGGTGTTTCCGAGGAGATGAGGTTGCGTGGTTGAAGTGAATTGTGAGGGTGAAATAAGCTGCCATGAACAGACTGTCCTTCAAAAGTGACAGCAACAATGATACAAACTAGAGCAGCTCATCTGACACAAGATGCACCACACGATAAACTAGAATATGCATAGCCTGTCTCACAGACAATTGCTTTGGAATAAGTTGCTCCAATTTACCTGACTTTCTTCTGTGCATTGCTCCCTTATGAATCGGAAAACACATTTCCCCAAACTCTATCTGTATGCTCCTCAGCCCTTTCCTGATGACCAGCAGCAGTCAAAGCCTGGAATATCTCGTCGCGGGTTGGTGCTCGTCAGGCAGTATTGGGCACCTTTACGCTCTCTCCGTTTCCGACGTCTACCCCAGGCGTGCCACCTATAGCCCAGACGCTCACATCTGTACGTATGGCAGAAGATTCTGAGGTAATGTTCTGCCCCTCTGGGATGCTTTGGCTCTGAGACTCGGTCGTTGATGCTGTTTGTTGAGGCTCCGGGTCTGACGTTGTTGCTTGTCCTTGATTGGTGCTTTGACGTTGAGAGTCGACCATAGTCACTGGTGTTGATGATGTGACTGTTTTCGGTAAGCACTACGTAGGTTTAGTATTGCTAAGGGATATTTACTATTGGAGTATGGTAATATATGCAGAACACAGAGATAAGCACTTGTACAGAGATGTGATATGTGCTACTGCTACAAGAATGGAGAAACGATTTTCGCGCGAAAATACACCTTTCGCCTTGCTCAAGGCAGCAGCGTTGTGTCATGGCACATGACGCTGAACGCCTATGACGCTGAGCGCATACTTATTAAGTTGGTACTACGAGACCGTACTAGAACAAGAATACAACTCCAAACATCGGAAATGCTGCTACAGTATGAAGGAGGAGATGCAAGGTTATATGTACGGGTGAATTGCGCCTTGAGGATAAGCTTGCAGGCGCGTCGATCTTGTCTTCTTGTCTACACATCGAGTGAAAACGATCCAACTACCTACCTAGAAAGGTGCGTTCCTATTGTTAGGAGCAGAGCTTCATGTTCTACTTCATCTCTCGCTGGGTGGAAAAATCAACTGCATATGCAGTTGATACGGGGATAAAATCATAGAACGTACTCTGTCTGCATACCCTGGTGTCATGGATCAAGCGCAAAATTCCCATAATATTGCCAGCCAGTTCTCATCTATGATCAGACGACATGAAGAGTACAAAGACCCGCTGCCTTCGCACTCAAGCGATCAGACCCACCTATCCCACCACTTGCTTAAAACTTACACAAGCAACACACTTTAGACCAGAGAAACGTCAAGATGTGTTTTTTTCTTCGTATCATTATTCCTTATACCTTGTCTTACGTCTGCAGCCCGTTTTTACTACGACGCAGACTATACGGGCGACTACAACAGATTCAAGTATGCGTCTGCTGTGACCCCGGTTACGCAAAATCATTCTACTGGGCCGACAACCTAGGAGAATACGACGCTGACTTTGTGTCTTCACCTTTGAAGGCCGACGGAGAATAATATTCGAGATGCGCTTGTCAATGCCGGTGTGGAGGATGTTGATGCCCATGTCGCTCGAGTTGGAGCTAGGTTTGGCTTCTAAGTGGATGATAAAATGTGTATCACACTGCTGCTTCCTAGTACCATATTTAGTCAAGCAGATAGAATGTAAGAAGATGTATACTTCAACCTGGGGTATATAGTATAGGTTACAGAACTATGGCTTTTTGGTAAGCTTCTAGTCGTGTGGTATGCGGCGTTGACACCGTCATTCCCTAACTCGATATCTTACACGTGACGGCACATTGACTCTTATTACCCCGATCTACGTCTTGGTCGCGCATGTACGTTTCAATCTCCGATATTAAACTCCGCAAGATCTGGGACCGCATAGCACGGCGTCCCACATGCTCAATACCGATCATACCCAACAGGGAAACATTGTGACATGACAAGGGACTGAGTTCGCGAAGCACTGCACTCAATCAAGTGCTTACGCTGACACTAACCCCGGTCGCAGGATCTGTCCACTCTGGCAAAGAGCTTTTCCCTTGGACGCCTGGAAAGACTAAAGCAGCGAATACTCGGGGACGTAGCAGCACTATGGCTGCAGGGTCGTGGAATGACCCTATTGTAAGGCTAGAGGTGACCAGGTGCCATAAGATACATGTTGACGATGCGCCTTACGCATACAACAGACTATGCTGCAAGAGGAAGGTGCGCCGTGGTGTATCGCACCATATGGGAAGATATAAGCGATCTCGACACACAAAAAGCGACGAGTCGAACGGGAAATAAAGCTGCTAGTATGCATGTGATGCAGTACATGATGTGTCGCTGAGTAGATGCACGGGACGATGCTGACGCGCTCAGATCGGAAGCGAAGCTTACTGTTTACCGTTTAGTCCCCTCTTTGAAGCAGGGTTCGAGATTTGTTCGCGTGATTACCCGTTTGTGCTCACCCATCAGCATCTTAAAGAGTAGGCTGGCTGGAAGGTGCGTTTAGTGGCGGCAGTTAGACGGCCTGCATCGTAGTATCAGCGGAGATTTGAAAATGTTGTAGGAGAGCTGAGACTTGAACGTGGTGGACGTTTGAGGAGATACTGTAGGATGGGAGAGACTGCATTGTGAAGCGGCCAATGTGTAGAGCGCATGCAGTGCCAAGCGCTGGGTAGCATCAGCGCTTCGGAAATTGGAGACGGTGGAGACAGTGTATAGCTCTTCATGATTCTCTTGACTTCTGAATGGTGTCATCCTCCAAACGGTTTGCTATTGAGGAACGTTCCTCATTGCACGCGCACCCCAGTGCCCAGGCCATTGCGATACTTGGCACAGCGGGTGTCGTTGAGAAGGGCATCTTTCCTGAGATAGCATATCGCCAAGACCCCTATCAAGTAACCACTCGCACAGATATGAGATGACTCAGTAGACGCGATATCGTGACAAACAACATAAGCGGAAGGGCGAACAGGCCGGGTGCGCCATGGTCTGGAAACAACTAGCTGTGTACCCATGCCACTCCCTCTACCCTATAGAGATCGGTCACAGTGTTACTAGTGTTAGATTAGCTGCAATGCTGCCGATTACAGTATAGCTCTTCCCCGTTCAGGCTTGCGTAGCGAGTATCTGTATCTGTTGCAACGCGTGCCGTTCCCGAAGTGATTAGGTATACACCGTTGGTTGTTGGACCAAGATTTCGGGGTACCACGACTTGCTAAACATATTGACAGGTGAATCTAGTATAGATGAGGGGTCACTATACAGCATGTATGTTCGCGTACGGCTGCAGGGGGCCAACCGAGCGAGCTGATCATTGCCTCATCGTCATGAGCGCACCAAATGCGAAAGTCATATGGCGTTTTCTGGCCCTGGAGCTTCAACGATGGATGCAGTGGAATAGAACCCCACTTCGATTAGGAGTAGCCAAGACCAGATATGCAAACTCGCATGAATACAGCTTCAGATCGGTGTAGAAGTTACTGTCGTGATACAAGCCCCCAAGCCACTTCCGCAGGATGTCTGCACAAGCGAAGTTTGGCCGCCTGAATCCTGCGAGTGCATCTGCAATGTCTGAGCGTTGGTAATTGCGAGTAGCATCTGTCAAACGGATGAAGGTATCCGACTATCCCCGTCAAACTGGTGGCGATCAACGTTCCTAGGCGAAGAGTACCGAAGGGCGAGGGATCTAGTCTAACGGTAACTACAAACAGATGATGTGCGTGACACGTATCACATTCGGTAAGCATGGCATTTGAACCGGCCGCTAAAAGCTGACTGCATTGTCTTCGAAGGATCTAAAGCCGGCGGCCGTGGGCTCCGTCACTGTTCGCATAAGCCGATCCTGCCTGCTGCCGGGCGAAAAGCGGTTTGAAATCCTTCGAAGTAACTGGAGCAACGACTGGTGTGTGATAATGACCATTGTCGATATTAGGACGCGCTCTGGGTCTAAGGATTTCCGCTAGGCACGGACGGAAAGTTTGCAGGGTTGTTCAGTCGTTCTCGATTCCGTTTGGCAATCTCGGCATTCCGCAACTTGTCTAGACGCATTTGGTAGAAGTTCCTGTGTGGGGTCAGTATGTGTAGGTGAAGCAAGGAGTCTGTAAATGCAGGCCCACTTGTTGAGTTGGTATATGCGCGGGCCAAGTTCAGCCTGGGCTTGATCCTTAGTTTTGGAGAGCTCTTTGATCTATATAGGGAGTTAGCACAGTGATGAGTTAAAGGTGCACGCCACATGCTTTGTCGTCTTTGGCTTTCTCATCTTGCTTGTCCTCTTCTGCTTCTTTGCCCTTGGCCTCCTTCTCTTTCTCCTTGTCTTTTTCCTTATCTTTCCCTTTTCGCTTCTCTTTCTTGAGCTTCTGCTTCTCCTCGTACTCCTTCTTCACAGCTTCGATCTCGCGATCCAGCTCTTCTTGCTTCTTCTGGTCTGCTACTCGTTTGGCTTCATCAGCTTCTGGCTGACAGAAGCCACGATCGACCAAGTGTCCGGGACAAATATAGAAAAAGTCCTTCCCGTATCTTAGTATGATTCGCGTGTGACTTATCATTCATCTCTTCTCACCTTATTGGTAGGAGTGATTAGGACACTGGTGGAGGGTTTGTAGCAGATCCAGCAGGCCTTCGCAGCGTTGTCCGCCACGCGACGAAGATGCCACAGATTCTCCATCAAGGGTTGGGATTGTGTTCGCGATTGCTCTCTACGTCAGCAACAGAAGCGCGCGAGTGCGCCAAGTACCCAGGTATGTAAGGTGACACGGAAGGCAGTACAGCAGCAACAGACTACTCTTCTGGGTCCTCCGCGCTCTATGTTACTATGGTAATGAACAGAATGATACAGAAATTTAAGGCAGTCTGAGTTTGTAGTGATGGAAAAGGGCGCAAAGGTTCGTAGTTGTGATAGATGGTGGCTGTGCGAGAGATGCCAGCATCGAAACTAGGCTCGAAGCGGCTTAGTCATAGATACTTTGAGGCAACAACGATCAACCCAACGAATACATTCCCCCCATCAGTGTCGTCAATGTTTTTGAGGCCCTTTCGAACTCCGAGGTACTGCAACTACAGCTCCAAAAACTATCTGACTCTGGATCTGCGCCCTCTCCGACCCACTGGAACCCCCTTCGGCAATTTTGCAAGTGCGTCATTACGTTTCCTTTCTTTCTACAAAGGGACTACCATCCTCATATATTTCATACTAATCGCATTACAGCCAAGCCCTCATTGGACCAAAATCAAAAATTCAGGATCTCCAACATGGCAACAGAAACCTCCCAACTAAAATACATCGATGTCGGTCCGCATCCCACCACCTTGCCCCATCCACCACTAACCCACCTCAGATCGGCATCAACTTTACAGACCCCATCTATCGAGGAGAATACCACGGCACCAAACGGCACGAAGATGACTTTGAAGACGTGATCCAACGCGCCGTAGACGCCGGTTGCAAGAAATTCATGGTAACAGGTTCCGACCTCTCAGAATCCAAACACGCCGTTGAAATCGCCAAAGCGCACCCAGGACAATGCTACGCAACCGTCGGTGTACATCCATGCTCAGCAAAACACTTCGACACGCATCCTGGAGGCCCGTCTGAACTGCTATCTGCGCTGAAAAGTCTGGCGCTTGAGGCTAAAGAAGCGGGTCATGCGGTGGCGTTTGGCGAGATTGGACTTGACTATGATCGACTGTTTTTGACGGCAAAGGAACCGCAGTTGAAGTACTTTGAAGCACAGTTGGATATTGCGATTGATGTTCAGCTACCACTTTTCCTCCATTCGCGGGCTGCGAGCGAGGATTTTGAGAAGATTCTTACGGCGAAATTGGAGCAGTTGCCGAAACGGGGGCTTGTGCATAGTTTTACTGGGACTGCGGAGGAGATGAAACGGCTTGTTGATTTGGGGTTTGATATCGGAGTTAATGGGTGTAGCATGAAGAGTGAGTTGCTGGTTGTTCATTGCATATCGCGCTACTGTTAAGTTGTACTTGTGCTGACTTTGTGATCCAGCCGATGAGAACATCGAAGTCGTCAAGCAAATACCACTTGAGCGTCTGCAGATCGAGACGGACGGCCCGTGGTGCGAGATGCGACCTAGTCATGCATCCGCCAAGTATCTGCAAGACGCACCTCCGCTACCCAAGGCGGTCAAGAAGGAGAAGTTTGCCAAGGGTATGATGGTCAAAGGTCGGAATGAGCCAGCTACGATACCACATGTGGCATATGCGATTGCAAAGATCAAGGAGATCACCGTGGAGGAGGTTTGCGACGCGTAAGTTTATCCTTTCCCTTCTGGTATGTACAACAGGAAGATGCTAATAGTGATCTAGAGCATGGAGGAACTCGATCAAGATGTTTGGACTTGGTGAGACAGCGTGACCTCATCACACCTTGACTTGGTATAGACTATGCATATAGAAGATCGATTTGTACAAGAGGAATCTGCTCCCTCAAAACTCGCAGATAAAACGACCAACGAATAGACCGCACAACTCAACCCGACTCTACTTCCTGTACCACATCCTGGTGATCTTGGTATGCCTCATCTTCTTCTGCAGCTGGAAGATACCGTACATAAGCGCCTCGGCAGTAGGCGGGCAGCCAGGTACGTAGATGTCTACTGGCACGATCCTGTCGCATCCCCTTGTGACCGAGTAGCTGTAGTGGTAGTATCCTCCTCCGTTGGCGCAGCTGCCCATGGAAATAACCCATCGTGGGTCAGGCATCTGGTCGTAGACCTGTCGCAGCGCTGGCGCCATCTTGTTCGTGAGGGTTCCGGCTACAATCATGACGTCGGACTGTCGGGGCGAGGCACGGAAAATAATACCGAGACGATCCTGATCGTATCGTGGGGTGGACAAATGCATCATCTCGACGGCGCAGCATGCGAGACCGAAAGTCATGGGCCATAGGGAGCTCTGGCGGGCCCAGTTGGCTACTTGGTCGAGAGTGGTCCTGTTGCTGCACGTTAGCCTGTGCCCTTGTGTTTTCCACCCGTCGTCCTGCCTCATTCTCCGGTGCCTTTTCAAGATATCACATACAGTGCGTATTGCATAGCACCCTTCTTTCCCTCTTGACTCGGCAATGGCACCTCAACTCGCGCGGACTTCATCGGTGGTGGCGCTCCAGGGTTGCCGGGGATCGTCGCGGGCGTCTTCATGGTCGTAGCCCTATCCGAAGAGCTCGAGGAGAGAAAAGCAGCGCTTCCGGCGCGGAAGGGCATGAGTGCCGTCGCGGGTTTGGCTGTCCACATTGTCAGTCCCGGTTGGCTGCGAGCTTTCGGGGTGGCGGGGACAAACCTCGCAGAGCCATTGAGGCCGCAGACCGTGTTGTCGAAAACATGATTGCGACAGACACAAAGGAAGGGCGATAGGGAAGGAGTGGAGAGGCGAGATGTGGGGTGGCGGTCGAGGAGTCGCGAAGTTGTATCGATGAGGTAGGTGCAGCAAAAGGCTTGGCGGAAATCGATTAGTCGTTGATTTTGGTGGCGTCTGATAGGTTAGCTGGCGATCGCTCCTCCCTACATCACCCTTTCGGTCTACGTCGGCCAGCCTACTCCGCATACTCCCAGATCCACCAAACCTATCCAAGCTTGTGATATCGCTTCAACATGTCAGGCCGGGTAAGAGTGAAAGTACTAGAGTTTTACAGTACCTGCTGATGGCTTCTCAGGTCCCGTCCATTGCGTGCATCGGCGTAATTGGCAAACATGTTAGTACACGTGGTATACATTTGCAACCTAAATAGAATTGACAATTTTGATAGAACAACCCCCTCCACATATCACTATTTCCAGCAGAAGAGAGGGCACCACTGGAATTCCAATTCCTTCTTTCCTCATGTCTAGACATCTTCGAAGCCCGCCTACCACACAAAACAGCAGATCAAGACTTTGGCCTTCTTCAAGCTGTCGATGAGAGGCTAGCAATGTATGGCTGGCTCACCAACACTGGAGTCAAGTTTGTCATCGTGGTCGACATGGAGGGAAGGCCGGCTACTGCGCTTGACAGCAAGACTTCGACTGCGGTTGGGCTGCGAGATGCGGATATGAAACCCGTAAGCTTGAAGCTATCGAGACAAGCGTCGTTATCTAACATTCATCAGGCTTTCAGGGCGTTGCAGACAGCTTATATCAAGCTGTTGAGAAATCCGTAAGACTCCAGGACGATGCTCGATTGAGACGCATACTGACTTAGTTGCCATTATGTAGGTTCTACGACCCAGATGAGCACTCTCCAGTCACAGCAAATGCCGAGCAAAGGATCGGCTCCACTCAAATCACAAGTCGCAAGTTCATCCAAGAAGTTAAGAAGATAGCCGACGCGTGGTCCCCAGGCGTTACCAGCATTTGATTCAACTTTATACCAAGCACGATACCACGTTGCATCAGGCCGGCGTTTATAGCAAACATTCGATTTATACGTTCTGATTTCCAACCTCTCTTCGTTCGTTGCCGCGTACCACGTCGATAAAATATCGGGACTTCCCAAAAGCGCTAGCGCCGATTGCAGTCTAGTCCAATGTCATGGCAGATCACCTCGGCCATATCGAACACTCAAACATCATGCCACATAGACTTTGATTCTTGCAACCAATGACTACCAATGCCTTCCACGGGTGTTACCATCACCAACCCCTTGGTGCTCTATCGCAGTCTTATTGCTACACAGAAGATCCGACCTGATCCTGCGCAGCATCGCCTAGGTATGACGTCTACCATTTGGAAGACACTAGTGTGGACGAAGTACTAACATTAATTACAGCATTACATCTACAGAAGCTCTACGACCGTTTGATTGACTATGAACCGAGTGTAGAGTACTCCAAGAGACTCCAACAACTCACCAGAGCTGTCGATGCGGGTCAAGATGCATCATCATCAACGGATACCCATGTCAACCGCTTCGGTAGAAGGGGCGTGTGGACATCTCTCCTTGCGCAAAAAGACAAAAGAGACTCTGTAGCCTTGACGCGCGTCCTGACCAGCCACGATGAAGCCATGCAACTGCAAAGTCCAAAAGGCCTCATGCTCCACGGCGAAGTCGGAACAGGGAAATCCATGCTCATAGACTTATTTCAAGAATGTCTACCGAACCGCAAGAAGCGGCGCTGGCACTTTAATACCTTCATGCTCGACACCATCTCGCGTCTCGAGCAACTCCGCATGTCAAGATCGCTAGCCGCCGGCCCTGGAGCTACTCACGATGAATACTCCCTACTCCTCGTAGCGCGCGACCTTATCGAGAAGTCTCCCATCCTCTTCTTGGACGAATTCCAACTTCCAGATCGTGCGGCTAGCAAGATTCTTTCTAATCTCATGACGTCCTTCTTCCAGCTTGGCGGCGTGCTCATTGCAACTAGTAACCGCATGCCGGAAGAGCTAGCCAAAGCCGCAGGTATGGAGTTTTCGCGCCCAGTAAATCGTCTCAGCCGCCTGGGATGGAGTATGAATAAGAGCACTTATACGCGCAGAGACGATGGAGCGGGCCAGATGGGAGAGTTCGCCGCGTTCTTGGAGGTGCTTAGGGCGAGGTGCGAGGTTTGGGAGATGGAGGGGAAGAAGGATTATAGAAAGATTGAGAGGGAGGAAGAAGAGGGAAGGAGGGATAGTATGCAGATGCCTGTATCCGATGTTCTCACCAATGATATGTCGACTCCAACTCCAGCAGCTGGGCCGACAGATACTGCAGAGGTTTCCGACGCACCAACAGACTCCACCACCACATCAACCTACCTCCCCAAGAACTACCTCATTCAACCCACCACGGCCGAAACCATGATCGAATTCG